CGACCGTCTACTAACCGGAGAATCTTGTGTTCTTGCATAAACACGAAATTAACTCTTATCGCGAAGGTAATTGCGCCAGAAAGGATATAACAATTATTAGAGGGAATTAAAAAAATTTTGTTAATGAACGGAAGATAAAACTTAAGACAATAAAAAAATATCATATAAGTCACAAGAGGAGTTTATAGCGTAGTATTTCGCAACAGTTTGAAAATTTATGTTTATTTGAGCGCGAGAATATTTATATATTTTTGTCACGCGATAGAAATAAATTGTCTAAAAGAGAGAGAAGGTGCGAATAGGATTCACGTGATAATCAGAACGCGGAAGAGAGTCCACCGCCAGTGTCCGATCGAATAGTCGACACATGGGGTTACTTGAAGAGCGAACCTTAAATCTTAAGGTTGAGTAACGGTATTTCCGACGCGCATACACATCTACCTACCTATCTACCTACATATAACGAAGCCGTTTCTACGAGGAGATCGGTCGATTCTCGCGCGATTTCTGTACCGACTGAACGAGCGGTGCAACGAAAACTCCTGGTGAACGAATGAAACCTACGAAACTGTCCCGCTTATCCGCGGCGAGGGTCGACGTACCGAACGTAATGATATTTTGATGTAGTTACTCGAAACGAGTACCGGCTGTCGCTCGGGACACGCGATTCGCACTCGATTCGCGATCACGCAAGGTGAATTGAAAATCTTGAATAAAAAAAAAAAAAAAACAGTGGTGTAGTGACAGCGTAAGGAAGCAGTGGTGAAATTGAGGAAATGTGGTCACTCGAGAAGATATTTGCGCGAAAATGTCGAAAGAACTTTTTTTTAGAAGAAGTTACATTCTATATTGCGCAAAAATTGCTCCTTGAATTGCGCAAAGCGAAATAGTCACGACGTTGTTGTCTCTTTGGCCGATTTGGAAGCTAATAACATCATGCGCTTTTCTGGACGCAATTTAATTAACGTAATGACGGGAAAGTTATTGTGTTGTACACGAATGACACTCCGGCGACTGTTCTTGTGCGGTGGAATAATTATTTTTCATCATCTTCTTCCGTTCTACATTTTTTGTCGTGACGCAGACAAAATTGTCCTCGTAATCTTCGGGCGTCACAACGTTCCCTGTGCTCAGATATTGACCTGCGACCCGATTTCCCCTTTTCCCTTGAATCTCTAGGACATCGGTATAGATTTAAATGCAGCGGGTAAAGTACTCTGTAATTTGAAATCACAAACTGGAAAGAAACAGAGGCCAATTATGAGGCTAAAATAATTTTTTAGACTTTATTTTTGTAAACTCTAATTGGCAGCTTCTGTGTGAATTTTTGTTGTCTCTGTCTCTTTTTTCCTTTTATTACGCGTATAATATAATTGTGCGCGTAGTACTAAATATAATCCGAGATTTTTTTCTATATTTTTCTTTGTCACGTTTTTAACATTTTTTAACTCAATATTTCTCGATATTTCATTTTTTTTTTTTGTTAATGTACATTATCTCTGTCTATAGCACCTAGATAACCGAACACGCTCGTTTCCATCTTTGCTCTTCTCAATGTGTTTTATCGGGAAATGTTTCAATTAAAGATTAAATACAGTCATTACATCTTCCACGGAATTACACGATAAATAAAATGAGACAACATGAATCTATCCGAGAGGAAACCACGCAGCTTTTCTCGCAAAGTAAATTTATATGCGGTCTCTCATCTTCTTTGATTATTTTGCATATCCGGAAAATTCGTGTTACCGGATCGGAGTCGAGTCTCGGCCGCGACGGAAATCGAATGGAAAAGCCATATTAGGCGTTCGAGACGTGGTTAAACCACGTCCACCACGAAACATTACTGTCGTCTAATGTATATCCAGCAATCCAGTCACGCCCCCGCTTGCTGAGGCCCCGACAAGCGAGTCAGCGAGTCGTGGCGAAGTAAGGCGAACCGTGCCGAGGGGCCCCATCGGCGGCAGGACCGCCGATCGGCGAGATCGCGACGAGCCGAGCTCTCGCGAGGTGTTCTCTCGGTTGATCAGGTCTCTCTCGCGAATAAATCCCTCTCGATTTTCACAGGAATCACCCGTGCGTGTGTTTGTTCGCGACCCTCGGAGTTCACGAAAGAACGACAAAACTTCCGACAATCGATTTCTCAACCGAGATTTCGAGAGCGACTTTCGAAGTCTCGATACATACGTCAAATAGTCAGACTGTCATCGGTATTACTATAGTGATTTCTAGGTTGAGTGGATTTGAGTGTGTTGCTATTTGCGGAGAAGAAGAGAAGAAACTGTGAAACACATTGAGTAAATGTACAGTTTTAAGAGAAGATCCTGGATCATAGAGATGACAGTAAGCAATACATAATGGTGGAAATAGAATACGTATATCTGTTCTTACTGCTATTTCATTGTTCTTTACTGCTATTTTCAGTGTTTTAATCTTTACGTCTTCTTTAATGTTTGATTTGTTAACGCTTGATTTGTTAGATGTTAACTGGACAAAACGAGGAAAATGTTTTTTTTGTATAATGCAAATCAAAAATAGGGTTGGCGCCGGCGTGATTGCTTTCAAGCGGTACGAATAATCTTTGAGCGTATCTCGTTCCTCAGAAATGGCAGTGAACAACCGGATATGCACGCCTATTCGCGTTTAAATTCTACACTTAATGCGAAGAGCATTTGTTTTTTTTTTTTTTTTTTTTGTGCAATCGAACATCTCTCTTCGGTATAAGGTTCACATGTCGCAAAGGAAAAAAAACATTTCTATATTAGTTTCTTCTTGGTTCACATTCTCGGTTATATTCCAAGAACACACATACACACACACACTTGTAAAAATGTAATAAAGCAATATGCAGAAGTGCATGCATAACAAATGAGTCGATCGCGATATCCGATCCTGTTAGAGACACGTTGTCGTTGCACACCGCCGGAAGTGAGCGCAATGACTGTTCTCGAGTTTTCTTCGCTGTGTCAAAGACGGAAGTGAACGATCGACCAGATGCGTATCTGCAATAATCTGCATATACACGTTCACGCGATCGGCTCAGCGATTTTTCGGTATATTATTGTTTTTTTTTTTTTTTTTGCGAATTTGATGCTGATTATTTGGCACGGAAAAACATTCGAATTTCCCGATGCAAATAAGTTTTAAAAAAGAAAATAAAATGGGGATAGTATATATTTATATATTTTTATATTTATTTTATATTTTTTAAATATTTGCTCTTTTTTATATATTTATATTTTTATGTATATTTGGGATGTAAATTAAACATTTAAAATGTATCTTGGAATTGAAATCAATTCGAATTTCCATATATATTAACTTATACATTTAAAAATACATTTGCAAACTATATTCAGCATATTGGCTTGAATTGACCGTGTATTTATATTATATAAACTATCTGTTAGTTGAACATTATCACGATCTTACATATAAATTTGTTGTAAATCTTTGAAATTTCCTGAGAAATGTGTAAGCATCGCGTGTTGTCACTCGGTTATTTATATGCGTACGACTTATTGCGAATTACGTTAGCGCGATTGTTTCCAAACGAATGTTCGACGAATGGGAAACCGTGTGTGTACCTGGTGGAACACCCACGGGGCACACGAGTGCGTTCGCGACACTGTGCTGTTGGCACCGAGAAACGAAAGATGTAGCAATCTTTCGCGCGTGGTACGTCGAATCTTTTTATAAACGAAGGAAGCCTAGATACAACTGTCCGTGAGCCATTATCGCTTCGTCGACAGTCAAGTATAATCAGTGATTTCACATCTTCCGGAAGTTTTTCATTTCGTGAATGAATATTAACGACAATTTGTCAACTAGTTAATTAAACACTCGTTGAAAACTCATTTCACGTCCGACAGATTGTTTCTCATCGCAGGTTTAATGCGACTATATCTGATGAGTGCACGGTGAACATTTTAACGATTATTGTCAGTGTCAATGACGAATTTTATTCGTGCGAACAAATTTTAAGATGATTACAATCTAAAGACTTGATCATCTCGGTTGCTATCAAAACCGACGATCAAACATCGACACACTTGTTTTATTGCAGTAAGTAACAGACTCGTTAATGTCACACAGCTAACAGCGCGCGTGTTCGTTTCCTCAACGACGAGGAAGAAAATCTGGCGGGACTCGATTTTTGCGACCGCTCGAGTGCGATGAAACGATTTTGTTCACGGTTAGAGAAGAAACACGGCACGTCACGTACGCACGTCAGTTGCATGAGTAAGTCGCGGCCATTAAGTTGCGCGCCACAACGAACACCGGCAATCGGAATATACGGATCTGGTCCCGCTGCTCGTTAAACTCGTCGTTTTCCGCCGCTCGATGAATAAAACGTTGATCGATGTGCAGATACATATATATGTATATGTATGTTATAACTGAATAATATATGCAACGAACGGCGCGGCTGTTAATTACTCTCAGCTCGCGCTCTCAGTTTGAAGCAAACAATAATTAAGTGTAACTACGTGTCCAGGCGATAAAATCATGCGTTTCGCACTTAGTCGCGTAAATCTGACGCTCGAGAGAGAAACTGTTGCTTGATTACACTCACAGTATATCCAGGCAGTTTGCTTCCATTCAATAATAAGGAAAGATCGCAATCAGTTTGGATGAAAAAAGGGTTGATGATTTGTACAACAAATCTTTTATTTAAATTGCATCGGAAATAAAAATATAATATTATAAAAATATAGATACAAAACAGATACAATATAGTTTGCACAATACAACAATTGCATATCATTCGATAATAACTTTCCTCGACTGCGTTGTGTATGATCCTTTAACCTGATCCTATTTGCTCTACTCGAGCGATGTTCTCCGCGAAGTTGCCAAGGCGCAATAACCCGATGAAGGTACATACTTCGGGATCTGCATCCGGCTTTGTGTGTTCACAGGAGGCTGAAGGCTGATCTACAGTACCTGAGAAGAAGGGGGCTGCTCAAGGCGTCCGGCGGCAGCGGCGGCGGTGGCGGCGGAGGCGGCGGTGAACTATCGCATCAAGGACGCAAATGCGCGCGATGCAGTGCACCGTTCGGTAGATTTTACAACACCGGTGCGACTTGCAAGCGCTGCAGACATCGGGTGTGTCGGCAATGTCGCATCGAGACCAGGAATTACGCAGGAGGTGACAAAGAAGTCGAGTGGATCTGCAACATATGCTACAAGATCGCGTGAGTGTTTCTTCAAACACACTTGTCAGCCGTTCCGTTAACGTTCTTATTATTACAGAAGACAGAACTTTTCAGATGTTAATTGGTTTTTTTTTTTTTTATTATTTAATGACAATCGAAACAACACATGTGAAACAAATAGCTAAGAATATAAATGTAAGACGTGTGGAACTGGCGAATAATTCAAATTTAAGACTAAGCTCCTTTGTTTTTAGCGCGTATCTTGATTGCTGGCCTAATGCCGTTGATTTGTCTAATTTTCAGAGAATTACACGTTGCCGATAAATGGACGAACGAAAGTCCGACTTCCGGTGAATTTGCAAACGAACAGACATCATTGTCCTCAGTGGATATACTGAATCGCAGCATACGACGAGCTTGGACGATTAATGGTGAGAATTAATCGTCTACTTTTTTTTGGCGTATACAATTTTGCAAAAGAAAAAATTTTTTATCGTTCGATGTCAATGTATTGTATAATAATTTTCTGAACATTTTTCTTCGCCTTAATCAGATTTGTGACGAATTATTTTTCTGAAAGGTCCTCCACGTTGGTCAGCTGCAAGAAGATCTCCGGAATTGCGGATATATCGCAGTCTGCCGTCTCGCCATCAGGATTACCGGGAACCGGTGAACGATTCGAGCTTCGCCGATAGAACGTCATCGAGAACCGAAGAGTTGCGAGAAAGCAGTTCGAAGGAGGGCATCGAGAACACCGGAGAAAACTCCAAGGATGCAAATGAAGCGATCGAGAGGAGAAACACACCGAACAACGAACGAACGAAACGAGAACAATCAGTCAGTAAATTAGAGGAGAAAGTGCCATCAGCAGACACTTCGAAAGTCAGCAAGAGGGTTGAAGCGGAGCAAGAGAATTATCCGCAAGAGCAGAGTACGCCGAGGATCTCGCTGATAAAACCGCCGAAAATTTTGGCGAAATTTATATCGTCCGATGCAAAACTGAGCCCGGCGAAGCATGGCGAAAGAAAATCAAACATTCCTATTCTTAAAAGGAGCTCCAGAGAATTCGAGGACATACGTAGTCCACAGGAGTCGCCTAAACGATCACTTATTCCCCTCAGGTATGGTTCATTTTTTTTCCACTTGAGTTTTAATCTTATTGAAAAAGCTTTGGATAATTTCTATGAGGACATCTTAATTTTCTATAGGTACAGAGGAAGCACCGACGATTTGAGACGCAGCCGCGAGGACATAAGCGTGCCGAGTCTGATTCCAAAATTATTGTCTTCCCGCGGCAAAGACGAACGTCTGAAGCGGCAGGATAGCAAGGACGACATCCGTTATTCGCTGAAGTCCACACGAAAGGATCTCAAGGAGGAGGTGCGATCTCCGCCATTTGTCGCCTCGTTAACGCCCACCAGCAAGGACGAAGCCGGCAAATCGGGAATACGAATATTTCGCCGCGACAACAGTCGCGAGGACGTGGGCAGAGATAGTGCGAATTTGATCAAAGAATCCGCAAAAGGAAAGCAAGAGAGAACGGAGACCGTAGGCGGCTTAGCAAAATCGAAAGTCACCGGCGAACAAAATAAGATCAAGTGCGAAGACTACAAGGAAGGTACCAACGACTGTGAGGAATCGTCGAGGATTATAGAAACGATTGTTTCCGTCGAGCGGGACGAAATAAATTTGGAAAACGAGAAAACCGATGTTGAGAATCAGAAGGCAAGGATGATCGACGTTATCGTCGTGGGGAATAGGACGCAGGACGAACGAACGCGAGAGCAGAACACAATGGTCGTAGGCGAGGAGATGATAGACGAGAAGCATTTGCTCGCGATCGAAGAACCGGTCGAGTCCGTCGCGGAGAACGACAAGGAGAGGTACAACATCGAGGAGGACACGAGCATCGCCGAACGTTTGTTGGACGTTAGCAGCGACGGAGACATCGTCGGTATCGTTACCGAAAAAAAGGGTTTGCTGGAGTTTGGTTATGAAAAGAGGGCGGATGAGTTTCAAGTGGTTAGTGAAATTCTTTTATTCATTAGTATACTTATAATTAGTATATTTATAATTTATGTTGCTTGATATATCTAACCACGACTCGTTGTTTTTATGAATTTATTGTCTCTCAAGGTGAGACGAAAGTTTTCCAAAGAGGAATTTTCGAATCCGGACGATACTGACGACACTCCAAACAAGCGTTGTTCAAGCGTAAGTTTTGCAAAGAAATGCAAAAAAATACAATGTAAGGCTTACTCATAATATATATATTTTAGTTATACTTTTATTTATTTATTGTTATTTTTGTCAACAGCATTTGTCGCCCGAAGCCAGTCCGCTGAGCACAAGATCATCGAGATACAGTCCTCGCGAGAGCGAGAGCGAGCCAACTCCTGCACTGCCGCGTAAAATCGGAGCGGACTCTTGCTCCGCTTCTCAGAGAATACGCGACGCCATAACACGAACCAGAAGAGAGTCCAACAGCAGCACCAGATACGAGAGCAGCGGCAGCGAGAGCGTCAGGCACGTCGCTTAACTCTTAATTTTAAAGATACAATTATATTAAACTCAATGCAGAATTTCTTTAAACGTATTTGAGATCATAGTGGCAATCAGTAAGATTTGCAATTTTTGGTTTTGGTATTTAGATTAAGCGAGACCGGTTTGCACGGATATGTGGATGTGACCAGAAAGGTGAAGTTCTTCGGCGGCGGTACCAGCGGTGCGGTTTCGTCGACGATCGGCGGCGACGAGGTGGTGCAACGTGACAGTGCAACCAGTGCGGGCGAGGACGAAGTCAACGAAGATGGCCACGACAGAACAGGACCAATTCCTTCGCAGGGAAGATCGATGTTGCGACGTAGAAGACAATTTGACGCTCAGGGTAAGTAGAACTTCTTTACTGAAATCGACATTTTTTTGTAATTAGTAATTTACGTTTGAATATCTCCGTTCAAAAGAAATACACGCAACAAAACTCTTAGGTTTTTAATCCAAGTTGACTGTGACTAGAAAGAAGTCGATCGATTCAGCCATTGACGAGATACAAAAATCTCGTCTATTAATATTCGCGTAACAGAGGCACCGTTGTGCCTACGAAGTGTTTACAAATAGAATTGTCGATGTCGAATTTCTTCAGAACAACAAATGTAATATATTAATGTAATTTTAAATGTCAGACGAATAAAAACAAACAAATCTAAGATTAAAGGAGATAAAATTAAGAGCTTTCTTTCTTAATTATGTTGTGAAGTAAACTGTTACCGTTTTTTTAAGAAAAGTACGTGAAAGAATTTTACCTCTGTTTATCTGCGTTCTAATTTATTCATTTGCATCTTATATACTTACTCTAAAAACGCAAGCCAACGCAATTAATAATCGGTTAAACATTATTTATTACACGATAACAAGTACCGTTTCACTTTCGCGATCGTTCTACCTGCATATTGGCTACCAATAATTGCCATAATTGCTGAATTGCGTGTTCGCGATTGCTCACTTGAAGTCACGACGCTGTATAATTTTTGTTTTCATTTGCCACAGTGTCGACAAGCTCGCTTCTTATTAAGCGATGGAAAAGAGCAAATGTTTTCTTCGTTCGATAAATCAAATAGAAACGATTTTTCGTTTTTCTATTGATAGTTATTAGTTATAGATGAAAACATATTTAAAAAAACACTGTCAGATATAACAGTAATATTTGTATTTTAATTAGATAATTAGATAAAATTTCAAGTTTGTTTTTAACACGCAAGTACTGACTTTTCTTTACTTTCACTGATTTAAAATAAACTGCTTCTACACATTTAATATATACGCGTGTGCAAAACATGAGTAAGTAGGCCATATGGCTTTCCGTAACGATAAGCTCATCGATTATCGAAGCCCCTGGCGAACTCTCTGAACTCAAATAGCACTCAGTATTCTTCAGAAGAGCCACGTGAAATCGTTGACGTCTCAAAAGTTAAAAATCGCGCACAAAGCGTGCTCGACAATACAATCGTGTTCCCGAGTCAGTGAATTCTGCAGCAGTAAAATCATATCCAACTAAAATTACACGTAAAAAAAGTGTGGATATAACGACTCATAAATTTCTATTTTAAGTGGCACCGAGTGAAAATATTCACGTAGAGAAAAGTAATATTAGTAACGAAAGAAGAATAATCGAAAGTGTTAAAGAAAACTCGCTGACTTTTCTTTTGTTTGTTTCAAAGAGATTTCCTGTTTGCGATATTTTATGAAACAAAATTTTTGAGACAAAACAGCGCGGCATAATACGCGCTCTTGATTCTGAGGAACATTTTCCTTGGGATTCTCGATCGAAATCGAACGTTCTGCGGCACACACAATCGCGCATTGGGTGATTTCAACGGAGCAAGAAAACATTGAGGATAAAAAAAAAGCATAATTATTCTTAATCTCGCGTTTCGTCCGCCGCGAGAGATTCGATGGAATGTGAAAGGAATGCATTTGACGTTTAATAGTGCATGAAACGTTTAATGTGCGTATTCTGAATCATCGCGATTCGACCGAGCTCGTTAATTTCGCGCGCGGTATCGTTGGGAGACGATATCGTAAAATCCACATCGGACGTTCGAATCGAACGTTTTAGACGTCGCTATCAAAATCCATCGTGCGCACACACATACTTATTTTCTGTATTTGTTCAGAACGCGCGTTTTGCAAATATGGAACTGAGAAGAATAGTCGAATTGTCGCTCACGTTTCTACTGTCAATGTACTTTCTCGTTTTCTACACCGGGATTGTCGTGATTTTATATTTGCTGTGGCTCAAATCTGATTGAAACACAACAGTCGTCAAAATGTGACGCGTGTTTATTTTACTTGCTTCGTATCGTGCGAGAGACATTTTTTTATTTAAAATGGAAGTACGAGAAGAAAGAGAACATGCAAGTTCTTTGATATTTTTTCTGTATTTGGATTTGTGAAAAAAAAACATATAGTCTCCTGTATAGTAGAATAATATTTTAAATTATTTGTCCGTAAAAAAAATCTCCTGTAAAAGTAGTGAGTAGCTTGCTTTCGATGTTTAATTTGTATATCTCGACGTTTATACTCAAAATCCTGTATTTTTTCTCATTCGCGGCGTTCATTGTTCATATTCTTTCTCTCGCGCGTCTTTGCGTTTCAAATTAACGGTACCTTGTTATCGTCACGTTTTGGCCGTAGTTTAGTTCGTGAATTTCAACATGTGCTCGCGCGCGTTCCAGATTTCAAATAAAAACTCTCTTATCTGCCCATCTTTGCTGTTCATTCCCGCTCGAGTTTGATCGTTTTGGCACGGAATTATATCCGCACGTAGCGCGGCAGCAGCAGGTGAGGCGAAGCGAAGCGGCCTCGGGGAACCAGCATATAGGAATAATAGTGTATAACACAACGTTTCCCTGCTGACGCTCTATAGTCCACTCACTTGTGCGCCGCAGTTGCTATACGGGGTGACGCGAAATCGCACGACGAGCGACACGAGTTGCATAATAAAACAAGCGTCCCAGGCACCGAAACGTTGTTATCGCGCGGTCAGATCGGACTACAAAACGAAGGACTTCGCTTACGTAAGCGGTACTTTAGGATATTCCATCCCGAAGATTTTTTTGCGTTTGTTGAACGGTTGTAAATATGATTTTACCGTTTAGAGTATCTCCAAAGCGCATCTCCGTGTCCAGATACGAAATTCCTTCGAAACGATAATTTAGGAATATGAAGAGCAACATTGAATCAACTTTTACAAAAGTTGATTCGTCGAACTGACCGCCCGGTATAACAAAGCGCAATGCACTATAGCGTCGGGGCACTATAGCCGTCGTAGTTAGGTAGTGACCGACGCTGCGCGGGATTCAGGTGTGCCCCTCGGCGTAGACGCTCTCAGTTAAGCGGCGGTAGCCCACGCGAATCGCTCACCTTGCCTTCTTTGCCTTGATGTAGCGACCAGAGCCACCTTTATTTCGCGAGAGACCCCGGTCGAGGAAACCGATTCGTCCGAATGGGTTGCCAGTTTTCTTTATGATTCTTTTTTCATGAAAGTGACAGTTCCGAACGTATTCAGTGATTATTCGATTTTTATGAGACCATTCTTAAATAATAAAAAAAGGTACATACGTATACGTCACTACCGGTGTTAATTGAATGTATTTTCATTCTGGATATCGAAGAATATGTATTTATAACAATTATGTTGTGCGTTTTGAGTTCAGTGTAGTGTGCGCTGAGTGTAAGTCTAGCTCTGAAATAACACACCGGTAAAACTTTCTGTGTATGTATTCTTACATTTCGATTTATTACAGTGACACAGAGACGCTTGTGTCACTTTTTGATGTCGTCGTCCGTTGAAGCTATTGCCATTTTGGAATGGTGTCAATAGCATGATGATAGAACGAAACATGTTTTGCATAATTCTGCAAAACGTCGAAAATGTCTTTTGCAACGAGTGTTATCATTAGTGTACTAAAAGTTTCTCGAGTTTTTTTATAGCAATTGATTTAACTTAACTTAACTACCTTCCTACTTTCTGTGAGAGCAAAATTTAATTAAAAAAGTAAAGTGAATTAAAGGTAAAATTATTCCTTCTCTTTCCCTCTCGTTTCTCTTTCTTTTCCTTTTTCTTGAGCTATTCACAAAAACAATTTGAAGGTCTAGAGCAATAAGACGAGGAAGAGAGAGAGAGAGAGAGAAAAGTTCACGAAACAAAATCATACACTCGGACAGAAACCACAGACCCCCTCTAGTGCCATTGACCAGGTAATTCAGCGGCGCGTAAAAAGCAGGCATAAAGCGCGCCAACGGCACAAGCCCCGATTCTGCCCTCCTCTTTCTTCATGCCCCTTTCCGCCGCCATTCATGACAAGACGTCACTTGACTGTACCGTTTTGTTTTTTCCTATTGGCACGAAAACTAAGTCTTTTGCAGGGGCGTACAAGTTTTCGCGAGAAAAAAAAACCATACTACTTTAGACACGTGTGTGGTAGGAAATTTCGCAATTGTTTGCAGAAGCAATTGTATAAAGCGGATTCGCGCGCGTACACAGAGGATGTAATTTATCTCGCGCATGCATAGTTACGACGTGGAAAAAGACCGGGGGAGTGAGTTAGTTAGTTAGAGCCAAGGCGCTCTATGACGTGACCAAACAGAGATTTAGACGCCGTTTCGTTGTTTCGTCGGCGCAACGCACGCCTACGCGCACCACAAGCGCATTGTTTCGCCCGCGCGGATAGCACAATAGATATAAATCCAATTCTGCGTGCCGCACTTGTGAGAGAGCCGAGTGAGAGCAATGAGCGTTACGCCGCGACTCATTATCATACAACTTTCCTATCACATCATTGCTTTTAGCTTACTGCTAATTGCCGAATGTGCTTCTGCTCTCGTACACGCCGACACGTGATATCGCATGATCAATTAAAACAATCAAATGCAGTTACAAGAAGTTAAAATCTGTTTCTTATCGATTCTTCTCTATACGATTCTTTATATAAATTTTAATCGTACTTCAATTTTAACTCTGGAAATTTGAAAAAGTTATTAAGATAAAACTGATAATGCCTACACCTACATCTCAATTAAATCGATAAACCGAGATTATCGGAAAATTCCGTATTCTATATCTACAACCGTCTTTCTTCGTCTTTCCGCGCGTCCTCCCGATCTTATCGCTGAATCACCCCGGGACAAAGTAAATCAAGTGTATCGATTGGAAATAGCAAATCGAAAACATATTCTCGTTTGCTTGTTGAAAAAGGTTCACGACGACGCGGAAGATCGCACGCGAGGTCCTGCTGCGGCGGCGAGGATCTGCAGAGTCTGCAGACGGTGAATCTGATCGGACGGGGTGGGGCCGGAAGCGGTGGTCGGCATCGCAGTCCCAATTCCACCTCAGGTGGACAGAGTCAGGATTTATTGGCGTCCATAGTGGACTACAGACGCCTGGTGTTCATCAGCTCGGACTCGTCGTCCGGTCGTGAAGAGGACGACGCGGACAGCAGTTGCTCGAGCTCGTCCTACCTGAACGGACTGCCGCGCAACAGCGGCCATTATCATCATCACGCGCAGTCGCTTGAGGACTGCGACTGGGACTACTTCGAAAGCGGTTCCCTGCCGTTGCCGACAACGCCAATCGCCAACGTTGGTGCCGGTGTCAACGTCACCAGCACAGCGGACGCCTCCAGTGTCAATCAAAACGTTTGGAGTTGCTGTCCGGGACGCGGTTCCGGCGCCTGTCAGGTATGATTCTTGAACTAATAAACAGTGATAAGAAAAATAAAAAAATAATCATAATTTTTATTACATTGTCTCTTTTTATTAAACTTTTTACATGTAAACTTTACAAAGTTTAAGCTTTTATAGTATCAAAACCTAGCTAAAAGTTATATTCGATCGATGAGAGCCACGTGCTGGATGTACGTGCGCGAAATATATTTTTAAACATGTAATCTTTATATATAATTATATAAAATTATTAACTTTTATATATATAGAACACTGATACGAACGCGCCATCAATGGTGTGATACATGTACATGTTTTAAATCGTACTTAGAAATTATCTCACATTAAACTATAACAATTATGATTCCAAACTATCAGTTTGAATGTTGTTGACACAAATAATCGAAAATCAATTATCACAAAAAAGCGTCAATAATAAACATCGAGATCAGAGAATCAGAGAATCAACTTTGATTCTTAACACGCGCTTTTTACAGTAGGATGTCTTATAAAAACTTCAGTACATGTACATTCTGTCTTATCTTTTAAATTGAAGCTTGAAAACTTCACAGATCTTTCAAGACGCCAGAACAAATAGTGCGTTAAAATAATCTTCAATCTATTTATTTGTAAAATAACTTTGAGTAAACAGAAGGAAAGATGAACACGCGATGAGAAAAAATGTTTTTTCATGGATATGTGTCATATGTACTGGGTGCTGTGCATCCGCGTTTGACAAACACATTGCTACGCAACTAAATTAATCATTCACGTTCTACTAGCGAAGAGAGTCGTCGCGCACAGCACGCGGCGGCTACGCGGAATTCACGGTCACACATTGTCAATAAACCGTATGCGCGGTACTCATATCGAACGACGCCTCATGCTGATTATGCCGATCGATAAGCGCTTTCGTAGCAAATTATCGTTGTTGAATGCCGAGCTGTTAATCCATTTCTTATTTAATCATCAATTCTATAAGCAGAACAATTTTGACACGAAACAAAAGCTGTTGTTTTAAGTTAATAGATTATTTTAACAAATTATGTACTTAAAAATTAAAACTTTAATTGAAATTTAATTAAAATCTTTAATGAGTAATGTCAAGAAGAACAAATTTATGGTTTTGAATAATGTCAGAATAGCTTACTAATAGAAATGTTAAAAAATTGGAAAAAAAAACTTAAAACAATAGTGTTTTTGATGGAAATCGCGATGCCATTATTTTATCGTTCTATCAGGCTTGCGGCGGTTCTCGAAGTGCGAACGTCCTCCCAGTGCCGGTGCCCATACCGGTTCCGGTTCCTTACCCGGTGCCGATACCGGCCGCACTGTGGACCGGTGATTTCGCGGCGGCCGCATCATCGATGATAAGCCGCGGCGAAGGCCATTCCGAGCCGGGAAGTCTAAGGCTACGAGGTGATCCCGCAGCGCCCTGGTTCGCCTGGCATCCGCGCTTCAATCAACCTCTACATGGCGCACGTCTGGACCCCCAGCTTGCCAGCACCTTCGATCCGGCCACTTGCACTTTTCGCCCACCGGATCAGGTGATAGCGCCGCAATTGTACGACGCGATAACCGAAACGGCGACAGCACCATCGACTCTCGAATCCTCTCAAATGGGTGGTCAAAATGTGAGAGATGATGCGAAAATCGTCACGAAGACTGAAGAGCTCAAGAAAGAAGAGACCTTGTCGAAAGACATCAGTGAGTCCAGTTCCTCCAGCATAAAGAACAAATCGAAGTCGAAAGAAATACAAAATAGTGAAGTAAAGTGCAATGAAGACGACGAAGAGATAGATGGAAGAAATGAAGAAACTGCCTGCGAGGATTCTCTGTCATCGTCTTTCGAGAGAAGCGCCCAGGAGATGTATCAGTGTTCAGGAGAGGACTCGGGCAGCTCGTCCGGGAGATCATCGGCGGACAGCAGTGATCTGGAAGATGATTCCAGCTCGCACAGATTCTCCAGAGTGTTCGTTGTTAATGACGACTCGCTCACCAGCGACAACGATATCGAAGACAACGAAGAAGATGATTCGGATTCCGCGGCCGAAGGTGGAGTGACCTTGAAACGCATCATCTCGATTCCCGAGGAGGAATCTGTGGTATTGCAACACGTGAGACTGCTGAACGACGAGGATGCCATTGTAGAAAGTGAAACCTGCAAGGATAACTTGGAAGAGTCCGATGGCCGTTCCAAGGCCTATGTGGTTGACAATCGTCGCGACGAGGATAATAAATTGTCAGATAAACCTGTTGCCAATTCGAACGACAAACGAAAAAGTCGCGGCAAGAAAAATGGGACCGGCGACAAGCGAATTCCTCTTTTGCTACGACACAAATCAATTACCGAAGAGGCGTATTTAGCAGATAATAATGACTGTTCCAATAATCGAATCGAACTTAAATCCATCAGAACACTCGATCCTGATAGTATCAATTTGCCTGTAGCTACTTCGAATACAAGCGAAAAATCTGTTTCGGAAGTACATGTTTTTGAAGAAAAAACAATTGAGACATCAAAGATTTCGCAGGATGATTTGATCGAGCCAAAGTCACCTTCCAGCGACGTTTGGGACTCGACCATCGTTCCGGATTCCCTCGAAATCTCCGGAACCTCTTCCAAAGTTTCGGTTCCAGCGGACAACGTCAACAGCCAAGACAAATTTCAAAATACTACCGATAACGAAATCTCGCGTTTGATAGCAACGAACGATTACGAGAAGCGAGGAGATAAGTCATGTTTATCAGAAACAAATTGCTCGAATGGCGACGTTATCGTTGACGCGTCCACTGACAGTTGCACCAGCAATGAGAGTAACATCACGGGGAGCGAAGTGAGCAGCGACGATCTTCACGAGTACGAGGTAAATCAGTCCGAGTCATCCTTCGATTTCAGTAAGCAGGTCGCCGCGATCAACGACGAACTGCTACACCAAATCGGCAGAAAGAAAACGGAAGACACGTCGAGAAATATCAAGGAGAACAGTCATTTTTACGGTAACCGTGATAACGGAAGCAGTTCGATGATGACTAAGAGCTGCGTCAATCGAAGCGAGAGATCGATCAGCGAGCGGTCTTCGAACGATTCGACGACAACGGAGGCGGTGATCGGTGCGAAGTACGACAACAACGGCGATGACGAAGACGACGACGAGGGTTATCGGTCCGTTATGTGTCGTCGCGACGGCGGTGGCGGCAGCAGCAGTGACGGCCAAGATGGCGAGGCGGGAGACAACGACCCGTCGGTGGGCGAAGAGCGGGCAGGAGTAGTCGACGATGTGGGCGACGCGATATCCACCGGCAGGATCCAGGAAAGGCTGGGGAGCGCGGAGAAGGAACAAGACGACGCCAGCAGCAAGGTGGATACTGCGCATGACGGCCCGGTGAGAGGCGAGATTACAGCACAGGTGGGAGGAAGTGGTGATGGTAACAATTGCGCCAGTGACGGTAGTAGTAGTGGTGAGAGCCCCGAGGAGGGGAGCCCGACACGATTTCGCTCAGTCGAGCGACGTCTGTGCACTCGGCAAGAGAATGGCCCCCCAGCTGATAGCCAAGCGTTGGCCAAGGATCTTGCGAGAGACTCAGTCCAACTCAACAGCAACAACAACAGTAGCGGTAATAATAAATACAGAAGCTTCGTGATGATCACTCAGGAAGCGTCGTATCAACCGGTAAGCGTCGTCACGTCGGACACGACGACGCTGTTGCAACCGGACGAGACTCATCTCGGAAACCAGAAAGGTCTTGCCGGCTATTTCCAGCTAGCATTGGAAGCGACCAGCGAGCAACCTCGCAAGAATGCTCCGCGTAAGCCGCTGATGGTGAAGAGGCTGCCAGCTGCGGTGTCCGGCGTTGCAACGAATCATCAGTCGATCGAGCTCGAGGCGGATAGTGGTTTGAGTGTCGGTAGTGCTAGTGAAAGCGACGACGTGTCCGTGAAGAACGCGCAAAAACCTCTCAATTGTTGGCAGGAGAGCGCGGATGACGTGTCGAAAGAACGTTTAGTGTCAGAGTGTCGTGAGAATACGCGCGCACGTGCCTCATCGCAGTCCAGCGATGACTGTTCCGGTTCTGTTGTAGTTAGCGGAGTTGTTATTCTCGAAGACGGTCTGGCAGATGACGATTCCTGGGTAGAGGAAGTGTCTCATGATGAGGACGAACTTGGAGGAACCACTGCCACCGAAGAGAGCTCCGAGGATGAAGCCAATAACTTTGGAGATCGTGAAGAGGAGCTTAGAGGTTACCGAAGACAAGCGATCGACTTTACTTTACACACCATCGTTGAGGAATCTTGCGAGGAGAGCGAAACGGAGCCCAGTCTGGCTGCGGGTAGTCCCTCGAAGAAGCCGAGACCACCTTCCGCATCGGAACTGGAAAAATACTTTTTCTTCGGATTGGGTGGTGAGGGAAACAACTCCAGCATAGGTTCGCGTGAAGTTGACAGTCTGTCGGAAACCTCCTCGATCTATTCCGAAGGATTAGAGTCGCTCGGACAGGACGAGGTCAACGGCAGTGGTCAAAACCAGGACAGATCAAACACCAGTGACGGTTTCATGAATTCTTCCCGATTAGAAAAGTATTATCTATCAGAATTCCTTGGTTTCGATCAGGATAGAAGAGATTCTGACGGCTCGGTAGGAAGCGATTCCGAAGGTAGACCCAGTCCGGAAGCACAGAGAAGAAAAAAATTAGTGCGCGCAAGAGGCACAGGCAGATCCCACAGTTCTTCCTTGGATAATCTGTTGGCTCTTACGCAGAGCTCGCAGAACTTGAGCTCGCAGAATTCTCTTCAGGATCTGAGCCTCAATCAGGACACGCAGGAAACTCAGTCTGAGGATTCGTCTACGGAGACCGATGGCACCGAGGACGGTCAGAGCGCCGTTTTCGGCACGGACGGCCAGTTTGACACGGTGAAACGCAAGAAGAAAAAGACACGAAATCTAGGAACTCAAAGTCCGCGTGTTCCAGACGATCGGAACAAAACGCCTGAACCCAGCAGAGAACTGACACTGATGAACGAAATCGTGATGGAGAACGACAACGAGGCGATAAATTCCGAAGATTCGGACAGAGCGAAGACACCGCAGCCGGAGTCTGTTCTGTCCTCGTCCTCGTCGCCGTCCACCCTCACCAACAGCAACAACACGCTAAATTCCCCGTTATCTTCGCAGGCGGACTCATCGAGAAATTCTGTTCTGGCGAATTTGAACGATAATCAACGATCGAAGCAGCAATCGCGCGACTCGGGTTTCGTCGGCAGCTGCGACGATCTTCTTCAGCATCAGAAATTTCCTGACGACAATCAAGCGAATAATGCTGAAACCGATCAAGAAGGCGGCAAGGATCGCTTGCTCAACAAGATCTCGGAGCATCCTCAAGATGCAAATCAGTGCGCTACTGAAATGGTCGGCACGGAGAGGAACAACGTGACGAAACACTCGGTGAATCACACGAGCCTGCCGCACTTGGCGAACGCGTCGCTGTCGCGTAAGGACAGCTTTAACAACTGGTCCAGCGACGAGGAAACGAATCTCATGATGTCGAAGATGCGACAGTTCTTCAAGACAATGGTAGCCAATACAAACGGCCAAACTCAGGGACAGAATGTCGCCAGCACGAATTCCAGTGGCGCTTCGCCGGCGCCGAGTCCTCGACTCGCGGGATACACGTCCAAGACGCGAGTCTGCGCTCAAAATCGCACAAAACCGCCGCAATTGGTGTATTTCGAGAACGAACTCACGCGACTGATGAAAACAGTCCCGGGAATTCGCGACGAGCAGGTGCGCGAGATCGTCGAGTATCTCAGTTCGGAGGACACGTGGTCGGATTCCTACGACAGCTCGGACTACACTAGTTCTGACCTCGAGTGCGCCGCTGGAGGTCGTAGATCCGCTTTGCAGGAGCAGATCTCGCAAAGCTGTCAGCAGATTATCAGCAAATTCGACACTACCTCCGGTGACGCAACTCTATCGGACAAGGAGAAAGAACAACTCAAGGAACCAGGATCGGAAACAGGTACCGTGATACAACCCGCACCTTATTTAGGCAGAGACACCGCTTTCGTCTATCAGAAGCTGGTACAGAGCTTCACGAAGATGACCGGCGACGGCGTGAGCTCGGACGCTAACTCGACGCCACACAGTAGCCCGCCCTTGATCGCCAAAGTGATGCATCACATTGGCAGTCGGCTGGTGGCGTTGATGCACGAGGTTTCGGAAGGCGGTCCAACCGCTCAACATCATTCCACTACCTGGCGACGATATTCTCAACATCACCGAACTCCATCCTCGGCGTCTACTACCGAAGACGACGAATCAACATCCGATTCCACCAATACACCTTCGTCTGCGCATTTGCAATTGCCAAGATCGAAGTCGCACGACCCTCTATTGTTGATCAACAGTCATCCGGTAGCTTCCACCGGTCAAGAGGGAGAAGAACGAGAAGCAAGCGATTACGAGAGGTTCTCCTGGCGCGGTAGCTTTGAATCCGCGCTGATGGCCGCCGACTCAAGAACGAAACTGAGTCTGTTGGCGTGTTCCGGTGACGTAAGTGGTGGTGGTGGCAGTGCTAGTGCGAGTGCTCTCGCCGCGAAGCGTCGCAGCGCCGGTGATCTTCTCTTCAATCCGAAGAGCTTCTCCAGGGAACAATTGGACCGAGTGAGAAGCTGCGGTTCGATCGGCGGCGGTAGCGGAGGTGGAATAACTAGCGGTGGAGGTGGCGGCGACGGATGTGGTGGTTCCGTCGAGGAGAGGATCTGGAGCAACCGAAGATCTTCCGTTCCCGATGCTAATACCAGGGGAGAGTCAGGTGAGTTTGAGCGTAACTATTCTTTGTGTGTGTGTGTGTGTGTGTTCATACAGATGAATGCAGTGTGCGTTCCTCGACGCGCGAAGGGATCTTCCGTGGATCATGTTACATCGCGGAAACGGCGGTAATTGGCGTTGCGGGTCGATCTTGCCTCGCCGACTCTGCCAAGCAATCCCATTCGAGATTGTTCGAGCATTCTCTTTCCGCATTTACGCTACGGCGCGGACTGACCACGATAGCCACAGTTATGTTTGGATCTCTTATCCGATATATAATGGGGTTGTATTTTTTTTATACGTGGAATGAATGCGCGCGCTACGCAGCTGCACGGGCTTTAATTCAGTTGTTACTTACATCAGTGAATCGAGTCAGAATTAAGAAGCGTGGAAAGTAATTCTTGCATATTTTACGCTGCACGATTTCGACTCTGATTTATTATGATTTATTATATCTAAGATTAGATGGTTTATTTACAATCGAGAGAAAAAATAGCTTCGCTAATTATAAATAATGATATTACACAGAGAAATCTAATATTGTTAAAATAAAAGAACGGAAATAATAAACTATCATGCGAGCTCTAGTTAGATAGAAAAGAAAATTAGATTATTATCAAATTTATTTACTCTGAAATCGCATCGCGTCAGGTGCGTCGGCCGGTGATGAAGATACCGAGGATGAATTGGAATACAGTGGGGAATCCCGTGCAACAACTCTTCCACGTGGTATGCAATCCGCGATCAGTGCAGCTACCAATTCCCTGCCGCGACTACCCGCGTCGACCACGACGACTGGTCTGACAACAACAACGTCGTCATCGGCAGCGGCAACGGCGGCGTCGTCGTTATCATCGCCGATGCACAAAGCGCACAGTGTCTATCACTTCCTGCCACAACACAGTGGTGTCAAATCCGCCCGGTATCGACCGCCTGGTTTTGCAAGAAACAGCAATGTCGGAACCGGTGCTATCGGCGGTGGACCTAAACGTGCAGTCAGTGCGCCGGGTCTTCAGGTTTCCGGCTCGCAATCGACCGGAAAACGTGACAGTTCGAGGTCGAGGAGGCAGCAGACAATGTCACTTACTTCAGGTACGTGTCGGTCTTTTTTCTCTCATTTTCTTTTGACTTTGTGATGTTGATTGTATCGAGTCTGTTTGCATATATATTTTTCACAGAAATTCGAAATATGATTTAAAAAAAACAATCAATTCAGATTTGATCAAATATAATGTTTTATTTTTCTCTCGAATACATTAAAAATATCTTACAATCTTCGATTTTTCTCTCTGCGTCTATATTTCTAATTACTCTCAATATTGTTGTTATTTTATTCCGCATAATATTTTAAAGAAATGCATACATTTATTGCATAGAATAAAAATAAACCAGAGAATGTGCTTCTCACGCTTAAATCTGAAAACGCGTTTTAAGTGACGGGGAGAGAAAGCGCATAGATGAAAGGAAATTCGGTCGGAGGTACAAATGATTCTCATGTGATAAACTAGAGACGGTCCCCGTATCGTCACGCATACACGGTGCAGCGTGCCATGCAAATGAAAGTTATACGTATGGAATTATACAGCGAGTATCGTTTTAAACGAAGAAAACTGCAGGTCGAGGAGAAAAGTTTTTAAAATAATGTCAACTTAGATCAGCGAAATGATCTAGCAAACTAAGCTGTATTTTTTCAAACGCTATATCGTTTGAGTTTATGCCTAAAATCATAAAACTATTCACTTCAGATCGAAAATTGAGGAATAATCTGCTCATTAAACGATTAAAACCGTGAAATAATCTGTATGGCACGGAGCGTGATTTTTTCTGTAAACGTCAGCGATACGAGCGGCGGCAAAGTGTTTTGTTCTTCGAAGACTCGCGTAAAACGTTGCGAAAAGCGGGACATAGTTGCGAAAGTGCGCTACTCGTTGCGTGAAATTTAGTGTAATAATAAACCTGAGTTAGCTCCGACGCCTTCTCACATCTTCGTTACAATTTGTCTTCTTTCTGATTAACGAAAATGAATTTAATTACGATATTGCGTCAGTGTTGTTCATTACATCACGCGTCGTAAAGTTTTATTTTCCGGACACCGGAGGCCGGTGGTCTTCCTGGCTGGTTCTCGATTATAAAACGTGTGTGCGCAACTCCTCTTTGGAGAAAAGTACCTTTTATCTTTCCGCCAATAATTTCAGTTATGTATATCTCGCGGAAAAAAAAGAAGAGAATATATATAAATAGAAAGTCGATTTCATAACGTGTTGAAAATTATGTGCGCGAAGATATGAAGTGTAAAATCAATGGCTTTTACGGGAGAACTTTAACACGTAGTTTTTCTAAGTTTAGAAAAATCGATGTATGAATTAACACAAAAAAACCTGTATCCTAACGCTCACACTTGGTCGAACAAATTCATATTACGATAAACGAAATAATGAATTCTGTAAATTGAAAAACAACAGAAATAAGAGAGCGCGTCGCTCATTTCAACCGCTAACAACACATGTGCTTTTACGCGCGATAAGTAGAACGCGCGCATTGATAATATGCTGCGATCGTTCAGCTGCTCGTTCAAGTGTAACAGGTGCAACCGCCTTATTATGAGATTTCTCTTCTTTTTTTTTTCTGGAATTTCCGTCGGAAATTCTCCGCGATTGTGAGTGATGTGCCGTCGGGTTTGTGCGCGACAATCGATAAAACCACGCAACCAACCACTCCTCGCGTACCTACCTACCCTTGCACGCACTACGCACGCACGTACCGTTGAAAACCTTGTATCCCCGTAAAAAATAATACATTATATAAATAGTATAAAGTATCCGCGCAACAGTGTGCGCGCACTATGACACTGTGAGAATGAAAATCGCGAGCGTTTATAAAACGGTTCATATAGTTTTTGTGTGCAGTTTGCACTTTATATAACAGCTTATCGATCCGGCAGGATATATCGCAATATTTGCCGAGCATTGACCTAGTCCAAACGCGAACGTAAATATACTCTTTCGATAATAATCTGTGGCGCGCGTTTTTTCCTCGCCCGTGTAACAAGTTATTGCAGTTATTGAGTGACATGTGGAGCAACACAAATATCCGATTATATCCGATTTCTTATCGGAGCGCTATTATTTCTTTGTCTCAAGCGCATTGATATTAACTTACAATTCCGTTGAAATCTGTCGCTATTCGCGAATTGCAGCTAATGAAATTGAGGTCCTTGCCACTCCCAACTGACGCCTCCTGCCGATCGATAACAGGGTAGCTACCCTCGTAACTGGCTCGTAGCTTCTGGTTTACGCCAAATATCGTATATTCGAGAGATCGTTGAACCATGTTTCTTCTTCGAATGTGCGGGTAAAAAAATTCAGAATGTAACATCGCGCCGTGTAAAGCGTTGAGAACGTTGACGCGACTTTTGGAATGCGTGTCAAGCTTTTTGCACAATTGCTAAAACGGTTTCCCGTTGACAACCATGAAATATGGTGTTACGCTTCTGTGCCCGCGTCGTGTACTTTACTTCCATTTCAGAACTTTCACGATGGCGATCGGCATTTACCAAGTCGTGAAAACGCACACGCAAACAAATCGCTTGGCATTATTGCGTAAAAAAAAAAAAAATACATTTAGTTTCTTAAATTATGTAAATTATGCATGGAATATAATGAAGGTATAAATTTAAGTGTAAATGTGCAAATAAAATTTACGCGAAACAAAAGTTATATCATTTTATTTAAAAGCACACTGTGAGCGCAACTTTCTTTTATATCTCAACAGTATTTATGTCCATGCTTTGCGATAGAGTAATTCGATAATTGCCAAGGCAAACTACTGCATTTGCGGTGAAAGATACTGACTCGCGAGCGTATTCCCTTCGATGGTTCTGGCGAATAACTCCGGTAGTAATTTAATTGCACACGTATACGTAATAGCGTTTTCTAAGGGAAAGGTAAACGGAGTGGGATTAGCGAGGATATATATCGCAAGTAAAACGGAAACGTGTCAAATATAATAAAATTTTTCTTGGGTAACTTGTGCTTCTTCAAGAAAATTCAACCAGAGCTGAAATATCGTGTCGTACATGAAAATACAAATGTGCAGATGATAATTTTGATTGGTTTGAGATTACGTGATCTCTTTTAAAATCTTATTGTCTAGTCTGTCTTCGGTCAACAAGATGTTACGTTTGGTCAATTCGCCTAATCAATCGAGATTGGAAGTTTTCTCGGTGTCAGGCACAAAGCGCGCTAGAACTTTCACCCACAATGCCACTTTACGTGCGTAGTACTATGTCCCAGTTATGACGTTCTCATGCGTGCACGCAGTTTGCTTGAATAACGGGCGTGTTGTGTTTCCCTCGCGCAGGAAGCGAGATCCGGAGCCTTCGCGGACAAAAACAATCCGAGAGAGGTCAAATTTCTGAAAAAAAGAGACACAATCTTCTTCGGTTAAACGAGCGTGTGAAGAAAATACATCAAAAACAAAATTACACGCGTGTAATACATTATAAACATAAAAAAAATGTTTCCTTGTATCTGCGTACTTTCTGTCGAAGTCGCGGACGATGAGAGGCGCTCATTAAGTCATTTTTCTCGGACGAAGCGTAGAGAGACACCTCGCGATATGTTCACCTTGACACACATTTCACCTAAACCCGTTCGCAAAACTTCTCGCGAGGCGATCGGTGCCATCGCGAGAACGTTATCGTACAGACGTGCATCGAATAGGATGCGCTTGCGATTATCTCGAAGCAGCGACTATCGGCGAACGGCGTTATCTAACATTTAATTGTTCGTGTTGCTCGAACGTTACTCAGCGCGATGCACAACACAACGATGCGATTAAATCTCGACGCTTCTCTAGAAGAGAAGCATAAGTGTCGTGGCATTCGTAACGCTCGTTTACAGCTGAGAACGTTTATCTTTTCTCGTAAATTTTCCGCGTATATGTACATAGGAAAAAAAACTTGCACATGTGTTTGCGGGCATTCGCGCTTTCTAGCAAGCGTTACACGACGATTTAAATACAGTTACTTTTTACCGATAGAAATTAAACTTCTCTTTTGAATAAAAAAATTTCTCATAGCAGTACATTGAACTTGACGTGGCATACGTCTTTCGATATGCGAGAGGTTTTTTGCACGTGCAAAAAATGGTAAAATTTGTTCGGAACAATAGTTTCCATACAAACGGTAAAAACTTTTTGAAGACAATTATCGTTATCGAAACTCACCAGATACGCCTGGACCTTGAACGTGGAAGCTGCTAGCTGTTGTTCCTGTAAAGCAGGAAGCGAATTATCGTTGCCCTTGTTCCGTTTGGTATAAGAGCAAACACATGTGAATAAATTCAGTCAGTGTAGCTTCTCGCTCTGCATCGCATTTTTAGAAATGTGTGTGTTAAGTTACTATAAAAAAAGCAGCCAAAAATGTGATGTCTAATTAAAAACGCGTTCGCTTAATTTAATTAACTCGCATTTGCGCGCGTAAATCGAGACGAGAAGAATGCTACAAATCTAACAAGTTTGAAAACAAAAATGGCTAAAGCAAGTGCTCGTTACTCGAGTTTTAAAGAGCCCTCCGTTGAAGGCTCTCAAACCGCTAAAAAAATCGCGCAACGTTTCGGCTCGAATTGGCTGCTCGAATGTTGCTGCGGTTCTTGTTACACGAAACCGGCTTTGCATCGAAATGACACGAACGAGACGCGCAACAAAGAGATCTCAGAACCCGCCGTTGAAACGTCGCGAATTTTGTCGAACGATATCACAGAACTGAAAGCGGACGGCGTTGGACTCGCGACGGAAGCGATTCTTTTGACGAAGCGCAATTACGGAGAATCGAAGGATGACAGGTTTCTCGCGACGCAGAACGCCGTAAAGAACGAGGAAGAAATCTCGTTGATCGACCACAAAGACAGCTCGTCGATCTCGGATTCCAGGAGCAAATCTTCATCCAACAGCGTTACTCTGAGCAGCGGAATAAAGCGCGTGATCGACAGTTTACCGGTTCTTCCTAAGACGGAAAAGAAACCGTTGCTGTTGGCCACTGACGAGAAGAAAGCGTCCGAGAGCGACTCCGAGATAGAATACCCTGGAAATCTCTTTGTCAAATGCTCAAAGCCATATAAGAAAGCGTCCGCGACGAATATTCCTGAATTAGTAATAAGTCGGTAGAACTAAAGAGATGACAAATAACTTAAAGATAAAGAAACTTTGATTCGTTTTAGAGCAATATTGAGAGTCGCGATTATTATTGATTAGACTGATATGTATGTAAAAATACGTAGAGACATATAACTTTTTTTTTAATTAAAATTGAGCTTCAGCGAAAGCGTTGTATCTTCTCGGCGAACTGATCGTTGTAATCCGAGTCAGATTGAGTAATGTCATTCTCGTGATGTGTCACAGACGATGGAAGCAGTCTGTCGGAGGCGTGCAGCACGCCGATTATCGGAGCGGGATCGAGAGCAGGCTCTAGTCACACAGTCATCGATATGGACGACATGGATCCGGGCCATCTCGCCGCTCGCTCGTCTCTGTCGAGTCTCGGAGTAAGTGCAATTTTCATTTCGCAATAATTAATTCAAATTAATTGCAAGACCCGTTATCACTGGTTAAACACGATTTTTCGTCGCTCTGTAACTGAAGGAAGATGATGCTCGTGTAAAGTGTTCGATGAGGTGAGAAAAAATAGCTTCGCGATCGTGATTCCAGGCACGTTCTGATTCGATGGCGTCGGTGTACAGCGGCGCGGGTGAGGGACGTTGCTGTCGTTCCGTGGTCGTCACAGGTGAGGTGGAGTTCGCTTTGCAGTACGACTACAAGAATCTGACGTTCGAGGTGCACGTGACCAAGTGCAAGAACCTCGCGCCCGTAGACGTGAAGCGTAAACGATCGGATCCGTAAGTTACTCACAATGCTACTTTTACATAGTATGAGCTTTGTGTCTATTCTATATTTTCTAGAATTTTGTAAAATTTATATTAAATTTATATTTGTTCTTATTAGAAAAACAATAAAAATCTAATAACAGAAAAAAATAAAAAATACTTCTAAAATGTGTCTAATATTAATGAGTAGAAAAGTTATTTTTTACAATTACGTAATTATATTTCTGAATATAAAACATTTGTATCTTTTAATAAACATGAAAAATTAAAGATTAAGTAGACACAATTTGTAGAAATTTGAATTTTTTACGTCTTTTCTTCACAGATATGTTAAAGTGTATTTATTGCCGGACAAATCGAAGAGCGGCAAAAGAAAAACGAAGGTGAAGAAGCATACGCTGAATCCGGAATTCAACGAAACGCTGAAGGTAAAGTTGTTCAGTAATGGAGATATAATAATATCATGGCTTATGTAGTTGTTTACTGCTCGTTTGCATGACATTTAGAGACATTTCGGTTCGTTATTGCGCAATTTTAGTTCCATATGAGCTTAAGTGGCCTGGAAACGAGAACGTTGTGGCTAACAGTTTGGCATTCGGACATGTTTGGTCGCAACGACTTCCTCGGTGAGGTGCGAATGCCTCTGGAGAACAAGATATTCGACGATCCGACGCCGCACTGGTATCCTCTTCAGGAGAGGGTAAGTTCGTCGCTACTTAATATAATCGCGAAATTCGACATTGTTTTGTTTTTGTTTTTTTTTAATTTTGAAAGTTAAATATATTTCAAATACTTTGTTTTTTATTTAGTGGAGAATGTCATTATTTATTTCTTTGATCGACACAAACGTACGCTGCGACGTTAGAGCTTCTTTTGTAGCGCTTTCGATGTGTATGCTCATACATACTACAAGCGCATGTAAATGCATTTTTATGTATGTAGATGTACATTCAGATAAATTATTTTAGACACAACATTTATTTAAATTTTAAACGAAATTTTAAACATCACATTGTAACAATTGTTTGCAGACGGAACCGTTCGACGATCCGGTCTCGTATAAAGGCGAGGTAATCGTCGGGCTGAAATTCGTGCCTCCGGACCCGACGCAACAAGAACGCGATCGGGAAAACGGAGTGGAACGTGGCAAAACGAAGAAGAATTGGAGTCGCGGTGCACTCCACGTGCTCGTCAAGGAAGCTAGAAACTTGCAGACGCGCGGCAAAAATTCGGGCACCTGCGATCCTTTCTGCAAAAGGTACTATCTTATTGAATGTTTTAATTTGCAACATGGTTGCTAATTTGTTCTTGACGCGTGTTTCAAACTCAATTAATCGTCTCCATACCTCTGTCTCTTCAGCTACCTACTACCGGACAAAGGTCGATCCGGCAAGCAAAAGACCGGAGTCGTTCGTAGATCCGGTGGTTCGCCGGTGTGGGGTCACACCTTTATTTACAAGGACGTCAGTTTGCAGGAGTTGGCAGAACGCGGATTAGAACTGACAGTTTGGGATCACGATCGAATCGCTAGCAATGAATTTCTCGGCGGCGTTCGATTTAATTTAGGCACCGGTACGCAAAAATCGCAGAATTGAGAATATGCAGTTCATTTATATACTTTCGTATTTTAAATCTAGTTTGAAAATTTAAATATCTATTCACGTTTTTTTTCATATTTCTCCGATGAAGTGTCACATAAAATTTCTTTGTACACCCATAATGAGTTTTATTTTATCTGTTTCAGGAAAGCACTATGGGAAACCGGTGGACTGGATGGATGCGACCGGTCGGGAACTGTCTCTATGGCAGAATATGCTCGAGAGACCGAATTTTTGGGTCGAGGGCGCAGTGACGTTGAGGCCGAATTTACACAATCACGGGAAAAACAGCGGTTCTTAAAAGACGCGATAATCTTAAGTAATTTTTAGTTTCCCCGTTCTGAATGATGAGAAACAATTCGGAATGTCCATTTAGTCGAAATATAGATTGTATATAGTTTTTTGGGGGTGTCGCGCTTCCGACGGACGTATTATTTAAGTTTTTTTTCAATCGAAAATCAGTGCCTTTGTGGAAACAACGTGTGTGTATAGTAATAATATTTCTGTACGAAAGAATATTTTTCTGCGAAGATTTTTCGATTTACGGCAAAGATCAACGATTTTTCGCCCGAAATTGAAGACAATTATACGTCAATGTCGGTTTCGCTCTAATATTTTTATATGTAGCAATACGTACGCGTATTACAAAATTATTAAATTATCTTCTAATTTCTTTGTTCTCATGTTTATGTTATATTGTCACTTTATGTACAATTACTTTTCCATATTATTATATAAAAAATGTTTTATATGTATCAAATTCGTCTATAAGTATATAATTTCTTTCTATTATCTATTTCATTTTGTGACATGTTTGCTTTCTTGATTTCATTCTTTTTTTGGATTTTATTTGTCACTTTGACTGATTTAAAAAGTATACGAAAGAGTGTAAAAAAGTGTTTGTATTTTATGATGCAAAAGACAAGTTGTTTTCAAAAACCAATTTTGTTTCTTTGGTTAACATGTGTGTGATGAGAAAATTAATATAATGAAAAAATAATTATAAAATAAATAATATATATTAGTAAATTTAAAATTATTATACTGATCCATAAAAAACTCTACTAATTATAAAAATAAAATATTAAAATATTCGTTGCTAAATTTTGGTTTTTGTTTATTTATGTTTTAGTACACAAAGCCGGTGTTTGTAATGTCAACATATGTTAATTGTCGTGCCAAATAATTCTTATCGAAAAGTACTACTTCCCGCTATTTTTCATTATTATCTTGTGATTGTTACATAACTTTCCGGTTGTATGCAAGTTCCAGACGTGTGCGTGCGATAAATCTTCGTGTAAGGCATCAACGACATAATTGTGAGAAAACATGTATTAGATTTAAAAAACGCCCGAAACAAAAATTAAGAGTAAATGTGCGTCCGTCCAAACAGAGTTGATGATGTGTATAATCATCAACGTATCCACATGTATATACATGGATGGATACATCGCGTTGTAAAATCCGTATTTTAAAAACGAATAAATCTTGTTGTCGAGAAGTTCCAAATGTTGATTTACGAAATATTCCGATAACATCGCGTATAATTTCTATTGTTCTTTGTGAAAAGAATAATATTACTTTACCGAGTGAATCGAGATGTGAGCTCAGCGTTTGGAACGTCCGAACAACGTTGTGGACACTTTCCTTTCTTAGAGAGAAAGATGCTTCCAGTGTGTACAATATGAAAGAACGAACGAAACTCCCGGATGAAGGAACGGCATATTTAAGAAATTTAAATATATAACCGTTTCCTCTCCCTTTGTTCCCTTCCCTTCTATTTAAACGAGTTGTAATTCTCGTAGATGTTATATTTATATGATATACATATATACACACATGTGCAATTGTCAATTCTGACGTCGCTGAAATTCTCTGAAAAGAAATTCACATGCGAAGAGAAGTTGGCACGAAAAATTTGAAGATATTTGCAGAAGATTTGTATTTTCGCGGTGCTCCAAACGCGTATAGTTTTTACGTCTCATTCGTTTAGCGTTAATATGTGATTACTTTAAACTTCGATCTCCACACTATGTGTTTTCAACACGTTCGATCATATTCAGCGCTAAATCAATGATCTTATTTCAAGATAAATCGAAAGGCCGAACTGATATAATCTTACTTATGAATAAACATTTATTAAATCTTCTCGGTTAATTGCGTAATATCGGAAGTTGTTGCGTATGATTAGATTATTGTACGTTAAGTCTTTCTCTCTTCCTAAAAACACAGGGTTAAAACGAAAAGAAAAACTGCCTTTAACATAAGTTACGTAAAGATTCAAATGACACACAAGGTTCTCGCAAAAATAGATGAATTAAATAACGTTCATTTAAAGAAAGAGAGAGAGAAAGAGAGAGAGAGAGGGAGAGAAAAGAAAGAATTCGTTTCTGAATTTAGATGTGATCTTTTAGTAATTACGGAATTGAAAAAGTGTGTAAAAAAAGTTTTTCATACCAAAAATATGTGTATGGAATATTTGTTTTAACATATATATGGAACTTAATATTATTAAGTTTATTATCACTACCACTGGGGCTTAATGTTATTTAAGAAACGCGATTCAAATAAAAATCTATACATGTAGATAGATCAAATGTAGATAAATGTTTTTTAACTCAACTATTTTTCGCAGGGCTATATGTGCATGTTAAAAATTACCTAACAAAAATTCTGAAATACATCTATATTATACATATATATAATTTACATTCTCAAAATACTTAAATTTAGTGTTGTTGCGATAATAATACATCGTGCGATTTTACGGACCAATAGCGGAATAGAAAGTCGAAGATTTTTTACACAATAAGTCGTTGGCGTTTTCTATATATCTCGATAAAGTCTCCCAGTTACTTTATGTATATGTTAGAGAGTCCAGTTAGCACTTAATGTTACGAAGTGTAATGTTAAAATTTAGAGATTCAGATCCTATTTATATGTGTCGCTCGTCGGTGTACATGATAATAAAAGTTTTATACATTTATTTGCACGTCTCTTATAATTTATTCACTGTATAAAAATATTAACGTCTTTAAAAGATCAAAGCAAAATTCCAAGAAAGTACATGTGGAAGTAAAGTCATTATGCGTACAAACTAATTAATTACAACCGTACATACACATGTTTTAGCAATAATTATTGTGATAATAATCAAGTATTATTTTCACCGTTGTAAGTCGATATTCCCAAACAGCACAAAAAAAAAACCAAAAAGCATCTCTTCTCTTAAAGGATATCTAAAAGAGAATCAGACATTTTTAAGTCGCTTTTTAGTCGTTTTTTAGAAACATGTGATGTCTGGATCATAGTCTGGACTATTAATTGCGCACTATATAAAATTCAAGTAAAAAAAATGTTAATGACATGAAAATTTTCCGATTATCTGACTAGAAAAATCATACGTTTTATTTGTGTGTAAGCCACGTTAACACGTAATCCTTGACTAAAGATCGTTATTGCGAATGAATCGGTTGCCTTCCGAGTTTTTGCCGGAGTAACGATACTTGCATTTGCCGTATACACCTGAAACAGATTTATTACATTTACGAGCAAAACAAAATTAATTTTAGATAATTAATTTAATGCACCACCAATTTAAAGAGCAATAATCTACCTTTGTGATCTTGAGGACTGCGCATCGAATTCGGCAACGGTGTGTAATGGATGTTGAAATATATGTCGTCAAATTCGTCGCTGCCGGTTTGATTCGAGCTGGGTATAAACTTGCAAAGTAGTTCTGGGACAAGTTTGACTGTTTTGGAATATCTGCCGCGAGCTTTAGCGTTGAGTCTTTCTTCTCGAGTGACTTTCCGGGAATCCAAGAAACGAAGACTCGAAGGTAAGATGTGAATCGCGTAAAGTCTGTAGCGCTCGTAATCGTCGTCGTCAGTGATTGTCGGATTGCTCAGCTGATCCGGACAGCCGGGATTGCCAAGAAGACTCACATATTGTATGTTTGGGCAACATTCTCGTATTCTGTCGAGGGCTTTGTCGATGTTGGATATCTAAAACAAAACCCTTGTACTTTTTGAATTTGAAACGTAAATTTTGGTCAAAATCTGCTAATTGTTTATTTACTTTATACTTGTTTTGTTTTCTCTTATCTCTTTCGCGTTATTTCTTGACAAGTAGAGCATACCTTATTGTTATTCAAACTCAAAGTGGTCAGAGTCGGCAGATGTGGGAGTGTTTTGAGGTCGCTGAGTTTGTTATTGTCCAAGATTAGTTCTTCAAGGTGTTCGAAATCTCTCACACCGGAAACGGAGATTAATTCGTTGTAGGAGAGATCCAGACCGAGACAGTTGTGACCGACAATTCCCACCAGTCCGCTGGGAATCTTTTCCGCTCTCTGCCCTGTGTACCACGCCTAAATTATCCGTTTAATTTAGTAAAAAGAAAAATAAATAAACTTGGAAAAACAACCGCGCGAGAGCGCGGCCGAAATATATGATTTCGCATTATTGGCCGTGGTACGCGCACCGATCAAATTTCGTTACACGTTAGTGAAAGTACAAAGAGTTTTCGTTTACCCGTTCGCTTTTGTGCGTTAACGCGCTCCTATTAAAGTCTTGTTGACTGTAACCCGCCATCTTGCACATGTGCCACGCAAGACATTATCAGACCGTAAATAATACAGATAATGCTTTATGCGTGTACAAATGCATGTACGTCGAAAGTGTAATATCACCATACTTCAACTACTCTTATATGCGAGCCAATACACAGTGCGGCTCGTTGGTCTAGGGGTATGATTCTCGCTTAGGGTGCGAGAGGTCCCGGGTTCAAATCCCGGACGAGCCCGGTGACTTTTTTTTCTTTTCTTTTTTTTCTTTACTAAATTTTTTTTATCTTCAGCACAATTTCTGCGAGTAAATATCTAATATAAGCGACTAATTAAATTCTTTTTACATGTAAAATCTGCATATAGTTATTTTATTCTACATCTTTGTAAACCGAATTTCTTTATCTTCGCACTGATTTCGCGTCTGAACTCGCTTTTGTTCAACTCGTCGCTTTCGTTAAGAACAGCGCGGTAGATCGGTACCGATTCGCATACTGTATTCAAGTGAAAAATAGCTGTTTGTATCGAGCAAAACTGCCAAATAAGCGAACTTTCTTCAATTTGAATTTAACAAAATTTCTTACAGTATTATATAAATAATATTTGTTATTGCACAGTATTATATAATTAATATTTGTTATGTAAATATTGTAAATATATATATAACAGAAAAAATATTTTGCTATTATATACAGTCGCTGAAGGTTTTTCTGGTCTTCTTAGTTTTCTGTATCATGTGAGAAATACTGCTCGATTTCAGAATCGATGTTTTGCTGGTAGATAAACCTGTCTCGCATTTCTTTTCGACTTTCGAGCACATTTGTTTATCCTGTTGTGTGCATTTGCTCTTAGATGATGTGGAAGTGACGTTTCTATCGGTCTTTACCGTATCATCATAGCTGAAACAAATATGTATATGTGCAATATTACAAATTTTAATACTTCCAAATAAATGTAATATACCTATTGTCGTATACTGCGCTGTTCAAAGATATTTCGGACTCTGATTTTTCTTGCTTTGGCAAGCTCATTGCATTGTAAAAACCAAGTACAGATTGAAAGGCTTTTATAAAATCAGCTGGTGCAGCAGCCTTAGTATGAAATAATTGTTCACTGAATGGCTTTGTAGCAATATGCTCTATACAATATAAATGATAGTTCTTAGTTTACCTGTAATACTCAATCTTACAAAAAAACATTTCACTGCAACAGGAAATGCTTACCTCTAATCAACTCAGCTCCTCCCGCTTTATATTCTGCAATTTCTTCATCCTTCTGTTTTACCAAATCTAACAGTATCTCATACCGTTGATTTAATTCCATTGACGACAAGCAAAGAGGCATAGTTACAGCTTCCCAAAATTGCTGTGATGTTCCTTTGAGAAGATCTAATACAAACTTTAATTTTGCGAAATTTTTTTGCAGTTTAATAGGGTACACTAGCTCTATCCGATACGCAGTATCTGTTAAACTACATGTAGTTTTATTTTCAGGAATGTTGTTCAACATATCCATTATTTGTTTCTTCCAATCCAAAGCTTGAAAGTTTAAGAGAGGATTCAGAGTCTACAAATCGATAACGAAGTATATGTATATTTTTTAAATACCAGACAGTTTTCTATCAATACAAAGATCGTGGAAAGGAAAGAAAATAATTTTACTCCTTAAATACTAATCTGTATATTTTTTTATTTTGTACAATAAAGTTTAGCGTTTATAGTGTTCTCATACGCGAAACATGTAGAAATGTTAATTATATATACCTGACATTTGTGAAACATAGTTTCATCTGTCAAAGTTTCCGTCCAAATTTCTGCGAGATCTGTCAAGAGAACTTTCCACGATTCGTTCTCTTTTGCAAAACAAATCATATGTACTTTGTCATTTACTTTGATACTTTTCCAAATCATGTCTTTATCGCGATAATTTGACGAAAGCATTTTTAGATTAATATTAAATAGACAGTCGTCACTTGAAATCCTGATAAAAAAATATTTATTTTTACGTTATGTGCAAAACAATACCTTGTTTGTTAAAAATGACAAGTTTTGAGGTTGGGAAATAGGTTTGTATTTATGTTAAGGCTTGTTTCTACGATGCTGGATGAAAAAAATTGACCAATCGACGCATTCGAATAATTGGTCATTTATAATGACAGCTTTTGCACAACGCATAAGAAAATCATCTAATCAGTCTTTTCTTCGCAATATCGTTTATATGAAAAGCGATTTTGAGACAGTTTGTCTTATATGTAGAGAAAATTAAAAACGTAACTAAAGTCACGTGACAAGAAAGAGTAGAAAAACACCACGTGAAAATAACGTGACTGTAATTTATATTATATATAACATTAAATAATACATATTATACATATAATTTATTATATATATATATATATATATATATATATATATATATATATATATATATATATATATATATATATATATATATATATATATATATATATATATATATATATATATATATATATATATATATATATATATATATATATATATATATATATATATATATATATATATATATATATATATATATATATATATAATATTATACTTTATATTGTATTATATGTATTATATACATACTACAGTAATGTCACTGACCTCCGCTGCGCGACTTTGGTAGGGTCACTGACCTCGGCCGCGCGGCCTTGGCGGGGTACTGACCTCGGCCTCGCGACTTCGGTCACGTGATTACGGTATATATATATACACATATATGCGTTTGTGTGTGTATTATATATATGTATATAGATATAGAATATTACATATAATATATATAATATTCTCTTTTTTACTCTTTTCTCTGTCACGTGTTGTTTTTCCACTTCTCTCTCTCACTATTTTTTGAGTTTGATCTTCATGCGTTATTTCTGACATTTCTCATATGTGTATTATATGGGTTATAAGACGTATATACTATCTGTCATCGCGGTGTCAGTAAACAGGTTGTGTTTACTGACAACACGTTAAATAAACATAACAATAGCGTGCGCCTGTGTTGTGCTAGTATATAAAAAAATACAGAGAGAAGACAGAAGATTAACGAATTTATGGATTTCAACGTGAAAATAAAAGAATTTATGTTGTAAAGATGAAAAATTGACATGTCACATGGACATATAAAAACTTGGCGAAGAATGTGAAACAATCAACAAAAACACAAACAGCAAATACTTCATAGAAATATGATTTGTTTTTTTATTGGAACCTTTACGTTACATCGAAGGTACAAAATGCGAATAATACACGTTTCTCTTGGACTAGATCACTCATTCCGCGAGAACATAACAACTTGCGCGAAATTGCACAAAGATACGATCTCCAATCTTTTGTTGATCTCAAGCAACGAGTCGCCAACCATTTGTATATTATTATTGCGAATTTGTATTTGTAAAAATTTTACGACTCGTCTTAATTTCACGCTTGAGAGTACAAGTTACTTTGTACAGAACTGTATATACATACGAATGACAACAAATGACAAAAATTAATATAATTCAATCTTTGAAAACTTGATTCATCGCGAAATAAAAAAACAGATTAGAGAATATAATAATGTCCATGATGCGCGAACTTGAACAATTTCCGCGATGAAACCTGATCGATTAAAGTTAAAGATACAAACTGCAATCTAGAGCTTGGTGTATAACACAAGGACTTCAGAAGTACACCACAGTCCCGAGTAACTAAATGTATAATGTAACGTAATTACACTATAATACAATGCAATATACAAGCCAGTCGGTCAAGTTATCCCAAGATATAACAGCGTAAAGATTCAAAAAAAATATTCTTTCAGCTTAGTGTAAACCGCAGCCAAACAAATAGCTCATAATAAAAACTTCTATCTTATCTAAAGGTAGGTGCAGTGCTACATACGACTGCGTCGTATATTTATAAAAATTACACGCGCGAGTGAGCAAGTGTCTATGTGTACTTTTAATAATTCGCCGTCGGCCGTGCCGAAGGCCGATGGAATGAACTCTCACATATTCTTTCCACATCCTTGACATACACCGCGTGACTGGTTTTCTTAAATATAGTAATGACCATACATGAGCAAGGGACAATTACATTGAATATTCCACTTCTCAGTCAAATGCGTCAATTGATACTGCAAACGTATCTCGTACCGTTTTATGAATCACATTAAACGTCATCTGGCGGAAATTTCTCCACCAGATTGTGTGATATAAAGTTTTTCAACGTCGTTCATTTAAAATATTTCGAGATTTTTATTATCGTTATTGTGTTTTATGTGTATTAATCTTATATAAAAAATCTTTTGATGTGAAAAAAAAAACTGCAAAAATTACATTTTTATTCTGCGATGATCTCTCTGCAGATCTCATTAGTTTGTGATAATTAAACGTACTATTGATAAGTGTAATGCATTAAATGTACAAAACACCATCTTGAAAGACTATAATGTTGCTCAGCCATAACTTCAATGCGCTTGTAACGTTTGCGTCTATATCGTTAGACGTTATTTTTGTCACACATCAAGTTCTTAGAGACGCAAGTTTTTTATTTCTAATATTTTGCTTTAAATTGTATAATTCAGAATTGTAGACAAATCTCAGTTTTACTTACTTCTCGTTTTGAAAAAATCTCTTTACACTAGTTTTGCATAGTTGGACACTTTGGCGTTTTCTAGTTTTTTTTTTTTTTTTCGATTAAGTTGACAATTTATTCTCCTTTATTATTTTCCTGAGTGTGACCGCTAGCACCTGTTCGCTGAATATTTATATTTAGAACTACGACATTATCGACTGTCGCGCTTTACGCTCTATACATACATATCTACATTGAGCATATCACCTATCCGGTTGTCATAAACGGAGCTGGTAATTCGTGATGGGATCGAAGTCTTTTTGATGAGTGGAATTGAAGGCCATCACATACCCCCACAATTGCATAGCGGTCGCACAAACCTCCTGTATTTCGCGCACCTCTTCGAAGTCCAGGTCGGCTCTCCAATGGAACGGCGCGGCTTTAGAGTTACGGAAGGTGCTCGACACGCCGCCTACATCGTTTTTCGTATGCGTATCCAAAAATCTCTTCACATTTGCGTGAAAGTTCAATCCGTAAAAATCGTAAAGTTCTTTTACATGTTTGTAAGGATCCACAGACAAATCCTCGTAGCGCACTACTCTGTACATACACATACAAAGAACTAATCATTTATAGCAAACACAAGTATTAAGTCAAATAAAAATTAGTTTCACATAGGGTGAAGTTTTTATGGAAGAAATAAATGTCATACATATGTTGTTTCAAAAAACATCAGTACAATTATGATTACCTGAAAGTATGCGGATACTTTTTCGAGAATTCCACTGCCGCGCTAAAATCTGACACCATATCGGCGCAAACTAGAGCCGGATCAGAACAGTCAGGTTTGGCAGGACACCATTCCCTGTGCTTTCTGGATTGCAGAATACCTCTCGGGTCGCGGACGAGCAGAACCAATCGCACTCCTAGTCTATGATAAAAAGAAACACACATGCGTGTTACATCTTTCAAACATTTTTTTTATACTTTAAGAAATAATGTTTATCACATTATTTCTTACTCTTCGTCAGCCAAGAGCTGCTTTGCCGCACGCAACCTCAGTCGCACGAGCTTCATCGACTGAAACGGAAAGAGCCGACAAAATTTGTTAACGAAACGTGGATCCCAACAGATACGTTTATGCGCCTGGCACTGCTTCCACAAATGCGTGTTGTGATTGAACACCCAAGGATGTGTTTTTCCATAATTCAGGTACCGGTCTGCAGTAATTGAGATTGTAAGTAGTCACTAAATGTTACTTTCACAAGCAAAAAAGAAATTATAGAAAATTACCAAGCTCTTTGTATTCACAATTCAGCAGAGAGACGATTCTCGTCAAGGACTCGTCGGCAAGCGGCGGTTCGCGAATCTGCACAATTCCGTAATCGAGCAACGGCTCGTAATGATAAAAATTCGCTGGATGCGCGTTTACCACGTCCCCGAGAAACGTGCTGCCGCTTCTCCAACTCGTTAGAATTACGCTTCTTATAGGCTTTCCGCCCATTTCCATCACTAAATCTTCGAGTTTGCTGTAGATAATGAATAACAATTTTATCCCAATTTTTTCAACACAGCAAATTTACAGGTAACGTTACGACATTTTCCGCACGCATAAAGACTTGCCTGACATTGATCTTATATCGTCCATTTGGATACTCATAATTTTCCATCTCCCTTCTGATCGCTCTTCTTTGCTGATCGACCACTTCTTGAATTTCAATGATAGTACCATTTTCTGTGGATCCTGTAAAATATGCCTAAAAGATCAAAAGAATTTGATCAATAAACAGAAATGTTATTTTAATCTCTAGTAGTATATTACATAAAAACAAAATGCGTATTAAAAGATGCTTCAAGTCTCAAAATAGATACGCACCACATTTATCTTAAATAAGTAAACACAGAAAATAGTTTGGTTTTTTTCTAGATTTAGTTACAAAAAATAAAAGATAACATCACTCATTGTTACATTTAATGAGATTGGATGTATAATACTGTTAGTCACCTTTATTTAAGCGTTTTTATTATAAACTATATAGTAAACACATGAATAAATTCCATTTATATTTATTACACAAGCAAATGAAGCAAAAGATTATTTTCAAACATTATCAAAAAGCAGAGAAGTATGTTAGTGAAAAGGTACGCACACACGCGCATATATGTTATTAAATTAACACAAGTAAGTTAATAAATCTGTTTAATAAATTTTTTACTTTATTATGATATAAAAAAAAGGTAAAGAGAAAATGTGTTTTATCACATACATTATTTTATCATAATTTTAGTTAATAACAAAAACAATTAATGAACTTTACATATAAGTTCAAATATTGCAAACATACAAGTTCTACAAATATTATAAATTAGATGAAGATTATAAACATATATTTTATCTCACAGAATTAATATCATTTAAGATAACAAAAAACAGATACTGAAGAGACAGAAAGCTCTAATTACACATTTCATGTGTAAAAATTGCTATGTGTCTAAAGTGTCAATTACGTATTTTCAATATTACGATAAGAAATTCTAATGATTACACTGACAATAAAATAAATACAATAACTAGTGTAGCATTCAAATCGGTGTGCATACCTGGCTTACCGTTACTGATTCTTGAATTTTCGTGGTCCGTGGCCTTATCTCAACATCCTATATTGAAGAAGAAAGCATTGCCGTTTTAGCGTTTTTTTTATTGTGCGCGTTTTGATAGTGAACACGAAAATGCCACCGATATGATCGGTAGTGTTTTTTTTTCTCTTTCTCACTCATGTTAATGTTTTTGAAAAGATGCGCAAGAGTGCGAGTATAGCAGAGTACCCATAAATTTATCGTGAGATTATTAGATTGTTTTATCAATTGTTGGAAGAGTGAAAGTGTCTTACTAAAAAGTGCTAGTCTACAGAAGCATGCTCACTTGAGTAAATATCATATAATAGTATTTACATATGTGTCTGACACATGTGTTTTACAACAAAATTCAATGAAACTTTTGGAAAAGACTTACATTACGTTCGAGTACTTTGCAAGCAGTGAAAGTACATTATATCATCAGTTAACTACTTATCACAAAGAAGATAAATCGCAGCCTTTTTTTTTTTTTTAATTTTAATTTTACATTACACAACCCAGTTATGGCGTTTATCAATCTCGCAGAGAAACTTGATAATTGTTTTTAATTAGAATTATAAAAAAAAATATATACATAACATTTCATAATTATGGTAATTTACAAGCCTGTGATAATGTGTGTGTGAAAGAGAAACGGGACGAGAAATAAAAATGGGAGGGAAAGGAGAGAGAAAGCAAATAGTCGATCTTTTTTTTTTTAATAATAGTTCTGTTGCGAGAGTTATGTTATTAGTGTATAAGAGATGGATATAAAAAAGAGAGTTAGGTGCAAAAGTTGGACTTTACCGTCAGAAAGAGCGTGTTTGGCGTGACTCAATTTAGAGCAATCCCCACCTCCGAATTTTTACTGACCGATATCATCGGCTGCAGTCGATGCTCGAGGTAGCTGCTGTAGCGCTGATTAAATGCTAGGAAGAAGATGCAGATGGACGCCAGGCCTACCAGACCATAGAAACTCAGCCGCTTCGACATCCTTATTCCTATAAAGCGCAGGAACTTAAAAAGATAAACACAAATTTGTACACACACGGGTTGAAAATAATAAATTGTAGATATATGCAGTTGCATAGCAGCATTGATAAAATAATTCATAATGAAAAAGCGTTAAATATATCGTAAATTTTTTAGTAAATACTTTTTTTATATATCTTGTCGTAAACACTTTTTAAATAAAACATCACTATGCAATGTCGTAAACTTTTTTAATGTAAAAACAACAGTTTTATCAGTTTAGTAGTTGACAAGACTTTAATATGACACTATAATGTATTTTGACTTATTGTTGTGTCGTCTTTTTGACAAGCGGTCACAATTTTGTTTATTAAGATTGAAGAGATGATCGAAATATTTCAACGCTAATTTTATTTATTATTTTTTCACTATTATCATAGCTCGTAAGATTTGTTTACTTTCACTTTGGATAAACACTTTTGCATGATTGGCAAGTGTTCACAAAATTCGTCTAAATTAATACAATTATTACAATTGATTATTATAGTTACAAAAAAATGTACATATGTAATGCATATTTAGTACTTCGCTTTTATCAAAAGCGTGACATATAACATTTAGGGCAATTAATTATAACAACAATCGCGTAGCACACATGCAATTAATGATAAGAGATAATAACTTCATCATCGACGGACCGACGTTTCAATCTCTCTGCATTCATTAAATTTCCTTTGTTGGTTGCATAATCGCAATAAAAAGAGCAACAGCGAAAGAAATTAGAATTAAATAAAACATTTGGATAATAAAAGCAAAGTTGTTTTTTACTGTTTACTCGATAACGGAAGCCGCGATAAGACACGACCGCGACACAAAACGATCGATTGCAATTTGGAACGCGATTTGTCTCACCTATGACACGGAACTCGCCGTTAAAACAAATCCTGGTCATCGTATATTTCTCCTTGATCACGCCGACGAAAATCAACTTCCACCACGTAATCCGATAGTTTCGAGTTATTGTTGTTACCTCGAGACGCAATAAGAACCGGTCGAGAACATCAGTAAACGATCTCTTTGTTTGTAGGCGCACTCAAAAAAAAATTAATCTCATGTTTAACAAAACAAACGCACTCCGAATGAAATTCCAAACGTATCGCATGCTAGACATTTTTATCGCGTGTTTACATCGAGAAGAAACCGCGTTGTGCGTTCGAGCGAAAAATCGATTCCGTTTGCGCACGCCAATAGAGCCTGCGATAATTAAATTTTCCCCAGTTTGTTTTTTTTGCTTCTTATTCAATAGCGCGTTGACCGTCCACCCCAGTCCGCGGTACAAATATAGACAAAGACTGGTATAGGTAACTGCGGATTGACCTGGTGCGGCGCTCAGTCGGCGACAAAACGAGCGAGCTATGTATCTCCGCACGCAACGTGAGCGGCACGCGTACCAAGTCGTAATGAATAAATAAAGGAGCGGAGCGGGCATTTTGCTTGCGGCAATGACTATGACGACAACAAACAACAATGGGAAATAAACTCATGATGCGCGGGTAACGCGCGAACGGACGAATATCCGTCTTCGTCGCGCGCGCGACGTACGCGAGAATTTTATCCACGCGTCACGCGATTAGCGAGCGATAAGCGTGGGCTATCACATGACAGTTCGCGCCAAAGGGAGGAAGCAGAAAACGGAAAACGAGTTTCTTATCGTCGCGTTCACATCAATGGATCAATTCAATTGTCTCTCTTTTTCTTGTTATCTTACCTCGTAATCGCACTCATGTAGTCGCTATGTATTCGGACGAGTAAAGATGTTCGTCATGCTACAGCGGCGGCTCAGTACCGATGGAACGGCAGCAGGAATCGAGCATAGCCTCGAACCGCCTCGAGGACGCAGATAACACGCCGCCGGCGAGCGACGCTCATTGTGGCAGCCGCTCCGCCACAGATAGCCTCACAATAATTCACTAACGAATAGCCGAAGACGTATCGCTGCCGACTAGGAACTGCTAGGAATGAGGCCATGTCAATAGGCGGTCGCCATATTGATTTGATTTACATATATATATATATATATATATAATTCGCTGTTATTATTTACGTTGATATATTGATTTCAATTAGTAACAGCAAAGAAAATAATCTTGTATCGTTAAATATGTTGTGTATATTCCGAAGTAAATAAATAATCGTCAAAAAAGTACATGCGTGCGATCAGAGTTGCAATATGCACGCACACACACTCATATTATATATATGTTATATAAATAATGAATATATATGTTCTATATTAGAAAATAATCCTACTATTTTTTCTGAATACAATATGTAGCGTTTTTATTGCGATCGCAATTCGCGCATTACTTTCGAAACCGGAACTTCTCGGAGTCTCTTCGCAAAATTCGGAATTTCACCAGCGTTGTCTCGTTGTGTGCAATAACAACGCCGGTGGCAGCACCGTACGATCGCTAATTCGCGTCGGGCGACACGTATTTCGTGTTACTACGTGAACTGCGTAAATCGCACGATATTTCGCACACGACGACAACGCGACGAGGGAATCGAGCCGTTTCGTTGTAGATAAGGTATGTATAAGTGTTGCTGTACGCACGAAACGAGAACCGCAATCTCTTGTTTGCCGGTTTGATTGGAATAGCCAAGCGAAATAACAGCCCAGTCGTGTCGACACGTTCAGATAAACAACGGAGACGCGCGAGCAATTTCGCGCGGCCAATGCAATCCGAGTTGACGTACGCAAAGATGGTCGTTTCTGCGACCGCATCTGGTCAAATGACTGTGACAATCGCTCTTATCGCGGTAAGCCGTTAATGAAAACGAACAACGCGGCATCTCTTTTCCGATCGTTCAGCCGCCAAATTTCAGGTAAATAGCGACGATACGTGTGCTCCAGTATGCTTGAGGCGATACGAACAAATAGGAAGATCGCGCGTATGTATTTTTTCCGCATCGAATTCTCCCGGACCGGCCCGAATTCGTTAGTTTCGACATAAAAATCCGAAAAATAAGCGTTTTTTTTTCGGAAAATTGTACGAAAAAACGTTCAGACAATTTTCGTTCTCTCAACGTCCATTCTGTCGATAAAGTCATATGGGCTGATATTTGCTAAGGAGTGGGGGAAGGAGTATGATATTTACATTTAAACTCCCAATCGGTTAAGCTCATTTTTGTTATTTATTTTAACGGTTTCTTTCCGAGATACGTGACAGTTGATAAGAACGCCGATAGGTTGGATTTGCAGGTAATTGGCCAGTATATCGATCAAAGGTTTGGGCTATGAAAATGAAGATTCCAAATGGTGGATCCGGAAACGGATACTACGGACATGAAACAGGCATCACTGCGTCTTACGTAGACAACAGCAATGATCCGGAACCTGAAGTGCAAGCAACAGGTGACACTGATTTCTCAGAATATCTGTGGATGGAAAATGAAGAAGAATTTGACAAACAGGTACATTTAAATGGAAATGTGCAAACATGTAAATTGTACAATTTTATTCAAAATTTTCTCAATTTTACCGATTTTTTTTTATTCAGGTACTTCAACAACTAGAAGAAGAAGCATTAATGGAAGAATGCTTGGAAGCAATGCTAGAAGAAGAACGACAACATCAGAGAAATATAGACTCTTCAGTTGCTACAGCTTGCATGACTGAGAACAATGCAGCAGAGCTTTGCCAGCAACTGAACAGTCTGAGTATGCATGACGACAGTCTTGCCAAACAGGTACCTGTTCTAGTATTTGTTTTATTGTTAATTTTTTTTATGAAAAATAATTGTATTTGACATTATTAATCACTATGTTGTTCCATGTGAATGCAAATGTTTAGAGCACGCTAAATCCGGACGCGGCCGAATTTGTTCCAGCATTTCAACCGGCATCAGCATCGATTGTACCTGTAAGTACATCATCAGAAACCACGATCACGTATACAGAACCATCGTAGAAACCTCCTTATCTATATTTATAATCGTCCCTCTCTGCGTTTTTAAGTCATGTTAAACCGGGCTACATGTAACAAGTAGAGTCCTCCTATTTCGAATCGACAGTCGTGTTGCAAATTCGATGACTGACTGTATTTACAAAGACAAGAATAATGAGCGCGACTTGTGTGTATCTTATTCACGGCATCGGAAGGTAATGCTACTTACGCAACCCGAGTAATATAACTGAAGTTTTTATAGACGAGAGATATCATACGTGATATTGTGTAGGATATATGTATATGTTTTGCCGAAATATTAATGAACAAATTATGTACAAATCACTCGTTAACAAAAATTTACAGTTTGTATTTCTTATTTAACAGATATTAATCCGTTTCTCAATTTAATCATTGAAAAAGCAGTTTAAATTTGCATATAATTTGTATACATTTCCAAAAAAATCCACAATGTTTTTTTGAAATGGAAAAGTATACGTTCTATTCAAGATCTTATTCAAAAATACGCGAAAAATACGTAAATCTTGCTCTTTATACACAATCTATATTATATAAAAATGTAAAACTTCTCGCACGGAATGGTAAAATTTTTTTTACAAAAGATTTTACAGCATGATATATTCGTCTGCACAAAGAATACTTGTCTTAAGAGTTCCTTTTCTAATACTATAGTAAAAAAGAAAAAGATGCGATGAGAGATGTTCACAGAATTGTTAGCAGAGCATGTGTAGGAATCGCGCGAGACGCAAAGAGATACGTCAGATTTTTTATGAATAATTTTCAGACAAGAGTAAATCACAAATCAAGTAAAATTGTTTATCAAACAAGTATTTATCGAATACTCATATAAAAGAGAGTGTTTATTTATTTATCACGTTTGTGTTGTTATCGAAAATTCCGGATAAGAGGAAGATATGGCAAAGAAAATCACAATGATCGAGTCCTACTTCAGCATTCATTCAAGAAACTTAAAGATCTCAATCGAAAGTCTTACTTACAGGCTGTGAGGGACTCTTTTTACAATTCTTTAGTGACACCGAGAATCAGGACGTTGCTTACTTATTTTGTAAATTAATTTGCGCAAGATAAAATAATGTATTTTGAAATTTTTAGAACATAGAATGTGTTAGAATTGTAAACCTCTCTCGATTAAACATGAAAATAGGATTAAAAAAAAGACGGTAAATGTACTTCAAGGCAACTTGAATAGCAAAAAGGTTGATTTAAACTTTTGTTACAGCATGTTATATTTGTATATGTACTTCACTACTTATGAAAATGGATATCTCGGATGGATATCCGGGAAAATGAATTATATTTATTTGTATATTTAATACTTTTTATCGTGTAGTTTATTTTTTATCACTCTATTGCTTTTTTTTTTTTTAATTTTAGTCTTATAAAAGACCTATAAACGTTCAGATTGTATTTATTCAACTCACGTATTTACACATAGAGTTATATAATTTGTAAATTCATAAATCAAACTTTTTGCAATCTAAGATTATAATAGTGATAAAACGCATTCGCGCGTGCTTACGTACGGTGTGATATCTGCCATTCTTTTTAATTATGAGTAAGCATACGAATTTTTAATAAGATCTATATATATATATATATATTTTTTTTTTTTTGTTCTTTTTGTTTCGCGTTCTATGTATTTTGTGTACGTGATAAATGCGCATTGTGTTTTTAGTCCCAACCCGGTTTAGCACGAACATAGAAACTGTGATTTTTAAAGCAGCGTTACTAAGTTTATCGAATGTTACTAATGTGTAAGATATATGGCAATAGTCTCTTTGTGGACTCACCACAAGAATTTCTTGATTCTACTTTCATCACTCTTTATTTTTTAAAAGATGAAATAGTAATTATTCGTGTACACTCGATCGCAAACTTAAGTGGTAGCAGACTATAAAAAGTCACGACTTTATCGATGCACAACTTTAGAAATAATCGTGTTTCCCACATTACGCGTTGTGTCTGTAAAATGTAGAGAACAAGGGGATTATAAATTTGCGATATTGATTTCAAGCAAAAAAAAAAAAAACAAAAAACAAAAAACAAAAAAAAACACCCAAGTCTAAACAGAGACTGATTTCCTCATCCATTTTTACATCAGCTTTAATATATCAAACTGTATACTAGATCATATTCATCTTTTAACCATCACTTTATACAACTGGCTACTCTATAGATTCTGTGTAATATAGAAAATCATCAATGTTCTATCTTATAAGATACATGATATCAAGATATACAAATATTCTGATAATATGCTAATCACACATCTATCAAATTTATAAGACACAATCTTGTTTTTTCAGTCTTTGAACTTCTCGAACCAACTTGCTAAACTAATAATCGAATCTCTCTCTTTTGACGAATATTAATCCTGATTCGTCTCCCGCTAAGTCTCTTGATTATTCATCGTTTGTTTGCTGAATAGAAAAATGCGATGGTTTATCTACAGATATTATATAAAAATAAGAGGCAATCGTGTGTGAAAAGTATATGTCATAAGTGTATGTATACATATATATACGTATATGTATACATGTTACAGTAAAAGAATCGATACATGTGCGAGAGCGATTCCGTGCTTTTACTGTAACATATATATCTCATCACTTTGAAATTGTACAAATTTTGATTTTACTTTAACGTTGTTGTCGAATGTCATGAAGATCATCTAATTATACGTGACATATAAGATATATTACATCACAATAGACACCATGTGAGATTTGCAATGTGCATGAACGCCGCATAATATTTTTGAGATCTAGATTCCTCTCGTCTCGAATCTTTTGGTAATTTTAACTTCTCGTTTAACTCACGCGCATGATTTGCTATTTATCTATATACATATATATATGTATATATATATATATGATATGTAATAGTAAGAATTATTATTAGGCTATTCTAGATTTAAGAAACATGCAGCTGTATAATCCTCTCGTACAGTACAATGTGTGAGGCAGTACTAAAATAAAAATAAAAAAAAAATTAAATAAATATAAAAACAAACAAAAAACAATTAGCATACAAACATAAATTATCGTAAATCTCGTTGCGATTATATATACGTATGTATCTATGCAGTACTCGAGGGAAAGAGTGCGAATGTAGTTTCAGATTCTCATTAAGAGAAAGTCGACTATTTTGTGTGTTTATATAAGAATAATTGTTATCTTCCCTTAGCGTTATGTTGATCAAAGGAAAAAAAAAAGTACAAAAGCAAAATGACATAAAAATGTAATTTTCACACTTTCTTCCGGAAGAATAGTATAGTCGTTATTCTACGTTATTGTATTATTTATAATATATACTTCGTGCAATGCAAATTTGTATTGTAAAGTAGTGCGTATATGTGTGCATATACATGCATACATACATATATACGTATAGATATATTAAATTTACTACATACAGATAAAACAAATACTTTTATATATTACAATAATTTAATTTATAATGCCTTTCGTTACACACACACACATACACACTTAAATTTTTGCATTTGTGGTTTTTGTGTCTGCTCTTTATTTTGTTCTGTAGCATTTAACATGTAGCGTTAAATTGAAATATATAAACATGTATGTATATGTATCGAAATGTAGATAAAATTTAGTTTTTAATACTTTTCAAATCCCACATTAATTATAATGGAAATAGAAACGCTGTCAACAGTTTTATGAGAAAATACATGCTGAGAAGAAAGAAGTCAATGTGAGAAAAGCATCACCTTGTATTTGGCAGCATATATCGAAGAAAGGAGATTACAATGTCTTAATCTTAAAAATAATTTCAGTATAATTAATATTTGTGATATAATAATATAAAAAAAGCAATATTTCAAATTGATCGCTTAGTATTTTAGTATATTGGCATCTACTTTTGCACAGTAAGTTAATACTTCGCTTCTATATGAAGAATGTGCTACGTATATAACAGTATACAGAGTGTTTCTAAAACTGAACGTTTTAAAATAAAATCAGATATCTTAAAACAGCAAGCCAATAAATTCAAATTTCTAAATACATATTTGACAAACAATAAAATTATAATTTCAATAGTTAAATTGAAAGTTTGAATAAATCTCGTATATCTCAGTGCACTTTTTCCTACAAATTTAAGGATTATGAAATATATTAGTTACAAGAGAGGAAATGAACTTTTTTATATTTAATCATTATTATATATAAAAAAAAACTCAGTCGAGAAAGTGAATTATATAGGAAAATTTGTGTAGAAATTCTTTTACTCTTATAATTCTTTTTTATATAATTATATAGATGATAAAAGAAACAACTTTGAGACCATTAACATCATAATACTTTGATGTATCTTATTCGAACTTCATCACATGTTACAAAATACGGAAAACATTTCATAGATACGCGTTTATTTATAAATAGAAATATATATATATATTATATATATAGAATTATGCGCAACACATACAGAGCGCTACATGTATTGTTCTATTTTTTTTTATCTTTTGGCCTTTCACTCGAACTTACTATTGTATTTTGTAATGGTAAAGTGATACACTAAGTTTTTAATGTATACTATCGTTATAAATACCCTCTTGAGATATTTAATTATTAAAAGTAGTAAAATTATTAGACACGAGAGTTTAGTGTTCTCATTGTTGCGGTATCGATACAAAAAACGAAAAGTTGAAATCTGTTTTCCTCGCGTACTTCTTTTCATTCAGTTGTTCGTCATACAAATATCAGAAAGAATATATTGTTCGTAAAAAAAAGTTCGTAATTATATATTTATATATTTACATACAAGTTAATATAAATACTTAAGCCTGCAGTCTCTCTTGATTTCGGTACAATACTGAGTCAATTCATTATTAGGTCTTATTTATCGATCTTATATGAGCTTGATCAACAGGAAGTGATTGAGCTTCTGAAAGTTTTCCCACATGATAAAAGGACAATACAAGTTCAACGTTGTGAGATATTGCGCGTTTCAAAAATATTTTTACAGACACTAAAAATAACTGTTATATAGTAATATAAAAAATACATGTCATATAAAAAAAAATACAAATTGATAATAAAGAATATTTTGCTTCCAAAAAATAAATTATGGAAAATATATTGGGAGTTTTTGCAATTTGTTACACGGATAAGTATCACTTTTGTTGCTTATCACTATTATTATCTTTATAAAATACTGCAATTGATAATTAACTTGATGTGAAACGCTAACGCGTATCTTGATCTATAAGTGTTGAACATGAAATAAAACCTTGTATACACGAGAGATAATTGTACAATCTTTTAAATTCACTAAACAGATATAATTTGAAAATCATTGTTCTATTTGGGCCCTTTGAATATTGAAGATATATATGTATAAATATGTATATACGATTGTGTTAGCTTTTTTTTAAGGTATTTATCGCGCAACGATGTCAAAAACCATTATATTATGCTCAAAAAGTCCGTACAATTATTTTTGTCGATGCAATAAACACTAACACGTAAACAAATTACTTATTCGGATAGACGCATACTAATGCATATTGTGCTGAATTGCGAGTCGGCAACGTCGCACGCGTCTAATCAAATCTGTTATTTTGCTCAAACAAAAATGGTAAAATGACTTCATGTTCGATATAAAGATTATTTTATAAAAAAGTGGCATTAAAAAACGCTTAAATGTAACTTCGGATATGACGGACGCTTACAAGGTCTTTCACTTGAAACATAGTTTAAATTGGAAGAGTAAATAATAGATTCTACGCGACAAATATCTTATTTCGTGTTATTGAAAATTTTCTTTCAAAAAAAATTCCATTGGTTATTTATTAAGATTATACAGTTTTTTATTTTACTATTGTGTACTCGGATAAGATCCGACATGAGTGACAAACTTACAGATATCCCCCAAGTTTAACATAATTATTCGAAATAGTAATTCGGTTAAAAGATGTAAAAATTTAAACTGAGAAATCGCATCCTTCTCTTTTCCAATAAGTCTGTGTACAATTGTCGGACCTTAAGAGAGAACTAATAATATGTTACGTATATATATTTTATATACATATACATATACATATATAAAATATATAGTGTATACCACACGTAACGTTTGTATAACCAACAGATATTCTAATGATTTGCATTTTAAACTGCGTCGAAAATAAAACAATATCTTGGTTTTGCAATGCTCGAAAGGTGATGCCATATAATTAATATATTATCTACTGTTTTTTTTTATGTACTTATACGCAAAAGTTCGGGAGAGCTTATACGCTCTCGGTGGGACTCTGAAATTCCGAAAGCGCGTGTATAGGATTCTGCACCTTCTTTTGCGAACCTTTACGTACTTTCGCTCTTACTTCTTCTGGCCTCTCAGGACGTACCAACGGTTTCTTCTCCGGAGCCTTCATCTTCCATATGACGATAGGAGACTAATCGAAACAAATGATAAACGTGTATTAACAAATATACATACATATACATAAATATACATTTTTTTCATAACTTAGTGCAGCGTCGTGCTCGGGAAATATAAAATATGTTTGGCATTGTAATTAATATTAATTTTTTTTAATATTTGATGGGTGATTTTTTAAATTGACATATACTTACATACTAAAAATCCACGAGTATTAATGAGTGTTGGCGAAGAAGAACGTTTGTTAAATGTTGTTAATAAACAGCACTATTTACTGTAAATTGCTAAATAAAATGATGAAACTCACCGTTACCGTAGATTGTCGTGGATACTTGGTTGATGCGACGTAGGAAGCCTTCACAGTAAGCACGACGGCGTTCATTAAGTTTTTGGCAGCCTGTATGAGAGAGGTTGCACTGTCTAGGCCGGAGACAATCAGCTCACCACTGATATTTTGCACGTCTGCTTTTACTTTACTCGTGATGTTCATCTGGTGACAATAAAGCGCTATGCGTTGCAAATACGCCAGGAGATCTTTCTTCGTGGAGCTTTCCGGACACTGATCGGCAATTTGCCTGGTCAATTTGTCCAGCTTCGTGCCGGCTTCTGAGATTTTCTTCGCCGCGTTTATGACGTCCATCGTTGTCTTAAGAGGACCTCGGCCGCGAGTGAAGTCCGTCATTTCCATCATGATCATGCACATGTACTTGGCCAGAACGATGATATCATTACCGGCGTCGTCCCATTTTGCCACTTCCTTATCAAACTTGAGCTTCTCACTTTTAAAATATTCAACTTGCTGCAGAATTTTCTGCTTATCTTCTTCCGGCATCTTTCTCATCGCCTCACGAGCAGTTGTAATGCCACTGATCTCCGGATATTCATCCACGCCGTGCTCACCTGTCTGAGCACTGGACTTACTGCGCGTCTCCAATGTATAATGTTCATCCAATTCTACGTCTTCGGGATCTAGATCTTCGTCCGCCTAAAAATAAAAAGAGAAAAACCAACGAATTAAAAGCACGATGAGAAGAGAGAGAGATGAGAATAGTTGCGAGAAACTTGTAAAAACCAAAAACTTCTTTCATACCCTGTTCATAAGCACAGCTCGCCTGATTTCACGAACTCCGTCGTAAACGAGCCTGGACGCGTCAATGAAATCGTTCTCGTCCACTTCCTGCGCTGGATTGCTGCGTAGAGCATTTACAGCTTCCTCTACTCGTTGCTCGAAGTTGGGCATTACTTGTTTTCTAAGAACCTTCACCGCTTCGAGAACTCGTTTGGTATAGATGCACGGCTCGTAGTTGTCCATCTCGGCCTGCACTACGTTGCACACTCTGGCCGAACGGCCGAGTATTGCACCCGCATGTCTGTCCAGAGTGTCGGCGTCACCGGGTCTCACTTGTAACGCCAGCACGCACTTGTTAACGTCGTCCAAGATATGATTCTCGGAAACAGCAAGAAAATCATCTATCGTCGTAATATCGTCTACAGCTTCTGTCAGAACGCGCATCTGATTCTCCCATGCTTGGCGGAACACTTTCATATTTTCTTTCGCTACGTCTGTATTACGCGCCGCCCAGACACGGGCGGCATTGATCACCTGCGGGCAGAGATTCTCGATTTGTGCCGCGGCATAACGGACCATCTTTACGCCGTCTTCGTTGTTGGACATGCTGCACACTAAATTAGCGACCTATTCCAAGGCAATAAATACAATTCTATTTATTATTATATAAAGAAAAATATACTTGTTTCAAACAAACGATCTTGTAAGATAAAAAAAATATCTCGAAAGAACGATATTTTCGAGAAATCATTTAAAAATAGACTTGCCTCAACCAATTTGTTTGCGTGTTCTGTAAAGATGAGAGCATATTCTTCTACTTCCTTGACCCAGCCTTTCTCTGCCGCTTCGTACAGAGCCTGTAACGGCGCGTTTGTTTCTAGAAAACTATCTGATACGTGATCCACCACGGCTTTGCGCAGCTGTCGACGAAGATCACGAGTCTTTCTACACATGTGATCTATCGCTCTCTCCAGGCCTTCAGATTGTTCCTTAACTCCCATCTGTTGAAATGTATTTATTACAAGATTGGTTAAGCAGGAAGAGAGATTTATTGAGACTTTTATATATACTTTCAATTTTTACATAGCTGCGAAGAATTGCTCAACATTTCATATCATTAGTATGTTAGTTTAAACTCAATTTGTGTCGCAAAAATAAATAGAAATGTATTATAACAAAGTAACATATGTGAATCAATACCATAAATATATGTATATATATATATATATATATGCATATACAGGATGTCCGACAATTAATGTAAAATCTCTCATAGGCAGGTAGGAGTAAAACTGAATCGAAAAGTCCTGAACCATTTTTTTCTATTACATATAATAAAGAAGTAATTATTGAATAAATCAAGCCAATCAGCGCCGACCTTTAGTCAAACGCACGTCAGTGAACCATGGATGAATCACCATGAACCACCTGGTGTGCGTCAGCATTCCGCTCGGCTCACTGACGTGCGCCTGGCTAAAGGTCGGCGCTGATTGGCTTGATTTATCCGATAATTACTCCTTTATTATATGTATAATAGAAAAAAATGGTTCAGAACTTTTCGACTCAGTTTTACTCCTTCTACCTGCCTACGAGAGATTTTACACTAATTTTCGGACACCCTGTATGTATATATATGCACATATACATGTGTTAATAAACATACAAAATGTTTCCCAGAATATATTACTTACACTGTAACATGATAGTTTAGCGATATATTTGCAGCAAGCATTATTCTCTAATATTCTCTACACTCCTCTAAGCTAATCTATTGTTTTGTTCAGCATTTTATAATTTGTACTTAGACGTTTTGTTATTTACATAACTACCAAGTGATATTAATCGCTTAATGTTCGTATAAACGTGTGAAAAATTAGACAATCAAGTAAACAAATTGTTGGCATACAGAGCTAATAATGATCTAACAATTAGTGCTGGTTAACTGAATAAAAAGTATGCAACGCGGTAGAATGTGAGAGATCTAACAAAATATGTGTAGAAACCCGCAGAAAATACTTCAATAAATATGCAACCAAAATACAAACAAAAAATGTTGGATTATACTCCGCATATTTACCCGTTTCCCACCCCGAGCGCGCTGTAACTGGCCATCACCAACAAAAACAAATCAATAGAATATACATTTTCATACATTTACAAAAAGAATAGATCGTGTGTATAAATGATACAAATTGTTGGGTACAATTTAACACAATGTACATAATTAACAAGTAGAATGTATAATAGCGACTCTCTACTTACATTATTCATGTATTCGCTCAGAAGATCTTGCAGCGCTTGTCTAACGGCGTTGCACTCAGCGACAATGCGTTCTCTGCGCTCGTCCCGAGTACACGACGAATCCGCCATCAAAGCGGCTCCGCTAATAATGCTCTCCAATCGTTCCTCGAGACTCGGCCGTGTGCGAACCTCATTGTACGCGAGCGGAGACATGACCATTCTCTCATCGAAGTCGTCCAACGCGGCGGCCAGTTCGCCCGGACCGTCATAAGGATGTTGACTGTCGGGCGGCGTTTTTCCTTGAGCAACATCATTTATCGTGTTGACAGCTTCGCAGACCTGCTTCAAGACGTAATCTCGATTTGCCTTGGCCGCCGCCAGGTCGGGATGCTGCACGAACACCTTGGAAGCAGTAAGCAACATAGTGGAATGTTTTTTCAAAACCGCCCGAGCTGCCGCCAAGTCGTCTCTTAGTTGCGGATCCTTCAGTTCTTGCTGGCGTTTGGCCGCCTGTTGAATCAATTCCGCAGCATTCCTGCCGAACTCCTTGATATTCTGAATCAATTCGCCTTGCGATGAGGCATTTTTCAGCTTCTTCAGATCGTCTTCAACAACGTACAATGACTTCAAGAGCAAATGAACGTCAACCATGTCTGCCAATATGAGCAGACGCGTCACCGCTGACAATAAATTTCGTGCGGCACGCACCATGTTGCCGCGTTTCAACGATGAACACGGATCTTCAGAGAATTCCCTATATAAACAATTTATATATTGAACATAAAATAGTATGATAGAATATAACATTTTGCAAAATTATATTACAAATAAAAGAGATAGTACCTAGCAGCAATGCTCATTGCTGCACCTGTTTTTCTCACTTCTTCCACAGCACTTAACATTTCTGCTGTAATATCTGGATTTTCATAAGCGATCTTTTCACCTTTTTCAATAAAATTGGCGGTTGCTTTTTCTACAGTTCCAACAAGCGCGCTAGCTCTCTTTGACTTTCCTTTCTTTTTTTTGCTTGGACCTTTTGTGTTTACTAATGTAGTGACTTGGAGCACCAATGGCTCCAATGTCTTCTCTACTGACATGGTTCTTATCTCCAAGTTTTTGGGATCCCATTTCAGAGTAATTGGTCCAAAATGATCAGACATGTTTGTAATATTAATATCTACTGTACAAAACAAAATTTCATGTTTTGTTTAAAATCAGTATTGCTTAACACATTTTAAAAAATAATTAGTTGATATTGTTTAGGACATTTTACAAAATAATTAATTGTCAGTTATTCTCAAATAATAAACTTATTTTCCACAAACTTAGTGAATAAGAATGATGTATATTTAAAATAAAACTTGTATAAATCCAAATGACTTATCAGAAAGTAAAGTTTAATGAGAAATAACACAATTTTGTGGTATCAATAACAAGAAATTTCAATATACTATCAATGTTGTTATCTCCCACTGACCTTTACTTCTAAGTTATATTTGAGAATATTTCTGAAGCTATATATATTTTCTCTTCCAATTATATATACATATATATATATATATATATATATGTGTGTGTGTGTGTGTGTGTGTGTAAATTGATTAATTAAACAAGTGTCATTTTCAAACAAAAAAAATACTTTTCAAGCATAGAAATTTATTTTTTTTTAGTTTTAATCTTTCAGCTCTTCTACATTTCCTCTGCCTTTTTATTCTCATAAACATTTACAAAAAATGTGTTTGACATTAAAACATTGACCTATCCTGTACATAAGAAATCCTCAACATAGAAATTACTCACGTAACGAACAAGGCAAAACGTGTGTTGGTCGTTTCGTTAAAATAAATACGTATCTTTGATAATTTCTCCCGATTTTAAGCGTGTTTGGCAAAAGTGTAAAAAATTGGAAGAATTTTTATAATAATGATACACGTATATATTTTCGTCTCATTTGCCACGAGTTCGAGATATTGAGAAGAGAATTCTCAACACACACGCGTCAATAGGAGCGAAAGTAACACGGGAACGAAAATGAACTTGGCCTACCTGCATCAAAATCGAGAGAAATACCGTAATTTTCTCGCGTCGTCAGTAGCGGCGAGCTTGTGTACGACACAACGTTTTCTGTCGACACATTAAATAGTTAGAATACTAGGATACACTTGACAAACTGCTCGAGACACCGTTGCGTAAATTCGGAAGTAAAGTCGTCGGTTATCGGAGGCGCCTCATCATCTCTTTGGCATTCGCTTGTGTGTTCGCCTCTCGTTCGCTCTCCAAGTCTGACGTCATTATTTCCGCTGAACTCGAGAGATACAGAACGCGCCTACGCCCGAAATTTAAGTCGCGTTTCGATGCAATGACCAGAGAATCAACGCGAATGGTGCGCTTGCACTACGCCGATTCGTTGACACGACGGTCGCTACGACAGTCATCAGTGCGGTAACCAATCAGCGTCTTCTTCGCTCATAGAAACAAGCCGAATGGTTTTCCCGAGAAATAAGACGACCATCCTCCTTGTACAAGGTGTTCTTAAATTCACGATGACTCGCGACTCAAAATGATTACCATGTAGTGACCGCGCATTTCAAGCACTCGCTGTGTTATGTGGCTTTTGTAAAATTGAAAAGAAAAACAACAGCTAAACTATTTATCAGTTTATTTGTGTGCAAGTCAGTCACAAGTGAAAGACGCGCCGGTCAAGTTTACGAGCTCAACGATGAGACAGATCTTATTAGAATCAATTTTACATGCGAATCGCGGAGATATAAGAGCTAATAGATAATTTTATTTCTAAAAATCCGCAATTCCAGTTGCGATACGCGACAAACGTGTTACCGTTCGATCGAATAAGGTATGTATGATGCGTTTTGCTTTGCACGTATTTTCAATTAAAAAAATATGTGTGAACCAGTTGCTAGGTGTTCGTGCAAAACTTTTTTAATTTATTTTAAACATGTAATTAATACACATAATTTGAATTACATTCAACTTGAAAATTCGGCTATACTGCTTGATTTGCATCACACACAGACAAAGCCTACCCTACCATAGTTATTAAAATGCTATATTTCACGTCACGTGTACTATAGTTTTTGGTTAGCAAGATAGGATCTTGCTGGGAACGTACTCGAAGTATCAAATCTATTTTCCTATAGAAAGTAAAAAATTCATTGCGAAAGACATGTTAACCAGAAGTCAAACTCGGATCCCCCACATGGGATCTCCGTGCAAATTTTGCGAGAATTTCATCTAATGCCGAACTAGAAAAGAAAGCGGAAAATCTGGATCTAACTTCTAATCAAAGTCTTTTTCGCAATGAATTTTTTAATTTCTATAGTGGGATAAATTTCTATAGTTGGATATTTTGTCTATATGTGGTGCAAATCAAGCATCCTAGATGATTTTTTATATTGAATTCAATTCAAATTATTTCAATTTAATTCAAATTATTGAATTCAATTCAATTATTATTATACATATTAATTTACACGTTTATAATAAATAAAAAAATATATTTTGCACGAACATTTAGCACATTGGCTCACACGAGCGAATTAATCTTCGCTTTGATACTGTGTGAACTGAAGTCTGTTATTAAATTTGTTAAAAAATTATGTGTATCACAAATTTTACATTATACTCAATAAGTAAAATTGGAAAATGTACAAGTATTAAGAACGACAAACGTTAGCGCAATTTAGTTTTGTAGATTCGTATTTTAATTTCGAATTATTTGTAATGTTCGCTGTGTAGATTGTTTATATGTTTCCGATTGGTGTGGAACTCACGAAAGAGAATCGAACGAACATGTTCGCATCGACATCGCAACTGTAGACACTTAATTTCTAAACACTAGCCACTAGAAAGGCAGATCCGATTTTGATTTTCACACTCGGTCTTTCAATCTGCCTTTGAGGATTCTCGTGCTCGACTGGCGAGCGGACAACTCTCGTGTGCAGGTATATGCGGACGCATTAGCAGTTTACAGTCTGGAAGGATTGGCTCTCCGCATCAAAGTTTTCTTGTATGCAACTGCATTTGCACGACGCGGGGAAGAAATACAGATCGCTATTACACAGCTACAAATCTTTCGTTCGAAATATATATATAAATATTGTTTTTTTTTTTTTTTTTGATCGCTAGTGTAACTCATACGTACGGCATAAAAGCGCATAGTGTTCTCGCCCATGCTTATTATTCTCGGATCGACAGTCTGAGAAAGCTCGACCATTTGTTATTGCTACATTTCTCAAGATGAAATACGCACTGGATAATATTCGTTTTTATGTCAAACTGAAAAGTTTATTTTTTTCTAAAGCTATCTCATAATTTCACGTATTTTATATATTTCTCTTTACATTATTCTAATTAAAAACAGTTTGGAAACGTGTGTTTTGAGCTATTCTATCGCGCCATATTTATATATGTATATCTTTAAAAAAGACTCGAAAAGTATAAAATGTATCGTGCGCAATCTCTATTTTGTAAATCGAATGTCGAGCCGAGAATTCCAAGTCGACGCAAATACTAGACGAAGAGAATAATATCGGGTAAATGTCATTCTTAAATTTAAATCTTTATTGTAACAGACCGTGTTGAAATTTTATCGCGCACACACTATTTCTGTTGTTTTCTTTTTATTAACAAAAGTGTTACGTGTGCGAAGAGATCAGACCTCTTTTTGATGGTATGTATCTTAAAAACGTTCGGCTCTCTTTCTTTTCCTTCTTTCTTTCACACAACACAGCCGCGCGACATGCAGACAAAAAAAGCACACACACGCACGCATACACCGCACACATTTCTTTCCTTATTCCGCCGCCTCACTTTTATGCACATAGCAGATTGATCAAAGTATGTCATAAAACATATTGTACAAGTCGAGGCGTTATAACAAAATTCGACATAGACTACAACAATAATAACGTTCTTACAACATGCTTATTTTTACACACATTTATCTCGCTTGTCACTCGCCACTCGTCCGACTTGATAGAATTATATTAGGACAAGGCGTATATACGTCAAAGTTAACGTATTATCATTCACCGGTGTAACAGATGTTGAATCGGACACAGCTCATCGCACTAATATCATTTCTTACCCTCCCGTTCTCTCTAGCATTGTCTCTCTTTTTTGCATATATTTAATAGTATTTATATAGTATCTTACAAGTGTTTTCTTTACGCACTTTTTTCCTGTTTTTTTGTTTTCATCTTTTATGCGTGTATATACGTACAATTTTCTTTTTCTCTCTCATTCCCTCTCATTCACTCGTTTGCTTACATTTTTCTTTTATATACAGAATTTTTTTTCTTATTGATTTTTAGAGTATTAATTAATAGATGATAATTAGCACATCTATCTATGCTGTAAACGATTGAAAGATTGATCTGTTCTTAAACGCTATAAGACGCTAAAGGTTTATTCATTACTTATATCACATTCTTTAATATACACATCTTATTCGCCACGCTTAAACATTAGTATATTCTCGTTATTCTTAATCTACTATCGTGGTAAACTATTTCACAGAATTTGATGCGATCTCGTCACTTCAACAAGATTATTTACACGGATCTGTTAAATCGTTCGAGTTTGCATAATTAGTTTCCTGACAACGATTTCAATCAAAGAGCAAATGCATACTCTCCATGTCATTTCTCGACTCTATTTTTTGTCGACACTTTCTCTGTACACTTCTGTATTCCAGATCCATTCGTTAGCTATACATTTCTGGCGCATGCCATAGGGCATTACACTATCATCATTGCACGGATTTAGTTTCAAGGTCGGATAAAAAACATTTTCATTGAACAATAATGTTGTGTTGCAACTTTGTTGACTAGTACCTCAGAAATCCAGATGTTTGTTCATTCGTCTCCATTGCAAGCTGAAATTTGTTTCTTGACCCAATATGATATGAATAATGACCCAATACATTTCCAGATATATAGAGCACAATGTGCAACATTATGACATTGGACTAATTAATTTTATATAATTGTATATGTTTTTTACTTTTTTTCTTCTCTTTTTTCAATGGATGATAAAAAAATAGTTTTAACGAAAAAAAATGAAGAAATTTATACTTCGTATTTCAAGTATAAATATCAAGTTTTAGTGTGAGAAGATTTGAGGAAAAAACGGGGCTGCAACGTAAAAATCTCCAACATGTAAAAGCTGTATTGTGTTTAAAGAACTCTCTTGTGTTGCGTCAAATTTATCTGTAAACGGAAATTGTCAGATAGTGACGTGATATAAAAAACCGAATTATAGTAGCCGGAGTGCACTTATATGAATGTGTGATTTCATAGTTCATCCGTTAAGGCACGCATTAACATCTCAATTCGAACCGCGTTGACGATAGTATCTGAATAAGTTAAAGAATTATTAAACATGAAATATATATTACGCCATTACAGCCAATGAACCACCACAATACAATGGTAAACGGAAATTTTATATATACATAATATAAAAAGAAAATAATGAAATTATAGCAACATCAAAATATATAATAATATGATACAACACATTATTTTAGTGTTCTTTACGAAATTGCATATTTTTGGTAAATCTCTTTCCAATATTATGCAAAAATCATACATCGTCACGTAAATGTGTATAATAGAAAAGACCGGGGATCGTTACAATGCACACGATAAGAGAACATAACATTTTGTAAATCCTTTACAACGAAATCAACATGAAATCAATGTGTTTATAGCGAGCTACAATTTTGAACGCATAACGAATGGAAAAGAGCAAGTTATGTATTATACATATAAGATAATAAAAACATATATAATATATATAAGAGATATGTATATACATATAATAAATACAAAGGAATAAATATACTTAAGTGTATTATTAAAAATCTATACTATTTTTTTTTTTGTAATTAGATAATGCTTCTTTTCCGGTTTTGATGTATTATGAATATGAAAAACTTTTTTTGCTATTATAGTGATAATAAAATTAAACAGACAGATCTCTGTATAGAGTTCAATATCCGTCCTCCACAGCCACACTAAACTATAAAACTTGAAGAACTCATCGTAATCTTCAATACATTTCACACACTGTCCGATTAACGATGCTAAATGATTAAACTCTCTCAAAGCAACGCGTACTGTGCTCTTTACTAAACAACATAAAGCTTTTAATCATCATTTAAATATTTAATCAATTTTTTTTACAATGTCTCTATTGCAACAATGTTTTATAAAATCTAGCAATTTTTCTTTTTGTCTCTCTCTCTCTCTCTCTGTTTCTCGACCTCCCTCCTTTTTCTCGATATATACCAGTGACAATTTAAATAAATTTTATATACGAAAAGAATGATAATTTAAATAATTTTTTATATACAAAAAATTTTTTTATCGCAAGTTAAAATTTTTTATTACGAAACAAGACCTTTTGGAAAAAAATTTGGAAAATCTTGAAGTAATATACATATACATATATATATATATATATACACACACACATACATATATGTGTGTGTATATATTATATAGTACATATAATATAAAAACATTTTAAAAACGTCAACATGTCAAAGTAAGTTTCACCAAAAAGAACTGATTAAGAATTCCTCGTATACATACATACTACAAAAAAAGTTTTTTGACTGTAGAAATAAGAATCCATAGTACATAATTGTTATATTCCAATCCAGTCCTTCGCGTGCTCGATCTGTTTACGCCTAAAATTTTTATAAGTGGAATTAACTTAAAAAAATCAGTGATTATCGAATATTTATCCACTCAATGGCGTTACAGTCCAAGTCGGACCTAGGTCTCATAAATTTTGGATTTTGCGACAATTTTTCTCTTTCTTACATTTGTTATCGTGTACATTTATCATGTGCAAGATTCAATATTTCACAAGCGTAAGAAATCTACAGTTTCAAGTGAAGTCACTTAAGTTTAGGGGAGAAGTATACATCGTATTGATGTCCTGAAAAGACATCGATCTCAATTGATCGATATTATGATATATGTGTGTATATAGTTTATTTAAGAAACTTGGTAAAGGTTTTCTTAAGTAAACTTAACATTTAATTTATACGGTAAACTAACTTGAATAATAAAAGCTGTGTATATATCACATGCACTATATACGCTGCGAAACAGTAAAGCGGTTCTGCAGAAGGAAATATGTTTTCTCTTCCCCTTCTATACTCTGACTTATTCCAGCTCTATTATTCTGTAATTATTAAACAAAACTTTCGTTATTGTTGCACAACTATTTTGTCATACGTTTGTCTACGCAGATTCACAACGCGCGCGTTCTGATTGTAACTTTTCAAAGTTACAGAATAGGCCAGCAGCCGACCGATCAACGACTGAAAGAGAACGGTATATAGAAGAGGACACTCTTTCTCCTCTTACAGAATCGAATTCATTGCTTCGAAGTGTGCGTTTGTTGAAATATTTCTCTTACATTTTCTGAGTCAAATTTTTTTTTCAGAACAATTTTGATACCGCCCGAATATTTAGTTAGTTGTTCAAAATGCGCAAACCTCTTCGGTGTTAAAAATAGTCCGCCTAACGGACAAAGATTTTACTTGTATACGATTTTTCACGATGATTACGCCTTGTTTTTTTTCCAATGTCGCTAAATCAACTCAATATCGTATTTAAACGATTCGCCGATCCTCACAAACAAACAACAAAAGATAGATCTACTACGGATGAATATAGATACTTTGACAATCCAGACTTCAATATTCCAGCATGATCAAATTTTTCTCATCTTTCCTTGATTCTGTCAGACGGTCGAGTTTGAAGTTGACGGAGGTTGCGTATTAGGAGCTGTTGTCGACGGGGGCGTCGACGCTGACGGTGAACTCACCACAACGACCGGTTTGACCAAAGTCGTAGTATTGAGATATTGAGCGTTTACGAGCGGCATCTGTCCCACGGACTTGAGGATCGGCGTAGTGATCATCTTGCCTGCGAGACTAGATGGCGCGAGAATGTGAGCGGTTACTTGGTTACCTTGAGAAACAACGGTCATCGGTGTGACAATAGGAGTCAAACCGGACAGGGGCGTGTGCTGACCGACAATGTGGGCTATACTTTCTGTAGATGGAACGTTTTGCATCATTGTCGAACCCGGCTTGCCTGTGGCGGTTTGAAGCGACACTCCCGCGTGACTTAAGGTTAATCCTGCAATTACAAAATAATAAACACATTATTGTAGTTTATACGATGCCGCAGCATTGTTTTACACTCGGTAACAGGGCAAATTTAATGCGTAAATATATGTACCATTTGCAGGAAGTATATTTAATTCCGCACCACCAGGAAGTCTTGCTAATTCTGAGCCGTTACCTCCAACTAGTGTTACACCACCAACCATCTTATGTGTTGTCTGCGCGTCTCCCGTCCTTATTCTCGTTTGGGTGTCTGTATAATAAAACATTTTTATTGAAGAAAACAATAAACAAAAAAAATTTCAACGCTTTACAATTACGATTAAAATCTGTTTATAAATTTTTACACTCACTTGAAACATTCAGCGCGGGAGAATGCGTGGCAAGGACTAACGGTCGGCCTTCGTTTCCCGAGTGTACAAAAGTGACCGGTCTAACGTCACTCGCAGACGACTGCACGGCTAACGCCAGCGGTCGATCGTTATTAGACAGATTTGAGTGCATTAACGTCACTCTATTGTCATTAGCGGTGGACGAATGAACGACCAGTGCTACAGGCCTTGCCTCATTTCCTGCGTTCGGTTGTACAGCAATAAGCGGTCTGGATTGATCCGAAGAATTTTGTACTGCTAACGTTAACGGTCTGGAACCTTCGTTATTTCCAGTGGTGTGAGCAACCAACAACTGCCGTGTATCACCGGGTATCACCCTAAGACCAGGCGCGATTTGTTGCAATGTCGGTACAATTGTCGCAAGACCTTGAGTTGTGTTTAACATTTGAGCGTTGATTGGCAAGTGCAGTTGATGCGGTTGCTGCACTATACTTGTGGTGGGTGATGTGGTGATCTTTTCCTAAAAAAAAGTACATATATATATTATTGTCTTTTGTGTGTGTGTGTGAGAAAGATAAAAAAGTACATACCTGCGTTAAAGTAGGGATGCTAAGTGTGGATACAGTTCCAGAAGTCGAGCTTACAGGCGGACTTTCTCTAGAACTTCCTCGCGCATGATTTAAATCTTGCGTTTGACAAACAATACCCGTAGTCGTGGCTTGATGGATGTTAGAAGTTGTACTAGGGGATTGCTGTTGTACAACTTGAGAAGAGCTAGTCGTCGTCACGCTGTTTAAGTTGCTTGTATTGTTGTACCTTGTGCCATTTCGTGGTAGTCCAGTGACATCCATCTCCGTATTTTCTAAAATTTGACAAAAAGCTTTTTGTAAGCATATAAAAAACATATCGATAGAAAGTCGCAACACAGAAGAGCTTTTTTACGAGATAAGAAAATTATATTACTCTTCAATACATAAATTTTCTTTAAATAAATAAGATTTATAATAATATAGTGTTTTACCATTTTTTACCAATACGTCCGTTCCTGAATTTTGTTCCAGTAAAAGAGAATTGATGTCAATGTGATCCCAATTTGCGTTAATTTCTTTCTTCAGTGCTGCCAGTTTCTGTTGATTGGCAATTTTTTCTTTAGCAAGTCTTTCTATTTCATGCTCCATTTCTCGTTCTCTTTTCCTCAGTGCCTGTAAGACAAAAACACATTTTATCTTTATCTTTTCTGATAATCACATTGCATTTTATGTAACAAAATAAACATGTCTTTTCATAAAAATCTAGCGCACATCTGTTCGTGACGTGATACTGATGATGACCACGCAAAGTTGGAGTTATACAGATCGATATAACTAATATTCTTAATAAAACAAAAACAAAAAAAGAAAAATTATTGCACACGAATGTAACTAGAGACGGGACGATATACGAGAAGAGTAGTAGGAAAATATATGGCTAGAATCGGATCACACGAAGTAAAAGATAAGATAATAGGAAGAAATGAAAGGATAAGATGAGAGGAATTTTCCCGTGCGACTGTTTCTTGCGTGTAAATAGTACAGAAATACATACGTAAACTGCAGTTTCAAAAATGGAGACTTTAGATATTTCTGCATATTACAATTTCTTTTTACATCACCACAGTACAAGGATACCTGTATATATTTGTTTGCTGCATGGAGAATGGAGAGATTTGAAGACTTTTTCTCATCTTGAGAGGGTAGCTGCCTCTTCAAAAATTCGAAACACTCTTTGAGATGTGCTCTACGGTTCTTCTCCAGCTTATTGTGCACTTCCCTTGTGCCAGATCGGATTACGCATTGTCTATATAAAAAAATATTTGAGAAAAAACAAGTTTTGGTTTTTTTGGTTAACCCTTTTGGTACGAAGAATGACTATAGTCATTCATATTACAGAGTAAAAAGTACAGACAATAAGCCAAATGTTTTAATTTAAAAAAGAAATAAAAAAAAAGAAAAAGAAAAAGAAAAATAAAAATAAAATAAATTATATATTTCTCTAGAAATGTGCGTGAAGACAGTCTGACGCGCTTATGTGATGTTAAACAGCGCATTTTGCCGTACCGAAAGGGTTAAAACATACGAACACGTACGTTTTGCTAAATAAACAACACATATATACACATATGTAATGGATTAATGAGTTAATTTTGTAAGAAGCAAAAAGAGAGCAATGCGCAAGCAAAAACAAAATAACAAAATTGACTTCACATTAATGAAGTTTTTTATTTAACATTTTATAAAGAATTATCTAATAACAAATTTTGCAATAGAAATCGCACAATGGCAAAAGTGGAAAGTGCTGCAACTGCGGTTTTAAACAATAATAGTTTGTGATAAAATCTAAATTCAAAACTATTTGCCAAGCGTGTGTAAAAGAAAGCATTCCCAAAAACCAAATCTTTATGTTCGTATTAATAAAACAATATATAGATAGGCAATAAATGTCGAAATATAATTCTATTTCACATGGGATGCGTAAATACTCTTTTAATTTATACAATAAGTCTTCTATAAAGAAATAAAGGTAGAGAAAAGAAAGTTTTGCAGCTATATCTATCGTTGTATGGCGGCGCGATCTTACCGGCGTAACCGCTACTACGCGTTATCGCCGAGCGACGCATCGTGCACGTGCCATTCACCCTGGACACGTGCACGAGTGTAAATAGGTATAGCGCAGCTTGTAACGTAGGCAACGACATCGCCTGTGCACGTCGAGAGGAGAAGAGAGGAGAGGAGAGGAGAGGAGAGAAGAGGAGAGAAGGTGAAGCGTGAACGTGTGAAGCAACAGGCTGACATATCGACTCGTAGTGGAATATGCTGGTGACGGTGCGTAAATTTATGTCCATAGATTGATGAAGGAAGAAAAGGAGGAAGCAGAAAGAGAGAGAATCGCACATCAGACAACGTCAAATATTGTATAAATGTAAAATGCAAATAAACAATATAATCTTATCCTTTATCACTTCGCAAGCAGATGTTATTTTAACAAAGATTTCAATTACGCAACTAAATCAAGATTACAAATTTCGCGATAAGTTAGCTTCAACTGCCGCATGAATGACGAGCTCATTCAAGTGTCATTAAAGACCTACGATAAATCTAAATAATCAAGAGATAGCGAAAAGATAACAAGAAATAAAAGAATTAAAAAAATAAATAAAAAAACAATAAAATAAAAAATAAAATACGAAATAGTAACACAACCTTACCCAGTCCGATGTTTCTTATTGTCGTGGCTCGCTTCGACATCAACGACGAGATTGCCCACACATTGAGCCTGAGCTTGATTTGGATTGTGATTCTCCATATAATGATTGTGTGTACTGTGATGATCATTTTGATGATGTTGTGGTTGCTGTTGTTGCGATTGATGTTGTTGCACTGTGTGATGAGGATGAGACGTAGAATGAAGCGAAGTCAGCTGAACGGAACTTGATCCGGTTGAGGACGACGTGATTCGAGTGCTAGAGACCACAGGATTTCCTCGGGATACAATCGACACATTTGTCCTGTTGTTTTCTAGCGGTTCTTCCTCTGTAAAATCGATAAAAAGGCTTGAATAAAATTTTGATTTTATCCATTATGTTCACAGTCATCGAACAACTATTTTTGGTTTGCAACACTTTATCGAATACGCGCGAAAATAATCTCTCCGGGAATTTACTTCCAGAGTCGCGCGCAACGCGGCGCGATAAATTAGCGCAGCACGTGTGCAACACGCATACGGTTAACTCATTCATGTACGCGAGTCGTCTTGGCAGCGGCTCGTCGCATAGTTCGTCGCTTCCTAAATCTATTCTTGACGCCTGAAAGACGCACAACATACCTAAATACGTATTCCGCGAGGAGTGGCAATAAGTATAATAAGTATTCGAGAGTATCGAGTCAATACAACTCGTGCATGTGCATACACTGACGGGAAATGAATCGCATCGTCGTGAGGGGAAGGCCGATTCCCCTTCTCGATGTGCCATTCTCTTTCAGCCGCTGCATGTCGGTCAACTGACGCTAGAATAAAACGACACGCGAAGTAGGGGAACTATACTACTCTTCCTCTCGCGCAATGTGACTTATTTTTCGCGACAGTGTACAAATAGTTGATTCACACAATTCTCTTTGTATATTTTTATTTATTTTTTTATTTAATTATTTAATTTTTTTGTCTTACACTCGACTCTCAAGATGTTCGACCTGTGACAGTGCACATTTTACTTTTAATAATTTTGTAACATTTTTTATTAAGTTAAGACAATGTATGTAAGGAGAGAAATTTTCTATTGTCCAATACTTAGTTATAAGATGATTATTAATTTAAGTGTATATCACCAACTAAAGATGACTTAGAATTAAAGTTAAAACATTATTGATAGAGATATATTTGTATTTAACATGTTATTTGCATTACGCTCTGCTTCTGTGACTCATATTTGTCGAATTTAATAAATTTATTTAATTGTTTGTTTCCCACAGTTATTTCTGACAGTTATGAAAAACGAATTTGAAAACTAGGACATTCTCTCAACCGTGTGATATGTAAAAGACAGAAGAAGAATCAATATCAGTAGGGATGATTCTTATAAGTAGAATTAGTTGAAGTGATTATAGAGAAGATCAATAAAAAACATTTTAAATCTCCAGTTTTACTGCAGTTTTATGACCAAGAAATCTCACCGAATAGATAGTGTCGTATCCACTTTTTTTTGGGTGGCGATGGGATCCAGTCGGCGTTTTGTTTTGACGGTTTCTCATCGTTAATGATGTCGATTATACCGACGACCTTCGTCGGTGTCGTAGCCGTCGTCGTGAGCGGCGACAAACTGTTCGCACCGGTAAAGCCACTCACAACGTCGTTCGCCTCATCGACAACGTCAATGCCGACGACGGCGTCACGCGCATTAAGACTCATGCGTGATTGCATTATTGCCGGCGACGTAATCCCATCTGGTACTAGGAAAATACCCATCTTCTCGAACAAAAAAAAAAAAAAAAATGTCGATCAGAATATGACCGTGACTTCCACTTGGCTTCTTCACGAGGAAGATCAATCGGTCGCGCGTTATATTCAGCTCTCTGATATCGCGCGACGGCACAGCCGTCGTCAACGTGCCGAATGATTTAGTTCTTGCGATGAGCGCCGTCCTCTATCGGATGAATCCGACAAGGGTACGAACGAGAAGACCGCGCGAAAAAATGCAAAACACGCGCAGCCAAGAGAAAAAGAGAGAGAGAGAGAGAGAGGAGTCTGCGATGGCGGCAGAGACGGCGGTGGTGACGACGACAGAGGAGAAAGGGGAGAAAGAGACGACGGTGGCGACAGGGAACGGACGATACGCGTGCGAGGTCACCCGCTCTAGGAAAAATCCGGACTTTCGAAACGTGTCCGCAACCAGGTGTCCAGAAACTTGCACAGATAGTTTCAAAAAGGTCGCACCGCTCAGCCTATTCACCTCATGGACGATCCTTGAAGAAACATCTTTCGATGCAGACTATTCGACAGAAATTACGTGAAAATCGGTCGTCACCGCGGCTCATCGTGCGTCGCGCCGATTTGAAGCAATTTTATAACGCACGAAGAACAATTTGCGAAAGAACTTTATAGAGAAGAGAAACTGTGCAATTTGAAGTTTCGAAGAACTGCGGACACTGTTTTATTTTCGCATTTTACATTACTCTCTCTCTCTCTCTCTCTACTTTTACGTGACTTTATAAGAAGAAGTTAACATATGCACACCGTGTATCACCGTCTCATTATCGTGATGTGCATTTTATTTTTAAAACTGCAATTCGGAGAATCGCGCGCACCAGCTGATCTTGTTCTAGATTTGGCGATCGCGACCAACTGATCATGCGATCGTGTGCTTTTCGATGGAGCGAACAAAAAGGCCGGATTGGCGATCAAGCGAAACTCTTTCCTCGTGAGTCGCGAGTACCGACTGGAGCGAGTCTAAACTTAAATGTCCGTTGCCGCCTCCAACTTGAGGATGACGTACTCGTGTGCCTCCTTTCTCACCAGACAGCAGTCGTGGAGGTGGCAAATGGCGCGCACTCCCCTCCCTATCTTTAACAGTGACATCTCCGTTCTCGCGGGAATTGCTTCCACTCAGCAATCTTGCCGCGGATACATATATATATATATATGTTCTATCCTTATCGTACCAAGAACTTATTTTGCGGTACAGCGACTCTAGTCAAGCGTATCAGGTCGCTTATGCTGCGATCAGAAGCTGCACGCGATGATATACTCCTAGCGCCAAATTTATCCAAGTATACATTTTCCATGCAGAGAAATATTGCTCCCGATTTTTACATTAAACAGTTAATCTCGTGCATAATATGTACAATTTTTGTCACATGCGGGCGCAAAACATACTTACCATCGATAATCAGCATCTTCTCTTCACAAAAGAGATCATCTATTTCTGTGCGTTCTCTCTTAAATTTGGCACCTAAAACCACACCGAAATAATCCACTTATATTAAATATTTCAAAGACTTTTTCCGACTTATAAAGTAAATATAAAAAAAATAGTGTATCTTATATCTTAAATTTAAAACTTAAATTTTTTCTTATTTAAGATAAAAAAAGTTTTTAATAGATGCAATTCTTTTTAGACTGCTGCCAGAAAATAGTGAATAATTTTTTCAATTTTCTTTCATTGAGAACTATAGATTCTCGAGCATTTTTAGATTATTATGTGTACACTTGCTATTTAATTTGAGCGATTGTTCTTTACCTGAGAAATGATAATAAGAACATTGCAACGCACATACGCATAAATATTTAAAAAAAGCAGCAGAACGCATTTTTTACACACGCGACACCGAGTCTCGTTTTCCTGTCTATCCCTACTTTTTCCAGCGCATCTCTCGAATCGTCAAGGTGGCTGGTGAATCCACAGGTCGATAAGATATGAAAAATTGAAAGAAGCGCGTCTCTCCACGTGTTAGCTCGGACAAGGAGAAGGGAGAGGACGAAGAATCCCCCTAGAAACGGCTCGGGAACAACACGATAGGAGGGAGATGAATGTGGTAGGGATAGCGATGGATCGTAAACGTGCAGTAGGTAGGTAGGGATTGCACGAGTGCATGAAGATGGGAGGGAAATTCAACTCGTCGAAGTAGCTCTGTCTCACTCTATCCGATCGTCCGCCGCCCCTCTACGCTGGCAAAAGAATCGGCAACATCGCAAATTGATCAACACGCCACGCGGCCGACGGTGCTTAGGGTGGGGATTTAGCTGGGGATAACAGGCGTGCGCATGTCAGCAGCCGGGGTGTCCGCGTGTTCACCGGTCGTTGCTGATTGCGCTTTGCACGCGCGCTCCATTCTAGGAGAGAAACATTGTACGAATCTTTATATCAAAAGTAATAAAAAAAAGTATTATTACTAAAAATTATTATATCTAAAAAAATATTTCAATTTGTTAGATTATTTAAAGATATGAATGAGCAAGAGAAAGAAAAAAAAATCACTTTTTTGTCGTATTTAAATTGAAAAGAACTAAGGTCTAGAAAAGGTCTTATTGTGTCCCTGCTCTTAGAATCAAATACAGAGTGCGAGAACGTGTCACGAATAATATAATTTCACTTGCGGAGTTTCTTGATGCAATACGGCGTAAAGCACAATCGCATTCACGACATTATAAAGTGGGATGCACAGTCTTAAATAGCCGTTTAACACACGTTGAACTTGTTAAATTACTCACCGTTGTGTTGCCGGTGCAACACGCACAACACGATAACAGACCGGATGCGCGGAGATAAAGAGCAAATTACGGCGTTTAAATCATCCGCATTATAATCGAGGTCGTGCGCGCGCGAGTGGCTCTCGCAAACTTTTCCATCTCGCAAGAGGACTCAAGTATGACCTTATCGTACATACTATATACAATATGTAGCACGCGATTCATAAGATATAAATATAATGTAATAGAATGTGCAACGCGTTTATTTTACTCTTTCTTGCTTCCGACTTTTAGAAACTATTTAAGTTCTCTTGGTGCATACTTTACACGTGATATTATCATATATGTAAAATACCAAAGGACTTATGAGATACACTCAGATTTTTACAAACTGATCTTGCATGACATGTTATAAATATGTTCTAGGTATAACTGATTTTAAATTTACATGAATAAAGATCTTTGTATTAATAAGTGACCATAGAGAAAAAGAGAATTAGAGAGAGAGAGAGAGGAGAGGGAGAACTTAACGATCACATGTGCAAGTAGATGGCGCGCTTGTGAATGAAGTGCGAGAGTAGCTGCCGCGCAGTAGTTTCAGAGTCAGTGACCGAACAGTCCTCCGTCACACCTCCGTCCTCTCCTCTAATCGCTCCGCCATGCGGTCGCACACGCGTGCGTACTCGGGATTTACTAACACCATGTCTTCTGTAGCAGCACCATGGTCACAGTGTTTCCTTTCTTTTCGTTCGTCTTATATCGCTTCATCTTTCCCTTTCCCTATGACGATTCGACCTCGTCAAGTACCTATGGTACTCTCCATCCCCCACTTAAATCACTCGACTTCCGCCACCCTCCAAGCTTCACCGAGTTGCTTGCCTTCTCCTCCCTCTCTTTTCCCACTTCTTCACTCCCATTCCTACATCTTTCCCTCTCTTCTCCATCTTTCTCTATTTCCACTCACTACTTCTACGTACAAACGACTGAAATACAACTCCACGTTTTGATTCTGGTACCACGAGAAGAGAAGATTCAAAACATGACAAATCAACCGAATCTTTCACATGTTCCCTTTTCATTCAAAAGTCTACTGTACTCTCTTTTCGTCTTTCTTTGCTCCGTAAAAAGTTCTCATCTATGATGTACTTTCGCGCGCAATACTAAAATTCTAACATCTCTTCGATGTTTCCAGAGCAATAACTGTATAATATATCCTGTAACAAATTAATATACTAAAGAAGCAAGACCATACTGTCAAACTATATAGCAAAGCTTTTGAGATGAATAAAAAACGGAGATAAGATAACCAGCGATTTCAGTCTCGTGTGTCATTGTGTTTTGCACGTCCTCGCAATCACGCACTCGTGTGCGCGATTTGCGAGGATTCGTCTCACAGGATTGGCGACCGTTCAAGTCGTTGACCCGGAAAAACGGCAATCGAAGGAGTGCACGACGCTGATGATCCGGTTAGTGATTATGATGGAGAGCAATGCGACTAGCCGATTGACTGATATAGGCTATATGTTTCCAGACGCGATATCACCGTTCATTGATTAAAATAAGAAGAAAAAAAAAACATGTTAATATCCTCTCTATAAAACAACAAGATAACATCTACATCAATGTCCTATTAGATTATGATAAAAGTTTTCCAGGATTTTATGTCTATGGACCAGTGCGTTATTTCTTCAAAATGTTTATCGTAGTTGAGAGACACTGCTGCGAGGTAAATCACACCTAATTTGGAGGCAGCAAACGCGATGGTTACCGCGTCATGTGTGCATATCAGTGTTTCTCAACCGAGTAAGTAAACGGCGATTGCCGAGAACATATAAAGCAAAACATGTTGTACCTGCTTACAAATACAATTTTTAACGTTGTTCTAGCGTATTTTGCTGATTCATCAACCAAGCTCCTCGTTTTATCTTACTTCAGCTATCAATGTTTAGAGATAAGACAGTGCACTTTGCGCATAAAATCCATCATGCATAATAAACTCAAATCGATATTGTTGCAATTATCGCGTTCATAACGATTTTACCTCTCTCTCTTTATCTGTTGCATCGAAAAACAGAGTGCGTGCTATATATTATTATTTTACTTTTAGTCGTTTTCGCAAGATCTCTTAATTTGTTCTCTCTTTATATGCAAAAATTTGTGATGAAAATATAAAATAATACGTTACAACGCAAGACGCAGTGCAACGTCGCTATACACGTCTCCCTGTGTTATAACAACGCGTCGTGAAAGGTCGCGCTGAGAAGCAGCGCGTGGTACTCACCACGTGGCTCAGTCGAAGTATAAGTGTGATTAGAGTGGGGCGACGCGGACGCGAACGAATGCTGGTCAGAGGAAGAGGTAGAGGTGCTTGCGAGACGCTCCCGCTTCTTCTCCTCTTGTTCGACATAGTAAGCTGCTTGCAGCAACGTTTCCAGGCTCATCCTGGGACCAATACACTGTTTCGTCGTATCAGACGTAGTAGGGAGCTGGCGAAGGTGGCGGTGATGATGATAATGGAGTTGCTCCGAATCTTTGTGTTCACTTGCGCTCGCTGAATAATCGTGATGCTGACTTCGCCGCATCAAACCGCCGGCGTTGCGGCGTTCGCCGACGCCGGCGATGAATCGGCAGGACCAAGCGGTGGTAAGCTGCTTTCTTTTTTCTCCTGCTGTCGGCCGCGCCTGGCAACCTGCGTGCAACAAGACAGTAAACGTACTTTTATAAGTATTCCGAAAAAAAAAAAAAATCGAATGACTTCCAAGTACAAACTGAATAAAGGAAGAGAATTGTCACGCGATGTTCTCACCTGACTACAGTCAACAAGATAAAGAATTTAATCTCAGCCCATTGTTTAGAATTTTTGATTATCGGACTCGCGGCGCGCGTCTAGAAGATGCAGTCCGAGAAGACACGTTCCACAATATTATACATCACGTGACGTACACGCGTGACGTAACGCAGTCGCGCGGGAAGCATTTCGTCCCTACTCTGGCCACCCACACTCGCACCGCTCTTGCAACGCATCGAAGCAAAACGTGCGCCGGCTTGGCGCAGGCGCATCGCAACGCGGCCAAAGCTTTTTCTGCAACGCAGAATAGCAATACGCATCGCGAGACTCGCATTACTCCGGTGTCGAGATTCGCGAGAGCAGATTTACTCGAAAAAGATCTTCCGGGAGAAAAGTAGATATATTTGCCTAAAAACGTACATTTTGTTCAGAGAAGATATGAGAAATGAGCTTTAAACATGTATACATCACGCAGAGAGAGTATACAAATTTTATACATGTATACACATAAAGTTCACACGAGATTTCCTTCTTAAAACTGAACCAAAGTTCATAAAAAAAAAGAGATAAACTATCCCGAAGAAACCTAACAGCCAGAAGCATAGAAAAGAGATAGAAAGAAATAGAATTCACAGATATCGTTTGAAGAAATCGCGATAAAACGACGAGGGCTTCGGGGAGGGGAGCAAATATGTACCTCGGCCGGCGAAATCGCGAAAGCGTACGATGTCGACGACGTGCGATCGCGCTCGCATTCTTCGCGGGAGACGTACGGGGTCGGACACGCGAAAATAGTGGTGGGAGCAAACGCGAGGCGCGACGGTTCATAGCGATTGACCAACACAGCAAGCTCGTCGGGCGCATACGCGGAACGTTTCCGACGGCGGCACGCGTTCCGCGTCGCGGAAAGCAGCGAAAAGTCACGAAGCGACACTCGTGCGATCTCCAAAAACTGACAAACCACATACACGTTGAAACGGGTCGACGATACACGCCAACACTGGCCAATCGCGACAATCGGCGCCCGTGACGTCATCGGCTGGCCGTTGCGCCATTGGTCGACTCTATTATGGGTATAGGAAACACGCCACGCAACCACCTCTATACACATGTTAATTAAATAGGCGCTAGTAACGGAGAAGATAATGGTTCGCTGAGGTTCAACCACGTTTATTCTTTCTCTCTCTCTCTCTCTTTCGCTAGCTCGCTCTTTCTCTCTGTCTCTCGTGCGCGCGCACTCCCTCTTTCTCTCACCTTCTCTCTATCTCCGTCTACATCCCTATCGCTCTTTCTTTTGACCGGGCGTGGTGTACGTGATCGTTCGAGTAAAAGAGAAAGGTAGCCGCAAAAATAAAAAGGAAAAAAAAAGAAACGATGAGGAAATTTATTGTACAGTCTCGCAAAAACTTACAGATTGAAACACGTTCTGATCCCGCACGTTCCGCGCACACAACGACCTGATCCAACACTGCAGCGGTAAATAATCGCTCTTGTTCTCTCTCTTTCCCGCTTTAAAATTCGCTCACTTTATTCTCGCTCTCTCTTTCTCTCTATCCCTCTATCTCTTTCCTCTCCCTCTCTATCTATCACTCCTGACGACGTATTTGTATGATCTTGTGAAGAGCGCGTGGTCACACTAGTGCTGCTGAAAAACGATAGAACGAGGGATCGAGAGAGTGTAGCCGAGCGTCTCGGCAAACCGATACGAAGGAGAAACGTCCGCGACAAGCCGACCGTTTCGAAGCGCGCGGCGAAACGCAGGTTATAACCTGATCGATCTAGCGCGTGGCGGTGGCATTTTACAAGTGCTGAAACCACTGCGCATCAAAGTGCCATGCCTGCTTGGCCACGATTCACGTGTCCGGGCACCGTGCCGCGAGCCAATCGTCGCGCGGTACGTGACGTCACTCCCGCTGTATCGACGAATGAGCGCGGCCCATGTGATGCAGCAACCCGCTGGCTGGGCGTGTGTGTAAACGTATCGTGGAACTTTCTGCCTGTTTCTACCTTCGTACGCTCGTTTGCCAGCTTTGCTCGTTCGGTTGCCAGGTCGTTATTCGATATTCGCGGTTCGTCGTTGTCGTCGCGGGTCGTATCGACGATCGGCCATCGAATCCCCGTGCGCTCCGTCGTCGGCGATCGTTTCCCCGTCTTTCTCGTTGTTTTTTCTCCACGACACAAAATGCTCCGTTGATGTAAAACTTCTAGATTTTTTTTTACATTACGTCGCACACGCTCAAAAACGCGCACGACACGAGATGCAAACGAACGCGCGAGACACAAAACACACCCGACACCCGGCTCGCCCGGGCAAACACTCACGGCTCCGATCTCGACAGCAGCGGCGACGGCGGCGCGTCACTCTCCACCACCTTTTGTCACGTTCCTTCTCTGTCACATGGATCGTATGCGCGACGTTGCCGCTTCTACCCATCGAGGACGAGGAGGAGGTACGTTCCATTGTTTACCTTTGCGAGCGCACGCGTCCACGAGGTTGCGTGAGGTGAGGTGCACCGCAGCTGTCAGAAATATGAATCTTTCTTTTTGTACAAAGCCACTTGTTAATCGAGCGCCTGTACGAGGCAAAGGATCGAATAAAACGTGAATCATTTGTAAACAAAAAACTAAACAGAGAAAACTTATGTATAAAATGTGTTATGTGTAAAGTCAAAGTAGCAATAATGACAGATTATTTACAAACTACATTGTAACAAACTATTTTTAATTAACATGTTTTAAAAATATGTATACACATGTTTACTTGAGAACACATCTTTATTTACAAATTTTTCATAAAATATGATACACACATGCATGCACATATGAATCAATATTATTACATCAGTGAGATATTTGCAAATTTACATATTGTACACAAAATTTTGTATGGAAAAATATTCAATATACAATGATTCTGTACAGAAAATTTGTTTCTTTTTTTTTATCTAGTTAAATAAAATATATTCATATTTGTTTTAAAACCAGAGTTTTACTATACTCTTTAATATATGTATATGAATTATTTCTACTTTTATGTAATCAACTATGACTTGTCTTTCAGGAACATTCCTTATTATCTCTTTCTCTTATATTTCTCACAATATAAAATATACATTTTAATATAGATATAGTTATTTATAATTTGCAATCTGTATAGTGATTTCTATACAAAACTTAAACTATAACAAAACTATAGTTATCAATTTGTTTTGTGACATAAGCACACAAACAATGAGAAAAACAACAATAATATATTCCTCTCATATGAACATTATTCAATACAACAAATCATAATTTATACTGTATGTATACATACACACACACACATACACATGTCACATCTCATTTGTGACTCAAAAATCATAAATTTTCAGAAAATAACTTTACAACTTTTGTTCAATAGAAACATATAACATAAAGTGCAATGACAACATAACTGCTCTTCTCTATGATATTTTAAAAACTTATGTTATTCAATACACAAAAAGAAATTTGTATGCGGTATGTATATGTGTATATACATATAACATAAGATTACCTATTGACAAAACTATTCTTTCTTTGGGAACAAATAATACAAATGGTAATTTTATATATGTAGAATGAATTATCTATTATATTACTCTGTAAGCAGAAACATAAATCTCTAATACTTGTGTGTGTATTCACAATAAATAAAGAGATTATTTACCAAATAGTAAGTATATGCATTATTGTGAGTCTCACATCAAAATATAAATTTTTCCTTAAAACTTTTGTATTTTCATGTATATAATATATTAATTCTCTTTATCACATGAGACAATTATATATAAAGTTCATAAAATAGTGTTCGATACTTTTTAGGTCTATTAATATTAGGCAAAACAAAAATAAACTTGTTTAACTAGGGGCTAAAAAAATCATGAATTTTATGAAAGAACAAATTTTTAGCACCATTTTATCATATTATTTCTTTGATAGAAAAAAAAGAAAATAAAAAAACTTGATACAAAAGTTTAGTTAGCAAATAGTTTACACAACCATTGTCACATGTAGCAATGTTGTCAAAGATGGAAAATTACACACTAAAAATTTAGACGAGAAAAGAACTGAACCTTAAGAAGAGTTGATTACATGTGTATATATATACATATATATATACGTGACTGCTGTTACCGACACAAATGACATCAAACATCACACTAGAGAAAGAAGGACAAACGCATGTTAAAAAAATTGTTAATTCCAAACGTTTAAATTTTAAAATTTAAATTTTTTGGTTATTATATCCTACTAAAACGTAGTTCGATGATTTGACTACATTCTTGTTATTTTTTTTCATATACTCTTGAAATAAATTCTCATATATTAACTCTTGAATTTCAAATACAGTGCAATATCACACATTCAAAATAACTGCAAAGAAATTTTCTCAATTTTAATAAAACTTTGAAATAGATTTTTTTTATTTTGGAAAATTACTTGTTCGAGAAGTAAATACGAACATAAATTTAAACTACCAAGTGCTCGTTTGGTCGGTATAGCAGACAGGTCCAGTACTTTCTTAAAATACTTAAAAATATTGTCAGAAAATTATGTCTACATTATTGTAGATATTTAATTCTCTAAGTGATAAGATGTTTGATACGGAAATATGATTGAGACCATGGTAAAATTTATAGTAAAGAATCTGCATGTGTCTCCACACACATATACATATATATATCTTAATTTTAATAATTTGATAATTTTTTTATTCTTTTATCTCGAAAATGTCTAATCAGTAAAGATCACTGTTTTAAACACTTCTATAATTATGCTTTTCTTTGACGTAAAACTTTTATTAGACCATCGAGATTCAAGTATCAAGAAAATTAAGCGGTCATAGTAAAGTTTTATAAAAGTTCATCCTTCAGTTTGCATAAAATTCTGTGAAATTGTTCCAAAGAGCATGTGTGTGTATGTGCTCACAAAATTTCATGAAAACTAAAAGATAAGACGCTTTCGGAAACTACATTCAAATTAACTAAGTGCAATTTAAGAAAACAATAGTTATCTACTTAAATTACTAACATACAGATGTTTTAATTCCGTCTTTGGTGTATTTTCGAATAGTGCTGCACGATTCTGGCCTTCTCCCTTTTTCACCCAATGCCCATAAACTCGAAACGCGCAACCGTCAATCACCTGAAAACAATTGTCAAAAAAAGTGCTTATCAGTTTTAAAAACTGATTTGACGTGATTAAATGTTTTCAAAAGATGTAGATATAATATTTGAATGTAGATATATTATTTGATTTTCTCTCATTTTTCGTTGTAGTACAACTAAGGTTTTTGTTATAAAATTTGCTCGTGTACGAAAATTTACCTTTCGCAAAAGTTTAATCCTATACGGATCGGTACATGCTACTTGTGTTGAAAGCGGTTCAGGTGTGATATGCAACCGTTTAATACGGATAACAGCTCTCACGCAAATGATCGCCAACTGGAATCTCTTTCGTGCGTTAAACGATTTGGCCTTCAACTCCTGCGCAACAAATAAACCACATATTGACACAAACTTATCGCGTACAATTTTTCAGTCACATACTAAAATTATTGATTATTTACACGTTTAGTCAAATACACTTATTAATAAATAAGTATATATAGACAATTAGTACTCATTTTTGTTATACACACATTAAGAAAATATTATTTTTTTAAATATGAAGATTCTCTTTATAAGCCTATCAAAGTTTTCTTTGTAATGTTATGAATTTGGTTTAATAACAGATCAGGTGATGGAAGATCAAACAAAACGAGTGACAATGGCAGACAAACATATATGCGTATGGATGACAAGTTTATTAAAATAAAGTATGAGAAATGAATATAGAATGTGTATGTATATATAACAAAGTGTGTATATATATTAACAATAAGTATTTCTGAGTCAACAACATCTAAAACATCGTGTTTTATATTTATTTCTTTAGAAACGCTCAGGGAGTTGTTTTCACTCTGCACAATCAACTTTGTCATTGCCAATTAATATTTGCTAAAGCAACAAATTGTAAGTGTTAGATAAAAAAAAATTAACGGATAAATTCTTTATATTTTTCAAACAAAATAAATAGAAAAATAATTTACCAAAGCTAACTGAGATATCCTACTCAGACGTCGTGAGTTAGATGACAGAGAACGTTTTAGAGGAGCGATGTCTTGATCCCACAGCTGTAAGTCCAATATATAACTTACACTTTCATAATCAATTTCGTAATCTATATCTTACATATGACAAATCCACTCGTTTCGAAATATCTTATTAATAAAAAGCAAAATGTATATAGAAAAATTAAGAAGAAAATAATTGTGGAGGAGAAAGATAAGAAAAGTACACATACACACACACACACACACACAAATCATTTTAATGTCTTTAATCCTGCATACATAAATCTTATATTTGCATCATTATGTGATAATGAAAAAGTATAAATGGTTTGCATGTGCGTTTTTCTTCAGCCGTGTGCAAGTTGTAAATATTTGAAATACTGAAATGGTTGCAAGCATAATTCGGAACAGAAATACTAAGCAAAAATAAAGAAAGCAAATTATTATTTATATATGTGTGAATTATTTATATATTTTAAGGAGCGTTTTGCATATGAAATTTACTCATCTCTATTAAAAATTAAAAATGAAATGCGTTTGACTTTTATTATAAAATACTTACAACAGTGTGGAAGAATGAATGCTCCAAAGCATCTTTTATAGAAATTCTTTTTTTAGGATCAACAACTAGCAGTTTTCGTATTAAGTCTTTTGGAGCCTCTAAAAAAAAACATACATGTAACTATGTATATTTTTTATAAATTTGTTTTCTAAGTTTATAATTTTTGTTTAAAACAATTACCATGATCGCAATCTTTACCTGTTATGTCAGACCATTCGGGCGATGTAAATGAGTATTTTCCCTCCATTATGTTTCTAAGCATAACCATTTGTTTTCGATGCCAAAATGGAGGACAGCCAACCAATAGAGTAAACATAATCACACCACATGCCCATCTATTACGTCATAAACGAAAAAAAATATACAATAGAATAGTTTTTAAAGTAGTAAATAAAATAAAATAGTAGTAGTATAAGAAAGTTATGTTACAATGATGTTAATATGTGTATATATGTAATTATGTTTACAATATATATCTGCTCAATATATAATACAGGTAAAAACCTTTTAGTTTGTTTGGGAGCTCATTCTAAGTGAAAAATACGAACATAGTGTTTTTACACTCGTTTGGAAATCACTCTGTACATATGATACACATGCATTTCTGCAAAACAATAAAGAAATCTTACATATCCACTTCAAATCCATAACCTTCCGCATTCTCAAACATATTGCACTTTAATACTTCTGGTGCTAAGTAGCCAGGTGTACCACAAAGATCTGTGGACATGTAAGAGATATATAATAATAAAAAAATGTTTATACATCTTAACAGTAGAAACTTTCTTTATAACCAAGAGTAGACTGACACAAACCTTCTAGTTTATCTCCAGGCTTCAATATTCTGGCAAATCCAAAATCTGTTATCTTTACATTCATGTTATCATCCAGCAAAATGTTCTCAGGTTTCAAATCTCTATGCACTATTCCTTGATTGTGCACATGTTGAATTCCTTCAAATACTTGCCTCATAATGTAACGTGTCTTTTTTTCCGAAAGTGTCACAACAGATGTGAGATAATCAAACAGTTCTCCATTTTTGCACAATTCAAAAATTAAAAATATAAATGTACTAGATTCAAAAACATCATGCAACTCAACTGTAAAAAAGAAATAAGAAATAATATATTGTGATTATCTTTATTTTAACATAAAAAAGCATTTTAAGAAAAATAAAGTTACATATTTCAGTCTGTCTCTTTCTCTCTCTCAGTTGACACACTTCTATTTTTAGTAGCTAAAGTAGAAAGGAAAAATGAGAAAACCTACTGATATATGGATGCCCAGCTACTCTACGAAGTATTTGCACCTCTTGCAATGTAGCATCCTTCATAGTATGACCATCATCATGAGTTTCATTGCTGATGTCTATAATTTTGGCTGCATATTCTATACCTGTTTCTTTCTCTATGCATCTTCTCACAGTGGAAGATATCCCTCTGAAATGTACATTCACAAAGAACAATAATTAGATGTCTAATTTCATCAGATACATATGTACAGCTACACTGTAGTGTGGCGATCTGTATAAAAACTAGTGTCAGAATTTTCTTTAATTATATAATGTCAAAGTGAACTTGTTGAAAGAGAATCACGTACAATGTGCGCGCTCATTTATACCTGACCGAATACTGGCGCCACGCAGTGTAACAAAATAAAGAAGCAAATGTTACGATTTCTCAATAGAATCGCATGTGTTAACGATTAATAAGAATAGCAATGAGAGCAGCGTCAGAAATTAACACTAGAAGAACGAGAAAGAGAGACACGAATGAACAAATAATAATAGAGTGCGTACGTACGCATGTATATACGCATATATGTATGCGTATGTATATGTACCTTCCCAAAATCTCCTTAGGCTCATACTTGGCGTAAAATCCCTTCGCCGCGTCCTTGTCCGGCAGCACGTCGTCCCCTTCGTCTTTCGCCATGACTCGGATCGTCCGATATGTTGCTCATAAGAAACGTACGGATCCTCGAGAACGCGTTCGCTTCCGAGAGGAACGACGTATCCTCGAAGAAATCAATCACGGATCGAGCGATCGGGACGTACTAGTGGAACAAGCGAAACCCCTGTCACTCAATAGCACCGTCATATTCGCGCACTCTTCACCAAGAGATCACCGCTCCCGCACGATCGCTCGCATGACTATCGACTATCAATAGATACCTCGTGCGGTTTGGTAGCAATAAACAAATGTTTACGTATCGCTCGATCACGGCGATATCACAGAGGGAAAAAGCACACGACGAATGCAGGACCGAGTACTCGGGAGTAATGGCGGTCGGCTGCCAGCTGAGAAGTGATCGAATTGAACGAAAACAAGAAATATCAATCGATCTACGGATCAAAGAGTAGTCGCAGAATGGATTCTGCGTAGTTCCGAGCAAATTCGACATATATGTATTAGTTGGCGTTGAAAGAGGAGGTTCAAAGCTGCATGTTATACAAGCGCGCGTGTTATGTTATACAAGCTTAATGAACAATCATGATTTTTGCCAGGGATTGTACACAAAATAAAAGCTTTTTATGCTAGATCACGCATGCGAACATCGCGACGATTCGACGATTTTTTCACAATATTTACAGTTCGATCAAGACCGTTCAAAACCGTTTTAAGTTCATCTTAAGATCCTGTACGAATCATTTTCACAGTATACACAACTCTTCTGATTTTTGCGTGCCGTAAATATGCGCATGTGTCCGTGATACCTAACCAATAGCGTTAGACAGACATTTTCTGTCTCGTTTTCTCTTATTAGTTTTGCGCTCTCTCAGTATCGTTTAAATGTCTTATATGACATTTACCTGTAGAAAGTGACGAAAAATAAGATCTTACGTTGTGAAGAAGAAGTGCGACTTGAGCACAATTAATAAAATATTAACAGCGAAATAATAAAGTAACAGTGTTCAATATGAACATCTTTGACATAAGGCCCATATTTCATGAATCCGCGACCGTCCGATTGTCGAACAAGGATTGGCCACTTACACGCTTATTGACAGCCAATCCGAGGTAAAGATCCGTGAAATATAGGTCTAAGATTTGACATCCGACAACGCGCATATACACATATGTCTCATGTACGATCTGTTGTAGTGGAACAGACCCAAAAGGGTACCCAAGAAGCATTTACGCAATAACTTCCATATTCCTGTATGCTCTTATATATACAATCCGACAGTGACACTATTCCAATCTATATTGTTTTAGGCCCGAATTCACAGTCGTCTCTCAGATCTCAGATCTCATCTCATCTCTTTCCCTCTCTTTTTCTCTCTCTCTTTCTCTCTCTCTTGAGATCTGAGATCTGAGATCTGAGAGACGACTATGAATTCGGGCCTTAGACTCCTGTGACCTCTTATCAACAATAGTTAGGGTCATGGATCTCTTCATCATGAGAAGTTTATCAGTTAAGTTTTTACAAGTGAGCAAAGTTATAATATCATTGTAACAATAGTTGAGACAAACAACAGTGAGTTTAGCAGATTCTTTGAAAAATCAACGTTTCGCGCGCGATCCGATATTTTCTCCTGATTGTTTTCCCATTGTATTTCAAAGCTGATGTGAATTTTAACACGTGAATAAAAGTGCCATGAGCGAACACAAATGTGTGCTGTGTGAGACGGAGTTGGAATCTAAAGAGGCACTTCAGGAGCACTTTAGGTATAATTGTCAACACTGCAAAATTGATTAATCAACTCAACCAATTGTAACTTCGCAATTGTTATAAGTAAGAAAAGTAACATTGTCATCTTACAGAAAACATGCAAATAAAGAAATAGATGCTAGAGGAAAGACAGTAAAAAACAAGACTAAACCTATTGATACTCAATGCGATATTTGCCATCAAACATTTCCTTCAATGACTGCAACAATAAGACATAGATTTAAAAAGCATCCCAATTTACAGGCCAAATTTTATTGTTCCTATTGTGGAAAACGGTTTCCTTTAAAGGTAAGTAAATCAATATATGTTTTTGTTCTTTTTATTGTGTATATATTTACAATAATATGTATATGTGCATATATTTTACAAAAATTTGTTTTAGACTCATCGGGATAATCATATAACTTCGCATGATGCATCTGAAAGTGAAAAAACAGAGCAACACAAAAAATGTGAAGAATGCAATGTAACATTTTACAATGAAAAGGCTCTAAATTATCATTATCGTTCTATTCACAAAAGGTGACTTTCTACAACTAATTAATCTCTTTGGTATAACACTTGTCTGCTGTGTAGTACCACTTGACAGCTGCAAGCAAGTGTAGTACGATATTTATTTAAACTGAGTGAAATAATTGTTTAAACTGAGAAATTGAACAAAAATTGAATAAAAACTTTTTATAATGAAATGCCCAGAACGACTAAAGATAACACTATGCTGTATGTATGCTCTTGGCAAATGTTAAGCGACTTTAATCGATGCTCAGCCATAGAATGCATTTGCCGACTGCATAGTCGATACTCGTACTAAACAAGTTAATATGTATCTGCACAATATTTGTTTGATTGCTTAGTTTGCTTTTCAGAATGGTATACTTGTTCCATCCAATGGCCACTCCTCCACCTAGCAACAAAATCAGATTGAACTCAATGAATGATGTACTAAGTGTCTATTATTGCCATTTGTGCGGTGTTGAATATGTAGTAAAGTTTAATTTGCAACAGCATTTGGAGAAATCACACACAAAAGTAAGAAAAAAAATCATTTATAACAATTATAAATATTTCAAACTTTAAAAATAATACTCAAATGTGAAATACATACAATGATTAAAATAATTACAAAGCTGTTTGTGTCTTTCAAACATACACTCATCAATTTAAAACAATAAAATTTCAATCCTACAACAATATACAAAGCTATGAAAGATTTGCATTTCAGCAAACATTTGTGACTGAAGAGAACTAAGTAAAGTCGAAAAAACTGTTATATTAAATTATTATTTTATTTTATATATTATTTGAGGAATATTTAATTGTATAAATAAATAAATCAATACAATTCTAATGGAAAAATATTCATTTTCAAAGCTTTTATAATCTATAATAAATTTATATATACAAATAAAAATAAACAATATAATTAAAAAACTATGTAAGCAAATCTTTCATTCTATGTATAGACGATAATTTCTGTCACTTTGTAGGAGCAAAGAGAAGCCCTACCTAAAGACTTGATCAAGTGCACAATGTGTTCGGCATTATTCTGCAATAAAAAAGCCTATGATGTTCATAATGGTTATCATCAACCAAACGATTTGTACGTAACTTCTGAGCAGCAGAGAATGCGAGCGATCACGAGAATCGACCAGGACTTCGACATCAGAAGAGTTGAGCCTATTATTGATAGATATGTACCACGACTTAATGCGTCTACTAAGCAGTGGACAAGAGTAAATTTTATTCTTATTTTTTTGCAAATACAGCAAATTTCGTTTTATAATTTTAAAATATACTTTTTTAATTTTCTCTCACAAGTGATGGTATATTATTAAATTTGAAGCAATTTAGAACGTATGTGATGCTAATAAAACACTGTTCAATATAAATCTAGCCAAGCAAAAGACAGAGAAAAGGAACAGAGATGGAAAAAGACAAGAGTTCGGAGTTCTCGGACGATCAATTAGCGGAAACTAACGAATCCAGCGATCCCGAAAGTGATATTCCGCTGAAGCAAAGACTCATCAGTTAATGGAGGTTTTTCTCTAATTCGCAAAAAGTGCTTTATTTTACGGCAAAGGAACTTTTGTTGTGTATGTATAAAAGATATATAAAAAGTGCAATCACATGTAATATACAAAAAAGAACTGAAGTCTCGATTCGACATTTCTTCGATTGTGATCTTCAATATACAAATTTACGTTTTTTTATATAAATGCGATTTACAAGCATGACCAGAATGTTCACAATGCTGTGCAATTCTTTGATGATAAGATCAATTATGTGAAATCGATTGTCTGCCTGTATACGTTTTTTAATTATTGAAACAAATCGTACTTTATCACATAGAGCGAAATTATCGACTGCAAATTATTTCTGTCTTTAGATATAGTTTGGTGCCTGAGACATGTTGTATCTTTTAATTCTACTATCATGGCCCTCAAGTCTACACTCGTTTCCTCTTTTGCCAAATTTTTGCGGTTTGATGAACTTGTTCTGTTAACGGCCGATTTCTTCATACCTCTCGATAGCTATCCTCTGGATAAATTCATCTGAGAACCAATAAGGAGAGCCAATTTTGGGAGATATCTTCTAGATAAAGTTATCGAAAACTTATCTAGAAGTGAAAAAATTAGCTGTAAGACAAGTTCATCTCTCCATTTCATTTTCTAAAGCAAACAATTTTACACTTCCATCTTCATTGCTTCCATTGTTTCGTCGAATTCTTTTTCTCTTTCACAGATCTTTGAAGAGCCGAATAAATAAATCAAAAAATTATAATCGTGATATAAATAGATATATAATTTATACTTTCTACAATTAATTACGAATTATATACATTTTATTTATTCTTGTACATCATAGTGTAATGCGTACTAATTTTTACAAAGCAATTTATTATACACACGTTTTATTATATTGTCTGATACTGTATTTTTGACACGGCGCTGGCATGTACAATATGTGTATTATAATTTGTATATGTTGTGATATTATTGTATTATTATATGTATTTTGGATATGTTTCGTGTAAAATTTACAGCGTAAATTAAAATCATGTTACGCTCTTAAAAATCTTTTTTTACGCGAGAAAGCCTTTGTTGTACATACACATTTCTCGGACACTCAAAAGTTGCGCTGTCTTTCAGGCTCGTTCCAAAATCCTACTTTACTTGACGATTAGTGTTTTGGGACGCAGCTCTTGAAGTGAACCGCCGGAAGACATTCTGGAGATTTCCTAGGAATTTTGAGGCACGCTACGTTGGTGACTTCCGGTGACTGGTGAGGTTTCCGAGCTGCGAAGAAGATGCGGCGGCCATTTTGCAGTATTGTGTGTGTGCGTGTGTACAATCGTGCAGTCACAATCGGAGTATATTCGTTTTTCTGAAGACGTTATAGAGAATTGATCAGTGGCCGCGGCGATTGTGACAAGTTGCTCGATTAATACGGCAAAAGGATGGGCCGCAAGAAGAAGAAGCAATCCAGACCCTGGTGCTGGTATCCTTTTTGTATAATCTACAAACGCGACAACGACGACGGTGACGACAGTGGTCGCCTTTACGTAATCGTATTTTTAGATCGTAACGTTACCTGAGCAATTTGCGTGTGTAAGAAAAGTCAATGTCAACAGTGATTTGGACGCATAAAAGTAACGGTAATGTACTGTCTGGAAAAATTTGAAGAATAACGGAATGTTCGCGCAGAGAGATCGATACGCGATTTCCTTGCGCATCTCTGTGTGTATGTGTGCGTGAGAGAGCGCAGCTGTTTCATCATCGGATTGTGTTGTATGTGTGTGTTGTACTTGATGAACTTACGATGATGTAATAAAAACTACAATGCTGGCGAGGGGTTTCCTCGCGTAGCGATAAATTAAGGATTAATTTGGACTTTGTTCTACAAAATTTATGAGTAATCTTTAAATTTTGTGCTCCATATTTGAACTTCTTCCATAACTGCCAAAAAAGAAAGTAAAAAGTTTTAAGCAGTTCAATAATTAAATCAATTTTTCCTATAAATTTCCTTAAAATGGAACTCAATTTTTCAAAAGGTATTGTAATAGAGAATTTGAAGATGAGAAGATTCTCATCCAACATCAGAAAGCTAAGCATTTCAAATGTCATATCTGTCACAAGAAGTTGTATACCGGTCCAGGACTTAGTATACACTGTATGCAGGTAAATATGTAAAATATATATATTGTTTTATTTATATAACTACTTGTTACGTTTCAAGATTTAATATTTAAATTTCTACTTTTTTAGGTACACAAAGAAGCAATAGATAAAGTACCGAATTCTTTACCAAATAGAAGTAATATTGAAATAGAGATTTATGGAATGGAAGGCATACCACCAAATGATGCAAAAGAACATGAAAGACAACGAAATGGTGGCAGACCGGGTTCACCGTCATCTGGAGAAGATGAACCTGTTCCAAAAAAAGCAAAACCCGAAGGTTTGCTTGGTTCTGCACCAGGAGCAATGTCTGGTATACCGCCATTGCCAGGTATGCCACCACAGCCTGGTATGCCACCATTGTCAGGTATGCCACCGCAGCCTGGTATGCCACCATTGCCAGGTATGCCTCCACATCATGGTATACCCCCTGGTATGCATCCCATGATGTCAATGGGCCACGTGGGTCCTCCCTTCATGGGACCAGGGTAAGTATTTTTTTGTTGAAACTTTAAGATTATTGTTATTTCATTATCTATAACAATTTTTTTGTTTTTGTTTTTTAAATTGCATTAGTGGTATATATTAAAAAAAATATATAAATAATATATATAAGTGATACATATTTAAGTACATATATTGTAATATATATATATTTAAAATATATAAATATATTAAAATCAATTTTAGCAATGTAATTTACACAAATACTGTATGTTATTTTAAATATTTACACACAGTTTAATAATTAAGAACTATCAACACATGTTTCTCTCTCTCTCTCTCTCTCTCTCTCTCTCTCTCTCTCTCTCTCTCTCTCTCTCTCTNCTCTCTCTCTCTCTCTCTCTCTCTCTCTCTCTCTCTCTCTCTCTCTCTTTCTCTTTCTCTTTCTCTTTCTCTCTTTCTCTCTCTCTCTCTTTCCTTCCTTCCCCCCATACATATACACAAAAACACACACCATATACATGAAATTTCTTTTCACATAGCTCGTTGTTTTTGTTAGCATGATGCCTGGCATGTCTGGTATGCCTTCCGGGATGCAGCCACCTGTTTCGGGCGCGTCAATTCCACCTTCACGTCCACTATTTCCGAGCGCTGCGGTCGTATCGACGGCAACAGTATCGACAGCGGCGTCGGTTAGCGGATCGGCCCCTCTGGGTACAGACTTCAAACCGATCACATCCATTGCCAGCGGCGGTTCCATAGGCCCAGTAAAGCCGACATTCCCCGCTTACAGCGGCGCCGCAGAACTTGCTGGCGCTACTACAGCTGGTAATAGTATTACCAACAGCAGCGATCAGAAAGTAAATCTTATCGCGACTACAGGAGCTGCTAGTAAAATCATACATCCGCCGGAAGATCTCAGTTTAGTAAGTGTCCAACTTTGTTTTTCTTATTCTTTGTAATTATCGCTTCCAAGATGGATTACAAATAAAGAATTTGTCTCGCAGGAAGAAATTAGAGCAAGATTGCCCAAGTATCAGCGTCGGCAAACCGATGAATCTGGAAGGCCGACGCAATCTGAAGCAGCAGCGGCGGCAGTCGCGGCAAACCAACAGCAGCAAGCCGCCGCGTTGCATCAAGCGGCGGCAGCGGCAGCGGCGCAGCAGCAACAGGCGGTGCAGCAACAGCAGGCGCAGCAACAGCAACAAGCGCAGCAGCAGCAAGCAGCTGCGAATGTGGCGGCGGCTGCGTTTCAAGCGGACCAGCAGCAACGGCAGCAACAGGCAGCGGCGTTAAACGCATTACAACAACAGCAGCAAAGATTTCAACGGCCGCCGCAGGCGGTCATGGTGCCGGCCTCGGCGGCGGCGATGCCGGTCAGTTCGGTGGCATTGATGGCGCCTCTGATGCGACCCACCATGACCCTAGCTGCGCCTGCTCTCATTCATGGAGGTAACATGATGCGACCGCCCCCCATGGGCCTGCCACCAGGTAAGTGTCCGCGGATTTGAGAAAAAAAAAAGAAATAACACGTGAAAAGAAAACTACCCACCTCCTCGTATTCGAACAGAGTCGCCCCTGTTGTCTTTTTATGCCCTCCCTGTTGAAATTTCAAAATTTCCTTTTTAGTATTTTCTGTCGATTTTCTTTTCCAATTGCTCACCCCCGCCCTTCTCATCTCCGATCGTAAAGAACAGTAAACGCTGATCAATGCACGAGGATAACTTGATAATGTTGTTTTTTCTTTTTTTGTAAAGTTTAAATAAACTAAATATTTTTACGTGGTTTTTCTTGATTCGACTCCAGGAATGTCATCTCGATATTTCATATTGTAATAAAATCAATTCGTTATGTGTTTACTGAAGAGATAGCATTTTCAATGGAGCTTTTATTTTTGAAGCAACAATTTAAACTCAAGTTCCTAGTCAAAAAAAATTGTCAAAATTTGAAAATGTCTAATACCATATAATAATATTATATCCTTGTGCTATGTCTTTGTGTATACGACCCTTGTCTATCACATCCTACCCAGTTTTACTCAGTCGATGGCCGGAAAAAAGATCTTTCCGTTTACGTGAAAGAGCAAAAGAAAATCCCGGATGCTATTCAAGTTTATAATTTAATATTTGGTTCGATTCAGCTTCATGTTGCACTGCAATTTGCGCCGCTTACTCACGACAATGATCATTTCTGTTATTTGAATGAGATAAATTTGCGCGAAAAAGACAGCGAGAACGATGAGACGGAACATGAACGAGAAACAGACCGAGAACGGACACATTTTGATGGGAAGGGATCAGAAATAAAATTGCACTATGTGTACTACTGACTTAAAGACGGCAAAAAAGTGAGAAAAAAAAAGAGAGGCGGAACAAATGTCGTGATTGTTGAGAATAGAACTGTATATGCTCAAGATTTTTCGACCGAATGATTACGCCACAGAATCTCGACGACCCAGCGAGTCTTGTAGTCCTTGTGCGTTTATACGTTTTAACGGTGCGTTTGCAGGGCGCCCGGTCACTCCTCGATGAGTGTCGAACGAACCCAGTCTGGTTACTAAAACCGTGTTTTACAATACAAGCGCTACAAGGTTGGTCCTTAGCAATTAGCATGCGGTGACATGGCCTATATCTATATACATATGTATATCTATATATCTTGTTATTATTATTATTATTATTCTTATATTGTTGATTAATCTTGTCATCGTTATCATTAATACACATACATATTACATGTATATATGCGTATATACGTGGAATATATGTGCAGTAGATCGCGCAAATTATACGGTAGAGTGAATTCATAAAAGGACTGTCCCGAATGACTTTCGCGATGCTGCTGCGTGTATATTTCTGCGTAATTCGCAATAATGTCACTGGACAGGTGGGTCGAGCGGCCAACGACACGTTCCTTATTTCCATCTCACGTTTAATGTCTTTAATCAATTTTTTGTCCTACTTTGTCTAAATGAAAAAAATACTCCAATACCGAGGAAACAACAGTTGCACCAGTGAATGACATCAGAGTGATAACAAATAAATTGTTTTAATTAATCTAATATTCTATATTATCTCTCACACATTTTATTATCAAAAAAGTAAAGCTAACATAATCGTAAAAATATCGTAAATCGTAAATTATCAAGTTTTACTAATCGATATTATATTACAATGTTTTTTTGTTATTGATAATTACTTAGTCGAGGTAATTAAGTGTCTTTTTTTTCATTTAATATACTTTTTTAATTTTATATATGAATTATATCCACCGCAATATTTTTCATAACCGATCGTTCATTGATGCACTTACGTTTCCAAATTACTTCCCAATCTATTCCCATTTTTCGAGTTTTTTACAATTTTACGCACATTTATTTCACTATCCCCATTTAGTACAGTTCATGATGCATTTTATTGAAAAAAAAAAAAAAGAGGGAGAGAGAGAAACCTCCGGCCGCTCGGCCGTTACATTATTTTTACATCATGTATGATTTTTCTTTGTTTCCTTTCTGTTTCCTTCTCAGCTTTTTTATTCACACTCTCTCGATTTTTAACCATCTTATTCTTCTTATGACTCACTTATGCCATTATTTATCTCGCCAGCAGCCGTGTTACCATCCTGTCTCTTCAGTATTACTTATATTATTATATAGCTTGGAATCCTGGTGTTGTGATACAGTAGTGGAGAAACTGCTTCTTTGGGCACGGTACTGACAGTCGTTCGAAGTTGTCATTCCAAAAAGAAAAAAAAAACAAAAAGAAACAAATTACAACTGTAATTATTTTCTCGCTGTCCCTTCCTTCTTTACATTTCATGATTATCCTCAATCTACTGATTAACAGTTGCCAACTTTAAATTTTGACAACAATGTCATGGATCTAATGAATTGTTTTCTTTTTTTGTCTAGAGATTATTTAATTAATTAGAAAGAGTAAAGTGCATTTTTTTACAAATTTATCAAAGAAAAAACTGAAATTTGTTTACAAAACTTATAAATTACTCGTCTCAGATCTGATATATATTAGTCGAAAAAATAAAATAATAAATAAAAAGTCTCTTGTAAAGAAGGAAGGGATCAAATTGTGTTTTCACCGTGCTCGCCGGTGCATTTTGTTTAATTTTATTTTACTTTTTTTCATGAGAAGTAAGAAATTAGCAACGAGAACGAACGTAATGTATCTCCCTCACACCATAGCCTAGCTTTTGTGTTACACTATGAAAAATTTTAGATAATTTTGAGCCGAGCCAACAGTAAGTAAACGACTTCACGTTACCTAAATATAATTTAATTGCGCTCAATTTAGGGTCCGCTCGATATAACACGATTTTTCATCGAATTTTTGAATACATTACACATGAAAAAGTAAGAAAAGATATCACTTCTCGAGTAACTTAATATTTTAATGGTAAATTGTGTCGATATTTATTACGTCTCTCGAAACTTTTAAAAAAGTCTTAAACAGTTTTACATTGCTTTTGATTGTTGTTATTAAAATACTAAATATTTTCGTCACAAAGCAACATGTGTGTTTGGAGCGACATCTCAGAAGTTTGACTGACAGCTGATCCGCCGGCTTCCACAATGAGTATTCAAATTGTAATATCGAATCAATTGCGTGTCCCCAAGCGAGACTCGTTCTTTGTATGGTGTGAGGTTTTTTGTGTGTATCACTTTCATGTTAATTTTGTTTGTGACTTGTATTGCGTATGCGGCGCACTGCATGCTAAGCTGAGTTCTTCGTATACATATATATATATATATATTTATATATATATATATACCTATATCTCGTATACATATATCTAGTTTGGCGATTCGCATTAATCAGAGGTTGCTAGGTAGTACGTAGTACGTGGAGTGCCGAGGATAAGTCGGTAACCGGATGCGTGCGTGACGTAGTCGTGTAGAATACTTGAGAAGAAAATTGTCTAGTTGCAAGTGCACCTTCGCTTGGAGGTCAAATGCAAAATTTGTTTTTTTTTCAAGTAACAACGTTAATCACAGCAATTATAAATAAGTCTTTCGACAACCAAGTGCACTTCGAGTAATTAAAGAATTTTTAATCAATTGATATCTCGCGACCTTGTTCCGATATAAACTTTTGATGCAGCACAGTCGATCAGTTGTCAGCCATCTTTGTCTTCAGCGAAACATAAGCTTGAATCAGCGTATTTTATCTGAATTCATCATATTGGTTTAACAGTTACATTAACTAACAGTTTACAAGTTAAGTTTAGAATATTAAAAAATTTACATTTGTGGTTAAAATATAAATAGAATTTTTTTATAGTAATAAAAAAAGTGAGTATTTGGAGTAAGTTTCTCTTAATTTAATAGTTTTTAGTATTTTTTAAATTACTTATTTTTTAAACCGTGGCAGAAGGATTCTATACGACTTATCTTGCGCTGAAGAATTTGCTGTCCTCCAAAAACAAACATTATAATATATAATTACATCACATTACAATATAGAATAGTAAAAGAGGGACAAAAAAAATTGTTAAAATATTAAAATATCTCGAAATAGTGGGACCCGTAAATATTGTGTAACGTGAACAGTGCGACGTAAGTATATTTATTTTCAGGAACATGGTTCCTGTTGAGAGAAAGAGAGTGAAAGAGAAAGAAAGAGTGAGAGAAATTATATTATCGCGACATATTGAAAGATTGTAATGAGCAGCAGCACATGCCTGCCGCATGTGGACGACGTTTCATTTTTTTTTTTTTTTTATTCCCGCCGCAAAATTCGGTCGTGAATCGAACTAATCTGATGCTGCGTTGCTTTACAGGCATGTTAGGAGCGGCGATAGCACCTGGAGCCGCGATGCATCCTTTTGCCACCGCTCCGATGGCTTTTCCAGGGCCCATGCTAGCGCCGATGATGCCGCGCTTCAGATGATCACCCCCCATGGACGGGCCCAATCCCCCGCCGATGCATTTCGTGCTATGGGCCCGCCCCTAACTCTCGCTGGGGTCCGGACCTGATCGAGGAAGAGATAAACACAAATTAACAAAGGAAGAAAGCGAGAGAGAGAGAGAGAGAGAGAGAGAGAAAAAGAGCGAAAGAAAGAAAGAGAGAGAGAGAGAGAGAGAGAGAGAGAGAAAGAGAGAAAGAGAAGAGAGAGAAAAAGAAAACGAGATATAATTCTTCTTTTTTTTTTGTTTTTTTGTTTTTTTAAATCATGTTGAGAGAGACAAAAAAGTACGCATGGAGAGAAAAAGAGAGAAGAGAGAGAGAGAGAGGGAGAGAGGGAGAGAGGGAGAGAGGGAGAGAAAGGGAGAGAGAGAAAGAAAGAGCGCAAGAGAGAATGAGAGAGAAAATGAAAGAAACAGACAAGCACACACGTATGCCACATCATCGATGCCTGAGAGGATTCTTTTGAAGAAACCGGGTGCGCGCTGGAAACGGTCGACTTCTTGCCTTCTTCTTTCATGCTGCTATAGAAAAAAACATAAAAAATACAGACACATGAAACGCTAATTGTTCTCGCGTCGACTACAAGTGTATGTGCGCCAGGCTGCGTTGGTTGTATACCAGGTGAGCCAACAATGAGTAAATTTCGTCGTGTTTTTTATAGGAGAAAGTTAAAAAAAAAAAAAAACAAATAATGTTCGTCGCTCTTATAATGATACTGCCATTCTCCACGGTAAATGCAGTATAAACTAAACACCTATCTTACTTATCTATCGATTTCTCATTACACATTTGGACACTCGTTGTATCGCGCTGCTGGTGTCCAAGATAACGTTTCACCCTTCATCGTGTTCGTCGCGACGACAACATCGTTTTCCTTTCTGTGTTATCCTCTCGTATCGAGGAGTCAATCAAAATTCAAAGATTCGTTACGAGAATGTTAGGTAATTTAATTTATATAAGATTATTTTTAATAGATTTATCAATGAATGAATTTGTTATCTCTTAACGAATTATATCAAGACAGTGAGGTAATTGTGACACTGCACAAGTTTCTGATAACATGTGCACATCTGTTACAATTTTTTAAAGACAACAATTATTATCCGAAATTTCTTGTAAAAAAAATTAATATGTATTTATTAATATAATATTAGAGAAAAAGGTATTTTTTTGCGAAATCTAAGAACTATAAGTATGTTGAACGCAACAATTAAAGAGTTTGTTAGTAATATAATTAAAAACACATTTTTATCGTTCTCTAAACTTCACACATATGTAAAATTTAGTACGATTTTTGAAAACTCAAATGTTCTCTCTTTTCTACCGTCACATTCATCTCATAGTGTCGCCAAATTAATGATTGACTCTTCAGTTCTCAGAACGTGACACATATGCACTTTCCATAACAACGAAGTACCATGTGTGTTCCTTTTAAACACACATAATAGTCCTCTTTCGCGCAATAGACCGTTTCCATCACGCGCTGTTCCCTTTAGCCTCTGTGCACCTGCAGTCCTCTTGGAGACGCAGACAAGGTGGCGCTTCACGCTGCAGCTGGATGCTAATAATGCATTTCTGACTAATTTTCTATCTCTTATCTTCTTTTGTCGTTTTAAATGATTTTACAAGGCTCGTCTCTGATATCTTTTCGTGCAAAATAAAATAATATATACACATATATTATATTGTTTTGGTATATGAAAGTTAATTTAAATTTCTGTGATTTTCAATCAGGGATATAAATAACGTAGAGTAATCGCGGTACAATTGCACGTCAACAAAATGTTTCGTTGAACTCAATCAATCCCACAAAATCAATCAGGAACTCAAGATCGCAGATTGTTTCCAAAAAGAAAATCGAGTACGCGCACTAATGTTACGGTTTAGAACATATTCACTAGCCGCAGTGTGAAGATTCAGTTGCCTCAGGTTAGTCTGTCGTAATTTTATTTTGTTGACTCTCCGAGTCGAGTCGATATACTTTCCAAAACACGTAACATAGAAATATATATGTTACTTCTTGTAAGTAATTTATATAAAAAGTATTAAATTATTACGATAGTAAATTTCAATTTAGAAAATAATGTATATATATACAGTAGCCAAATGTAATTTATGCATGTATTGTATAATAAAGTTTTTTGTATATTACAATATATTTACAAACAAGTTTTTCTTTCTTTAAATCACACATTTGTGATTTTGTTGCCGAAACTTTTTAATAAATTTGGATCTAAATTTTAGAAATACACGATGCAAATAGAGATGTATTTGAGAATACATCGTGCTTAAATTTGAAGAAGTGTAACTTAACTTACGGGAGTAATCGACTCGACTCAAGAAAGCCTCCTTTTCCTTTGCCAAAGGAACAATGTTGGCGACGCATGAGTGAGTGGTAAGTACGGAGGGTGCTCACGGAATCGAACACCAGCTCTCTACACTCGACTCGCGCCGTTTCTTCACTCTTCCTTTACCATCTCACCGATTCTTGCTCCGATTATAGAGTGTATATCGCTGTTATAGTTTATCTTATTTTTCTCTCATTTTTTCACATTAAATTTCTATAATTGTTCAGTAGTAATTTCGAGATACGATACATCATTTGCTCTACGATCGGACACGCTCAATGTTTTTTTTTTTATACGTCCCCTCCATAGAAAACTTAACAGATTCTTTCCCATTTTATCTCCAAACTCCCGAACTTCTTTTATCTACCTTTCGCTCACGATAAATAACATCTCTCCATGTCTACTGTACGTTTTTATCAGTTTCTATTTAGGATGCCTATTGATGAAGCTAGTAGATTATGTAATATGCATCCCATCGTCTTCGTCGTTCTGATGAATTGTTCCTAGAAGCTAGTAGAAATATTCTGTCTGTATTAGAGTATAAGAGCAGCGTCGCCAGTACGAGTTAACTTTGTTTTTAGTTTATGTCACACCATTGGTAATTTTTCAAAAGTCAAAACTAGATTAATTAGAGATTATAACATTATTATTATTATAGAGACAAAACTATTATATATCGATAATTTTAAAGTTATTTGACTTTAATTTTTTAATTTGGTGGATCAATCAATAATTTCTCGATAACAAAAGGTAGTCGAATTTGTGCGCGCGGAATCGTGTTGTGCGTATGACGAAAGATGGTTTTGTTGTGTCGAGACGTGGCGCTAGCGCTGTAACGCGGGGAAATAGATCGTACTGTTGTCTGATATCAATGGGCATCCTGCTGCTGGTTTTCCATTCTTTCGACCACCACCATCTCTCGATCACTACCATCATCTTCCGGTACCACCACCTTCTCAAAAGAAATGAAAATGAAACAACATTGAAAGCGCGCCGTACAACACGTGTACGTATGTAAATGATATCTACGCATCGTTATTATAATCTTTTATTTTTCAGGGATTGTCTTTCTGAATCTTCTCCGTGAACTTCCTAAAATGATATAAAATTATCAACATTATTGCTCTTTTAAGATTAAGAAAGAGCCTCATTTGATAAATCGAAAAATGTAACAAAGCTCTAAAGTAAACTTGAAACTTGTACGTATGAAGATTGAAACTCTCTATGTTGTTCTTTTTTTTCTTAAATTTGGTAATTGTCAAAGTTTCATGTGTTCATTTACGGCGATTCGGCAGGACAGTCTGACGGCAGAATTTGGAGATGTAGAAGTTCTGTTATTTATTGAGTGTCATATTATCAACTTGTTTCGAATAAAGACGTTCTATGGAAATGTTTTGGGCATAGTCTGCTGTTCTGGGATATGTCACCGTAGCGATCTCAGTTTCTTCCGTATATCATCGATATCTTGTACGACACGTAGATCATCTAAATAAATATGCACCTACATTTTTGTATACATAGCTATAGAAATCTTGATGTGTGTGTATGTGTGTAATTATGTGTAATTATTTACCAAGTTTGATTCAACGATTAAAAACTCGATATGATTTCTCCGATGTTATCGCTAGATCGTATCCCAGAATAGCGGGCGACAGCCACATATTGTTTCAACCAATCACAGCAATCTCATCGCTGTTGGACCTAATCGGTCCCTTGCCTCAAGGCAGGCGATTGTTTGGACCTACCGTCCTAGAGTCGAGCTAACCGAGTCGCAACTTCCTGATTTTCTTGTTGGAATCGAATCGACGGACAAATCTTTTAAAACTTCAAAAGACTTGTCTATTGATATAACCAAGTTTTTTTTAAACTCAATATAAGAGAATAAAAAAATCAGAAAGTTTGACGGTTCTCGGCTTGGCGGACGCGTGGCTGGACCGAGAAACAATATTAATCGTCATCGGTTAACGAATTGCGGGTTAATCGTATTAACCGATCGATCGTTCGGAACGTCGAAACGAGAGACAGAATTCCAGATGTGTAGAAACGATGCAAATAGCACGTGTCTCTTATCGGCGAGTTCTAATCCTTTCGAAACGCTGTTCGATCGCTTAGCTTCTTGTAGAAAAGAATGCATTTTCAATTAACACTTATTAAGATTGACAACACTTATTAAGGTTTCTTCTTAATTGAAATGTCTGTAAAATTAGCAATTTTTCGTATGTACATAATAGATATATATTGTGTGTTTTATCAATAAAATAAATATACTCTGAAAAAAAACTATTTTTTTAGTTTTATATTTTTTCCATCCACAAATCTGATACTCTTGTTTAAGAAAGTTTTATTATTTATTTATTTATGTGTATTCGTAGTTTTGTATTTTTTTTAAGTTTTTTTTTAAATTATATGAAAAATTTATATGGAAATGTTTTATTACATACATATATATGTATATAAAAATCAAATCAAGATATATTCATGTATAATGTGTTTTAATTAAGAGGAACTAACACTATTTCGAGTCGCTACTAATTAATGTCGATTTTTATGATGATAAAATGGTTTTTATATTAATTTTTTAAAATGTTTTTCTTACTATATTATTAGAATCGAAAGGATTAATAATTGCTCTACGCATTTACTCAACGTGACTATTTTTTTAAACTGCCTGCACTCTCAGCACTTTTATTTATTTATTTTTTTTAATTAACAAACTTACAACTCTCGTCTTCGACTGTTCGATCGTATCGTAGAATGCTTAGCTGGCTCTATATATATTATATATGTGTATACCGATATCATCCCCTTTCTGTATCTCTTGTGTTCGCGAGCAAAAAGAATCTCTTGTTTTTCCTGCTCCTACCCACTTTTTAATATCCTCATATCCTTCTTTACGCTAATGTCTTTACACTTGGTGACAGCGAATGCAAGATATTTGCTCTCGTGGGGATCGCTTTTGCTGAACGAACTGGTAACACGGTCGTTCTTTGTCATCCTAATACTATACTTTTTTTTTGCCCTGCGATAGATCTATTCGGGAATAAAGTGTCTCTCTTCGAGAATGCATCGATGTCTGTTATTTTTAGTCTGATATTTTTATCTGATATATTTTATATTTTAAACATTTTCACATCAATTAATATATTTTTATTATCTATAATAATTTTTATCTTTTTTTTTAATTTGACGCGGTTTTTCTTTGTTAATTATCGCAAATTTTGCACGTGATTTTCTATCTTAACGACGCATAATCGCAAAGTAATTTATAACAATCAAAGTGTTCAAGCAGGCGCTTAATGGCACAGTGTTCCAAGCAGTCGTTTAGCGCGTCTCACTTAATTAAACATAGCGACGATTAAAGCGACGACTGGTTCTGTTTTAACGCGCGCGCTAAAAAGAGGCATCTCTCGAGAAAGCGAGGCCGATTTATCGCGATCATTCTCGAGAGAGTGGAGTAAGGATAAAAAGCCGTTATCGCGACTAAATAAGGACGCTTTATTTCTGAGGCAAAGACCAATCGCAGGTGCACTAGACGTAGCCTATATCCTTCTACAACCTTATTGTTTTCAGCCGACTGCATACGAGCAGAACGGACAATAATGATCAAGGAAAGAAAATGGAATAAAAAGAAAATAACAAAGTGACGTAAAAACATGTGTGTGTGTGTGTGTGTGTGTGCGCGCGCGTTCAGATCAAACAGTTAAAAAATAAAGTAAAACATTACTTGAAATAAAAAAATAAAATAATTATTCGAACAAAATTGTTAAGCGAGTTTGCGATGAAAGTCACGGCGAACTACACGATTACAAAAATGAATAATTGATTGAAAGGTTTAGAGAATTAGAAAAAATCACATCAGAAACTGTGACTTTGATCGTGACAACGTCTGCCTATTTTTTATTTTGATCCTTAACCAGGAAGAATTGCGGCGTTTTGATTTTTTGCGTTTTAGAAGAAATAATATCTATGATATTATTAAATCGGACGAGTTGTGAATTGGATTTATGTAATTATAAAAGAATTGAATTGAATCGAACACAATACGCAGAAAACTATCACACGCACGATAATCAGAAATTACACATATGTACGTTGAATCACGGAACTCTTTGTTGCGAAAGATTCCGTGAGAAAAAAGATTGCTCTGATAATTCGACCTGATATAACTCAAGTAAATAATCTCTCTTCGAAAGTGATTCGTAAGCGTGGTTTCTCATCGCTTTTGCGTTCATTTCGTTCTCTTTCTCGACGGAAAGAGAGTAATTTCTGCGAGATTACAAGAGTTTACAGGACAATTCCTCTCATTTTATGAAGTGTAATCATTATACTTCGCGTAAGTTACGTATCACACAATTCACACACGCGAAACAACTTTCGTAATCGTAAACAAGAAGGGATTCCGAGGGAAGAAAACAAATTGCACTCTTACTAACACTCCTGCGAATACCGATGGCATAGTTCGAAAGTCAAATGCCATGCTGCCTTTTCCACGAAGCAATAGGCGCTTCGCCAGGTGAGTCTTGGTATATCGATTTGTCGACTAGAAACGAGGACGCCGAATTTTCTTTTGTTCGAAGTATGCTCAGTAACTAGACTGAGTTTCGTCGCGTAGTACTCTAGTAGTGGAATATATAGTTCGGCATTACTGAAACTATGTCAAAAGGAAGTCTGCGGTAGCTCCAAGACGCTCTCGTGTAATCTTAATGTCAACGAACGCGATAACACGATTGCGTTATCAACACGATTGCAGCTACATCGACGTGTGTAACCATTGGTGAATAAAAAATAATTTTTGTAAGTACGAACAAAGTTTTCACTTAAATAATTAGTTTATTAAGTGCATAAATAATTGATAAGCGTGCGTTTTTTCAAAGATAAATATTAGTTTCAAACAATTAGTTTTTTATTCAATAATTGATTTATAGATTCTGTTTATAAATATAACATGTAATGCAAAACAGAAAAAAAGATATAGAGTAGGTAACCTGTATCGACTTGAAAAACCAGTTTTCCATTTTCCAGTCAAGATTTCTCTATCTCATATATAAATCTCTTTTATTTGTCTGAACAATGTAATCAAATGGCGCTACGCTCACATGTATTGTATATTAAAAAAACTCTTTCCATAATTTAAGATTACAATTTAAAAACTTATCTTGAAACTGTGTTTAAATGCAAATGTAATTTACTAATTTAATTTTGTCAACTGTATAAAATATAATTAAATATAATTTTATTTTATTTCAATTTTGATTTCAACCTTGTGTTGTAACGATTGCAAAACGATTACTTTATCCATAATATTTTCAAATGCGTTCGATAAAGACACGAAAGTACAACAGGTATTCGCGCAACGCAACGACGTTGAAAGCATCAATTAAATGACACAGGATGAAAGAATCGATTTACTGCTGAATGATCGAATGTTTCAATTGTACGCACATCGTGCGTTGCAAGTAGTAAAATCATTCTGGACATTGCGGCATGTGTTTATCGTGTTTGTTAAGTCACCGACAAAGAAGCACAGACGCAGTAATACCCTAGATAACCGAGACTGAATGAGCATATTTTACAAAGTCTGCAATAATACATTATGCCAGTACAGTATAGCCAGCATTCAAACATACTCTGTTATTGCAATTAGTGTTGACAGAAAAAAAAGAGAATATAAATGTGTCATGCCGTGATGCAAATATTATTGTATCAATCAAGCAGAACTTGCTCCAAAAATGTAGCAGATTTGAAGCATAACGTGCTATTGTCATGTCATTCTTCATTTATTTCTATATTTTTGTTGTGTTGTTTTCTTTACATATCGTGCCTAAATACTTCACTCACTATGATGACAACTGAGTGGAATCTGCTAATTAAACCTGCGTGCATACTGCTATCATTTGGTCATTGGGGACGTGATTAAAATATGCAGTCGCATTTTCCGGATTTCAATGATAATGACTCTCGCGATAAAAAAATTTCGAGTTAATTAGAGGTTTGTAAGTTGAGCAAGTTTAACTTTAGATTTCGCGCGTACACTCGAATGTAAAACGAACGATTAGAAGATTTTCAAATTCAAACGGAAGACAAAGCGCGTTTCGCGAAAGTAAAGAGCGAGCACACACAAACAAGGTCTCTTCGAATTCACCTAATGGATCCAGGTGAATAGGTGAACTAATCGATCAACGGTGAGCGGCAGGACGAGACGATCGACAGTATCGTGTTGGAAGCTGACCGAGCCCGAAACCATCGTTTGCAGAAATTGCAGAAAGAAGAATTCATATTCGTTAAAAAATCACATCTATTGCTCTTTGATTTGATATAGGTGCAGAAAAGAGAGTTTGCGGAGACATCCGATATATTAATCCTTTGTAAATTATCTGTATGTATTATATATTAATTATGTATCTTTTACTTTGTTCATTTTTGTGAAATCTTTCATAACATCTCAAAAGTGAATCTCGTATGTTAGATACAATTCTTTAACGGCAGTAACCGTTGTGACCAACCGACTTAACACGTCAACATTTTCGATTCACACGAAACTTATTACTCATTTTTCCTTGTTCGCGTGGAATTATTCATTTGTCACGTATTTACGGTCTATATAAGGAAAAAGATTTCTGATTGATTTCCAGGAAGTCGCGCAGTCGTTAGACGACAGGTCGTACGGCACTGACGATCACGAAAGTGAAAGCCAGGTGTAATGCGCCTAAGCCATGACGGCCAATCGACCTCGAAAACGCGTAACACTCCCGCCGAGAGTAGCGGCTCGAGCAGAGATATTGCGTGATGCAAAAGGCTAAAAAAATGCCGCTGCCTCGCTCTCGCTCGCACGTTTATGTTATATGCCACACGCTTGTTGTCGCTATTCGTTCTTCTCGCTCACATATCGAGATGCAAAATAACACAGTAATCTCACGACGACGACGACGACGACGGCTTCTCTTCATTGTGTTCGCGCAGGATAATCATCCGCAACTCGCACACCCGGATGAGAAGGTGACGGTATTGTGATTCGCGCACAACCGACTTTCTTGAATCACATCTTTATAAGTTCTCTCTCCGGCTTGTTCTTCGTTCTTTCTATTCTCATTTGTTTGTAGTAGAAATTTCTTTGATCAAATGATAAGTAGAAGGAAATTAGATGTTGACTTGAGAGAAAGTGTACACAAGATATAATATTTTTATGCGTATGTGTAGCAATTAAATAAATTGTACGTATAATAAAGATTATTTATAAAAATATATAATATATGCAAAAAACGATTCATTTTTGTTATACTCTTTTTTTTACACACGTGAGCACATTCTCTGTTTGCAATATGTCATTATTGAAACAAATTAAATTGTTATCGTTATTTTGCATTATTGGATGCGCTTCTCTCTTTTGCGCGACTGTTACGATGAGTCGATCTGGCGCGAGTTTACTTACTGGATCTCTCTAGCAAGTACCGGTACCTCAGGAAAAGAGCACCGCAGTTACAGTCAGATTCTCGCCGCTGCAAGAACAAACTCCCAGTTTGTCGCGCATACCCGGTGCGCGTGGTCCAATTTTTAATTGTCGCGCTGTTCTCTTTTCCGGAAAAGAAGAGATCGAAGTGCAGTGTGATTCAGGATCCAATCAAGGATCAATTCAGAATTTTAATTGAGTGTAAATACGGCCTTGAATATTTATTAATTTACATTTCTTTCTGTGTTCGTGAATGATTTTGTAATATTTAACAAAAAAGTGCGATCATTTTCAAGATTTTTGTCCTCCAAAAATCATACATCAAATTAGCTATGATAAATCTATTCATGAATATTAATATCATTTTTGCAAGTTTTTTTTATAAATGTTTTTACGTGATAATACAACAAATTACAATTATGTACTGCAAATGTTTGTGTTTTTTGCAGTATTGTTTTAATATATCGACGTTCTTTTCTCAACTATCTTTTGGATTATTTTCGCAAGTTAATCTCTCCCAACAAATTGTTTAACACGACTGACAAGTTCTGAACTAGTACGCCTTTTCGTTTGGTGGAATTTTTGCCGCTCTCCGATCGGCTTCATTTCTCTTGAGGAATGGGACAAGTTTGATCGGTCCATTTTGATACAGTTGCACGTAACGCTGGTTTGCAATTCCGCGAGCTCATTGAAACTCGCGCGAAAGTACACGTTTCGTTTGCGCGAAAAGACAATCAAGATGACAATTCTCTGAGGGAAATTGTGCTTTTCTTGTGTGACTTGACAGAAAACTTTGCCTCCTCGTGAATATTTTGTCTTGCAAAGAGAACTGCCATTAGGTCGTCGTCATACTTTCTACTTGAGACAAATTGTGCGTGCAATTTGAGGGAAATCGACGCGAAATTAGTTGTTGACGCGTGCAATGTTTCACGACGACCTGATTCGATCGAGAAATGTAAAAACAAACGTTTATACGTGATTAAAAATTTATACGTTTATTAACACATCTTAAACGTAATATCATCAATATATATCATCAATAATAATAATATTATTAACGATTATAAATCAAAATTATAACAAATACGTTCAACGTAATAAAATTGGTTGATGTTTACATATGTATTATATATAAAATATTAAAATAAATTAAACCATATTAAAATAAATCAAACAAAATGCACGGATATAATTTCAATGTAAAGTAAAACGCGTTGTGAACATGTAGGTTAGATAACTGGTATGAAATAACATACATATATGTATGAAGCGGCATGAGATCGCGATTGCTATATCATTTAACGAGTCGAGTATAAAGCGGCTGAAAAATCAATTGCTTTCTATTTTTCCATTAACCGTGTTACGGAAATATTAGCTATCTGTTAAGTACAGATAATCTATTATGCGCACTCCGTTCTACTAACTAAAAAAAACTTTTTTTCTTTCAAAGAGAGGAAAGTTATTGACTTTTATGATGAGTATTGAATTTTTTAAATAGCTTTGCGTCTGGATTAAAATCTAAAATTTTTTATTGCACACAACACTTATGTTTTATTTATATGTCCAATCTTGATTTTTAATTTTAAACTGCAATTGCGCGAACGTTAGAATGACTATGGAATTATAATGACAGGTTTGAACAATCCTATCGATACGGACATCTATCTATGTAATTCCTGTCATTATATAAGGATGCGCGATAATGTTATTCAAAATTACAAATGCGGTTCTATAAAAACCGGTTAGTTTTTAAATGGTGGCCTTCGAAGATTCCGTCACTCGTCGATGTCGATAAATACAACGGGAGTAAATTATCACTTCCAGAATAAATACGCTACGCGTTTTAGCACATTAAAGTTTTTATGTTCTTTTGTCAAATAACGATAGATAATCCGAAAATCTCCGTACTGGACTTGTACAATATAAATTCATAAATTTCTACACATTACGAGATTTATATACTTTTCTTCGAAGATTTTTTTAAATTGTGCGCGATACAACAAATATAGAGAAACAAAGTAAGATCGAATACTTTACGCTTTTGATAACAATATCGTTTCAATATTATATTTCTCTCTATGCTCTTTCATAACATGTATTTTACTCTTGAAGACCTTCCAATTTTTTTAGCACTGACTCAAGTAGGTACCGTTATTTCCACGATCCGTTATGTCATTGAAATAACAAGAGAGCTGTGACACTTGCGAAACATGGAATTACTGATTCGTTGCTGGAATATAACAAAGCAAAACCTGTTTCCACACAAAAAAACAAGCTACATATATACACTCTTTGTATAAAAATATATATTACAATTACAAATAACTCGGTTTTATCTAAGTCGTGAATTATATCTTGCAAATTATTGTCATTTCATAAATAAATAAATAAATATCATATGCGTACATTATATGTTACATATAACAAGAAAGATCATCTAGAGTATTTTTTATCAGAGAAAAATAACAATATGCGGACGTCGTCGATCGTTGTCGCGCTTCTACTCGTCATACTGGATAGCGCGATCGGCAAGCTGCGTGTCGCCTATCGATGGAAGCAAATCGACTATGCATGGGCCAGCAACGACAGCAAGAGACTCTTCCCAGACTACAAACAAGAAGATAACCTACCTTTAGGTCTAGAAGTGGCTGGCGACCGGATTTTTATCACGGTGCCTAGATGGAGACAGGGAGTTGCCGCTAGTCTCAATTACATTTGGCTCAACGGTGATTAGCTATTTTGTTAGGTAGCATTTTTTTTTTAATATAGATAGATGATATAAGAAGAATTTGATCGCCATTTATGAAGGAAAGGTTAAAGACTTTTTACTTTAGGTTGAAATTCTTCAGCGTATGTTAACTTTCAGATACGAGCGAATCGCCACCCCTGCACCCCTATCCCTCTTGGGAAGCGCATCAATACAATGCAGCTGGCGTGCCGGAGATCGTCTCGACATTTCGTGTACGCGCCGATCGTTGCAATCGGCTGTGGGTCTTGGACACTGGGCTGACCGACATCCTGGGCGATCCTGAGCAGCAGGTGCCACCAACTCTGATCGTCTATGACCTGACGAACGATCATATGCTGCGCAAATACGTGATCCCAGCCGATCAGAGAACCGGCGATTCCCTGTTCGCCAATATCGCCGTCGAGGACTACTCGTGCGAGGATTCTTACGGTTACCTGGGCGATCTGGGTGGTCCGGGACTCGTCGTATACTCTTGGAGTCTCCAACAGTCTTGGCTTATCAAGCACCACTCTTTTAATCCAGATCCGATGGTATATAATTGAAAAATATAACAGCGATTTATCTGCTCTATCATCATTTCTCTTTTCGATGTTTATTTAAAGTTTTACGAGAAATTTATATATAATTGATCGGGATTAAATTAAAACCATTTTTTTAAGACACTGGAAATGTCGGAAATTTCTTAATTAATAGTCAACGTAACGATTTGAGCAGAGTTCTACGAAAAATTATCAATGACAAACTCTGTCTTTCTCAGGGCGAAGAATTCAAGGTGTCAGATATATCGTTTAAATGGAAAGATGGTCTTTTCGGAATGGCTCTGGCGCCGACCGGCGACGGCTACAGCACTCTGTATTATCATCCGCTCTCTAGCGGCATGGAATTTTCGGTCAGCACAAGGCTGCTGCGCGATTCTAAGCGTGCTAGTGCTGCAGGTAGATTTAAGAGAATTACATATTCTTGCAAAAAAAGAAGAAACAATAATTGTCTAATATTATGAATATTTATATTATCCTATTGATTTTTTTGTAAAGAAAAAAATCTTAGGAGAGTTGCTAAATCTTTGTTTTTCCTGGGATTTCTTTGCCCGAAGGATGAAATGTGTTATATGAAGTGTTTATTGAAATGTGAATTCACTTGCCACGTATTGCAGAAACGTCTCTCGAATTCCAAACGTTGGGCTCACGCGGACACAACGGTCAGAGCAGTGTCAGCTTCCTGGATCCGAAAAGCGGAGTTCTCTTCTACGCGCTCACCAACATGAATGCCATCGCCTGTTGGAGACCGCAACAGAAATTTACCATACAGCAACAAGATTATGTCTATCAGGACAATGTCACCATGATTTTCCCTAATGATCTCAAGGTATATTCACAAACGTATATTGACAATTTATTTATGTGTTCTGCTCTAGCTCAGGAATTTTTCTTTTATTTACTCTCGTATCTCGTTTGCATTGACAGATTGATCGGAAAGGCAATCTGTGGGTTCTCTCAGACAGACTACCTATCTTTATGTACTCAAACTTGGATCTGCAAGATTATAACTTTAGAATACTCGTGGGCTCGGCTGAGGAACTCATCATGGATACAGTTTGCGCGATGAACTCATCTCCAACTTACTCGACAACGATGATGCACGATCATAGAGATCACATGGGTCACATGGATCATACCGGTCACATGAGCACAACACCTCGAATTACCGGAAGATTCAATTCGGCTTGTTCCATTAAAATCGAGTCCATTTTCCTGATAATGTTACTGTCATGTTTGATTAAAGCTTTCATGTAGAAATTAAGAACAAAGAATTTAATAAAACAAAATTACAATTAAAAGTAGAGTACTTAAAGAAACTACGACATTATTACACATTTAAAAAAATGCGACCACAAGAATAGAAACAATAAGAGAAAAAAGAGAAAATGTACAATATTTTTGTGTTGACATATTACAATGTGTTCTTTAACATAATAATTTACTTTTGTTATTTTCATCACACACAGAATATAATAAAAGTCAAGTGAAGTAGGAATTAAGTCGAATTATAATAATTTGTTAGTAGGGTAAAAACTTGTTGCTATAAAAATAAAAACCAAGTGTACCCCATTGCTTTGTATGCTTTTATAGAATTACAATTACAAAATTTAATTTAATTTTGTAATCTTTTTCTCTTATCGAACACTTATTAAATTATTTATTTTACTTGAATTTTATCTCGTGAAAAAACGAGAAATATAATCTACTGATATACAGTTCGATAGCTACCACATGCATAGTACAATTATCTTCCAAATAAATCTTTGTTTCCTTTTCGTAAGATTTTTTTGTTTTGCATATATTATTAATTACTATTTACGCCAGAACTGCCATTATATTTATAAATAAATATATATATATAAATATTTATATATATATATATATATGAATCTCAGATGTATAATATTATATCTTATATAAACAAAAGGACAATTTATACTTTTATTGAGATTTCTTTTCTTTCTCCTATTTGTGTTGAAATTTTATTAAATATTTTGATATTATAATTACTTATATAAAAAATTTATATTTTTAATGTCACATTCTATTATCTTATTATATATGATTTTATCTATTTTGTTTTAATTCTATGACTTTCTATTTGTTCAACCGTTCTGCATGATTTTTTATCACGCAAATCTTGTTCAAGCGATGTTAAATAAGCTTCTTAATGCGTTGTAAAAACAAACGATTATCGGTGATGCGTAAAATTAGTATTGCCAAGCTTATGTAAAACGAGCGGAAAATCCTGTTGTATTGACACTTGCAATTTAACTCAGACATATTTTTTCAAAACAAAATTCTCTTGGCAATAAGTGTGTAAAAAATCTTATGATTTATTTGCGCAACAAGTTATGTATTAGATATACGTACTTGATCCATGCGGTCATCGTCGACTTTGTATTTTCTTGTAAAAACTATGTTTTTTTAACTATCACGAAGACCAAATTGCGACGCACTTATTTCTTTCGCATCCAACAATTTAATAAATTTGTTGAAAGAGACAAATGAGCACCTAACTTTGTAAACATATTTATAATGAAATAACATTCGATTAAATTGTTACTTAAGAAAAACAATGAAATATAAAATACAAAATATATACGTATTATATATAAACAATGAAAAATAAATATAAATACAATTAAATAAAAACGTCGTTTTTATAAAAATGTTTTCACGAGATATAATCAAGTTATTTCATCATTCAGTATTGGTTTCATATTATTTTTTTATGAGACATGAATAGCTAGAAAAAAAATACAATGGCAATTACATCACACAAATCTTCGATAAAAAGATGTACTGTTGACAATAAATGTTATATAAGATGAATAAAAATCAGAGAACATTTTAAATTTTAAAATGAAAATTTTAATACAAACAAATAATAGTAATAATGATGTTCATATATGGCGTTAGTTTTAAGTGCTTATAATTTAAAAAGTAAACTATTATAGCTTTATTAGTTTTGTGCTTAAATAATTGCCTTACAAGTTTTTTGTTTTTAATCTAATTATATAAAATATTTTTCAATATTCTTTAACAACAAATTTATAAAGCTCGTAAAATGTTCAATTGAGTATTAGAGTATGAGCTAATATGTTGAATAATATAAGCTACTATATTGAATGTACGTACAAATATACATATATATGTCTCTAACGTGTAAATTGATACACATGGAGATTCGAATTAAATTTAAAACCAAAAATTTCTATAGGATTTTTATAGAAGCATCTCATAAAAGTGAAATACTCAATTTATTCTCTTAAAAAATTTAAAATTTCTATTGCAAAAAAAGCCTTGACTGCTGCATTGCGAATGTGTCTGTGCATAATGCAAAAAATCAAAATTCAACTCTTAGTCAAGATGTTTTTTTTTCACAATGGAAGTTTCAAATCTTTTAAGAAGATAAATTGGGTATTTCACATATGAGATGCAAATCTAGTAAGTTATATTGTTGAATTAAATTTAATTCGAATCTCCACGTGTATTAATTTACATGTTTGGAATATATATTATACATTTGCTTGTGTGTGTGCACATCCAGCATATTGACTCGTATCAACTCTACTCCAGTTGATTTTCCAGTAATTTCTGAGCACCCGGTAGTTCATAATCGTGTCGATCACTCGCTTACGTTTACTAGAAAAACATTCGTCGTGATGCGGAGACTATTATGTAAGAATACAAAAACTATATTTTTAATGATTTGCAACACCTGAAACAATGAGAATGGAGAACAAATCGTTAACAAGAAGTAAAAGTATATTTGCTTAATAAAACAATTTTTGCGACTCGATACTTGAAGAACTACTACTATTTAAGAACTGTGCACTCTTTGGGATTGCTTCGAACGTTAAAGAGCGACTATATGATCAACAAAAATCTCTCTTAACTAATTATCGAATTTAGACAAATATATTATTAAAAAATACCGAGAATGCTCTTTTTTCCGTGGAGATAATTAATTGATTATTGCTACGGTTAATGTTAATGTTTCGTGGAGCCATTATTTCAAGTTGGAAGAAGTAACACTGCGAGTTCTGATTACTACGTTCACGACAGGATTGTTTTACAGACGTATGTATAATACATGTATATACTTTATAATTATTATATGATAAGTTATGTGAGCTAAATGTGTTCGATATATAGAATTCGATACTCAGAAAAAACAAGGTAAATTTGCAAAAAATATTTATATTACTTATATACATATTCTTATACACATTGCTTTGCATACTATGTATGTATACAAGTTTTGGGTATCAAAAATTCATGGAAAAAATCCAGACTCTAAAGGTTAATCAAAATATCAGTTTTACTGACGCAATTGAAAGCAATTAACTGAGGAAGTCAGAAGGATACGCTCAAAAACACGAATATATTATACACGTTTAAAACTATTGAATATAAATCATGGATGCACAATATAAATAAGTGAAACTACTTTTTCTCTGTTTAAAAGCATAACGGGAGGCATGAGTGGATAAACGGAAGAATGCACGTAGCATAAAGAGTGATTGTGTTTATCACGAACAGATACTGATAAGCTTTTTTTATTCATTGTCAGTTATATGAGTGTACATGTAAGTTTAATTCTAAACTGCAAAAATAAATTTTACAGATAACAAATATTTGTTGTTTTAGACAAAATTAAGAGAACATTTGGCATGTCAAAAACAAGCACGGTGCACGGCCTGGCTTATCTGCCGGCGAGAGACAAAAAACTAAAAACAGCAGCGACTTTTCTTGAAGCTAGAAGGGAAATCGACGGTGCGGAAGGATTATGGAGAATTGGAAACAGACTCTACGATCTAGACACGTTCGCAAAGTCCCATCCGGGTGGCTCGGAATGGATTCGACTCACTAAAGGAACTGATATTACTGAGTTGTTCGAGGTGATTCAATTGAGAATAAATTTACTTTTATCAGTATTATATTATGTAGTTTCACATTATTTTTTATTAAATTTTCTGTTAATTTTTAGTTTTCTCAAATTTACATATAATGTTCTTGAAAAATTTGGTAAAATGTTCGTAACACAGTCAGTTTTGTTTATACCAGTTCTTGATTTTATTTTTGTTTTTTAAGAGCCATCACATTACCGACAAGGCTGAGCAGTTATTGCCGAAATTCTTTGTCCGCGAAGTAACTACTCCGCGATCAGTCCCGCTGACCTTCTTTCCGGACGGCTTTTATCGTAAATTCAAGAAACGTGCAGCCGAGGCCTTGAAGAATGTCGATTTTCATCGACCGTCCGTGGTAACAAATCTTATTACCGATTCTTTGGCAATCGCAACTTTTGCACTAAGTCTCGCAGCAGCTCTCATACATTCTTACGCCGTTATCATTCCTGCTAGTAAGTACATCATCAAGAAAGGATATTCAATAATACACAATTCATAATTGTGTTAAAAAACCTATCTGGTAAAATTACAAATTTATGGATGATATTGTTGAAATTTGTGTAGGCTTTTTTTTGACATGGACAGTTATTGCGGGGCATAATTACTTTCATATGAGAGACAACTTTCGAATGTACTACTTCGATCTCGGTATGATATCTTCGAAGACTTGGCGTATCACACACGTAATGAGCCACCATATGTACACCAATACTATGTGGGATTATGAAATTTATGTAGTCGAGCCGCTTCTACAATGGCTTCCTCGCGAGAATAAATCTTATTTGGCCGGGACGATAAGTAAGCTTATCAGTCCTATCATCTGGATATTGTTATCGTCAGTCGAAGGCATAAAACGGTAACGAATATATAACATAAATAATATATGTATATACTTTTTTGTTACAAATTAAATGATTTTATATAATTTACATTTTGGTCTTACATACGGCGTTTTTCTTGTGTTTAGATACTACGCGGTATTCAAGGAATTTGGAGTTTTTGAGTTTCGCGACTTTGTACCGTTGCTGTTGCCTTTGTCGATGAGCTTGATTGCGCCTAACGTTCTCGTTGGAATTAAACTGTGGCTTGTAATGTTGTTGCTTAGCAGCTTCATATTCGGCATGATCAGTTTCACCGCGGCTCATCATCATCCCGATATCTTCCATGATGGTGATATTTACAGGTGATTTTTACATTTTATGTGATTCTGATTTGTTTACAAATTTTAATATAATTAGATAAAATTCTTTTATTATTTTTACCGTTATAAGAAATTTAACATAAATAAATCGTAATTTATGTTATTATTATTATTATTCAAAAAGGAATGACATGGACTGGGGTCTGCTTGAGATGGATTCTGTGCGCGATCGCGAAGTAATCGATGATTCAACTTTCCTAGCGCTGACGCACTTTGGCTCGCACACCTTGCATCATTTGCTACCTACTGTAGATCATTACTATCTATCGCTATGTATGCCGGCTTTTCTAGAGACTTGCAAAGAGTTCAACATCAGTTGCGACAAATGGTCGCAGTGGGAACTTTTCAAAGGACAGTTCAAACAACTCACCCGGTGTAATGTCAAGAAAAATCATAGATGAAACGACAGAACTACAGTGTACGGTACACTAGATTTTTTTTATCATGATAAATTGTATACTAACATAAGAATTGACTAATCGTAATTTGAGAATCAAAGCAATTTGTAGCATTATTAAACTATTTTTTATTAATTACTAATTCTTATTAATGGATCATATATCTCATAAGATTTGCTTTAATTTAAATTTATATTTTTGTTTATATTTTATTATCTTATTATATATATAAGTTCTACATTGAACATCTATCTACATTGTTTTTTTTTTTTTTTGACATTTTATTCGTTCAACTGCATGATTTCATCATGCGAATCTCGAATGTTTGAGGAATGTTAATAAATGTTTTTAATACGTTGTAAACAAACGATTATCAGAAATGCATAAGATTAATATTACCAAGTTTACGTAAAATGAAGAAGTTTTTATTGTGCACGTATTTGCATGTATTTGCAATTTATCTTACAAATATTTTTTCAAAGCAATACTTAGCAAGAAATTTACGAAATATAATGATTTATTTGCACAGCAAGTCATGTATTATATATTGGGTCAAATATAAAACGTCAGCAAGGACGTCGACTTTATACTTGCTCGTAAAAAGTAAAATGTAAAACAAGAGATATGTTTTTGTAATATAGAAAGAAAGAGCGAATTGCACTTTATTTCTCTTGCATTTGACAATTTAATAATTCTTTAAGAGAATGTTATATAAGATAAAGAAAAATCTAGAGAACATTGTATATTTTAAATATAGAACTTTTAACACAAATAAATAAAATAGTTATAATAACGCTCGAGTATGACGTCACTTATAATTTAAAAAGTAAACTATCATAGTCTCATTAGGCTTTCGTATTTGCATATTTGTTTTAGAATGTTCCAAAGAATCTGTCATTATATAAAACATTTTCCTGTAGTTTTTGGACACTTGGTATAATCATATCGATTACTAATCTACTATTATTAGCAAAACATTGTCGTGATACCAAGATTATGATGTAAGAATGCAAAACTTATATTTTGCATAATTAATTTTTTCTATCGACAGCTCAAAGAGCTTTTTTTATTTTACATTTTTCTATTTTATTTTATTCTTTTTAAAGATTGGTTTATAATAACTGTTAACTTAGAACAGTGCAAAGTTGAAAGATACAATCGGTGTTACCATTTTTATAATAGTTAAAAATAATCTACAAGGTTTGTACAAGGTTTCCTATCTTCTAATTTTTACAGTATCGACCTAAGTTAACAATTATTATAAACCAACCTTAAGACATTTAATGCTTTTAATGCAACATCAAAAATAATGAGAATGAAGAACAAATCAACAAACAAACTTTTACTGTGTTAAAAACATTTGTTTATAACAATTGTTGCAACTCAATGCTTGAAAAACTGCGATTTTAAGAATTGTGTATTTCTCGGAATTGTTTCTGACGTTAAAGAGCGGTCACACGGTTATCAGAGACCTCTCTGATTATAAAATAAACAGAGATAAATAGAAATGAGAACTCTCGTTTTTCAGAGTATTTAGTATTACTACGAACTTTTGCCAGTTTAATGTTAGTATTTATTATTAGTTCGAATTGAACAACGTGGGTTTGACGTTGGAAGGATTTGTTTCAACGTATGTATATGACATATGTAATATACTTTACAATAAGAATCATAATGCTAGAATAATGTGTGAGCTAAATATATAAAAAAAATTTGCAAAAAAACAAGTCACATTATTTTTTGTAAATTTATGAAGTTTGTAATGTGAGATACTTTAAAAAACAAAAAAAAGCAAATTTTGCAGTATTTTCAAAATAATTAAAACTAACTGATTGTGTGTAAATCTTATAATTATCTTATTTGTTCTTGTTTTCTTACATTCCCACACAACACGAATGACTGATTGTCTACTTATAGTCGACTATAAGTTGACTAGAATCGACTATTTGCCGACAATTAAATAACTTTGAAACATGAATTAAAGTCGACTTAAAAATAACTGTATTTGTAATCGCGCTAATGTATCTATTCCATTAATAAGAACTTATCTCTCTGTGTAGCACAGCAAATGTATTTAAAAACTAATGTTACGCAAAAATTGTAAGTTAATATAAAATATTATTATTTAAACAGGTTAATAATTCTATGTAATTCATATTTTAACTTATTTTTTGGGGGGATAATTTTTGATTTATCTAAACACATTTGTGCTATTTAGGTATATTTTAAAATATACCTAAAATTTAGTATTATAAGACGTCGCAGCAATTTATAATCGATTTTAGTTGACTTCATGTTGTTCGAGTTTAGTTTTATGTAAAACATGTTATGACAGACACCTATAGTATATTTATTGTAGACTTTAAACAGTTCTGCTTTTAAAGACACGTACGTATTAATTTCTTACGTATAACAGATTCACCTTGCAAACAACTTACATTGCTTTTTTGTTGTTCATCTGTGTTATATACAGGGTGTCCCAGAATTGCCGTACAATCTCTCATAGGCAGGTAGAAGGAGTAAAACTGAGTCGAAAAGTCCTGAACCATTTTTTTCTATTATATATAATAAAGAAGTAATTTTATTGAATAAATCAAGCCAATCAGCGCCGACCTTTAGTCGAACGCTCGCCCCCCCCCCCCAATGAACTATGGACGAACCACCATGAACTACCTGGTGTGCGTGAGCGCTCCGCGTGGCTCACTGACGTCCGCCTGGCTAAGGTCGGCGTTGATTTACCCCATTACTTTTTTATTATAAGTAAAAAAAAAATGGTTCAGGACTTTTTGACTCAGTTTTATTCCTTCTACCTGCCTACGAGAGATTGTACGGGAATTCTGGAGACACCCTGTATATATATATACTAGTCGATTTATATAATCTAGATGCAGAGTGCAGTTTATATCAAAGCTACTTGAGAGTCGATCGCGGTGTGATAACAGTGTAGTAAGCCGATGTTTACCTACGACATTTCCACGAGGTCACACAATACATAAATACGGAATCAAATTCATTTTTTTGTTATTCCTTTTACGTTGTTTCCACATTCCCGACGGCCATGGCACAGAACAACTTGTTTATGCATGTTTGTATTTATTAGTCACAGTATCAAACTCGCACGCGCAGTCAAAACCAATTAGTTGAAAAGATCAGAAACGCAATCTCGAAAACACGAATATATACATATTTATAGCGATTACAAATCATGGATACACTACGTAGTAAGTAAAACAAGTGATTTATTTACAAGTGAAGCGCACGAAATGAAGCGATGTAGAGAACGCGTAGCATGAGCAGTGATTGTGCTTATCATGAGCAGACGATGATAAGCCTTATTTATTTAGTTATATAAGTGAGTGTGTGTATAATTACTTTTGGACCGCAAAAATAAGTTTGAAAGATTTCAACATTGCTATTTTAGACGAAATCAAGAAAACATTTGGCATGTCGAAAACAAGTACAGTGCCCGGTTTGGCTTACCTGCCAGCGAGAAATAAAGAACCAAAAACTGCAGCGCAATTTCTCCAATCTAGAAGAACAATCGACGGTGCGGAAGGATTATGGAGAATTGAAAACAAACTCTACGATCTAGAAACGTTCGCAAAGTCCCATCCGGGTGGCTCGGAGTGGATTCGACTCACTAAAGGAACTGATATTACTGAGTTGTTCGAAGTAATTAAATTGAGAGAATATATTTACTTTTATATCAGTATTTTACTATGTAGTTTCATTATTTTTTATTAAATTTTGTGTTAAATTTTAATTTCCTCAAATTTATATATAAATGTTCTTGAAAAATTTGGTAAAATGTCCGTTACACATCAGTTTTGTTTATACCAGTTCTTGATTTTACTCTCGTTTCTTAAGAGCCATCACATTACCGACAAGGCCGAGCGGTTACTACCAAAATTCTTTGTCCGCGAAGTAACTACTCCGCGATCAGTTCCGCTGACCTTCTTACCGGACGGCTTTTATCGTAAATTCAAGAAACGTGCAGCCGAGGCCTTGAAGAATGTCGATTTTCATCGACCGTCCGTGGTAACAAATCTTATTGCCGATTCTTTGGCAATCGTAACTTTTGCACTAAGTTTCGCGGCCGCTTTTGTTCATTCTTACGCCGTTATTATTCCTGCTAGTAAGTATATCATCAAGAAAGGAAATTCATAATTGCAATAAAAAAACTATCTTATAAAATGAAAAATTGTATGGATGTATTGTTGATATTTGTAGGCCTTTTTTTAACATGGACAGTAATTGCGGGACATAATTATTTTCATATGAGAGACAATTTTCGAATGTATTACTTCGATCTCGGTATGATATCTTCGAAAAATTGGCGTATTACACACGTAATGAGCCACCATATGTATACTAACACTATGTGGGATTACGAGATTTATGTAGTCGAGCCGTTTCTACAATGGCTTCCTCGCGAGAATAAATCTTATTTGGCCGGGATGATAAGTAAGCTTATCAGTCCTATCGTCTGGATATTGTTATCGTCAGTCGAAGGCATAAAACGGTAACGAATATATATGTATATATTTTATGTTTTTAAATAATTTTGAGTAATCTACATTTGTGTCTGACGATGTTTTTTTGTGTTTAGATACTACGCGGTATTCATGGAATTTGGAATTATTGAGTTTCGCGACTTTGTGCCGTTGCTGCTGCCTCTGTCAATGAGCCTGATTGCGCCTAACGTTTTTGTTGGAATTAAACTATGGCTTTTAATGATGGTGCTAAGTAGTTTCTTCTTTGGTCTTATCGGTTTTAACGCGGCTCATCATCATCCCGATATTTTTCATGACGGTGATATTTACAGGTGTTTTTACATTTTATTAGATTCTGATTTTACAAATTTTAATATAATCAGATACAATTTTTTAAGTATTTTTATTTTTTTAAGAAATTTAACATAAATAAATTGTAATCCATGTTGTTATTATTATTGTTCAAAAAGGAATGACATGGACTGGGGTCTGCTTGAGATGGATTCTGTGCGCGATCGCGAAGTAATCGATGATTCAACTTTCCTAGCGCTGACGCACTTTGGCTCGCACACCTTGCATCATTTGCTACCTACTGTAGATCATTACTATCTATCGCTGTGTATGCCGGCTTTTCTAGAGACTTGCAAAGAATTCAACATCAGTACCGAAAAGTGGACACAATGGAAGCTTCTCAAGGGACAATTCAAACAACTCGCGCGATGTAACGTCAAGGAAAATCACAGATAAGTCGAGAGAAATAATCTGTAGCACATCAACAGTGACTATTCAATTTGAATCTTCCGTCAGAATGATCAATCATGGTTTGAAAATAAAAAAATTGTCAAAGTGTTGTCGTGATGTTTGCATACAAACCAGGACAAAGAAAAGCTTAGTATAAGCTTTATTTTAAAGTTTAAGTTTTTTGTACGCGGTAAGTTTTAAAAACGTGACAACAGATAATTATAAAAATGGGACTACATAAGTAATAAGTATCTTTTATGTTATCTCCTTATGTCTGGATAGATATCAGTGTACTTTTACACAAGTAAGTAAAGGAAATTAAGGAAAACAAACAAAGTGATATAATTCTTATTATTTATTGCTTATTTACTTTAATAAATACATACGTCGTCTCTCTCTTTATAAATTACAATTAAGTTTATAGGATACGATATCTTCTGGATGACACGTGCATATATAATGATACGCGCTGTTAATCGAACGTTTTTATCGCTTCGGGCGACAAAGTTTTCCTCGCGAAGTGTTTTTCTTTATTTTTTTCTGTTTTACGTAATCTTTTTCTTGTCGTGTGTTTTGCGAGAACGTTAAATGTACATATGTGTCTACCGGTCTTTCTTTTTTATTTCTTTTATCTTTCGTGTGTATATATTTATATATACGTGTGTGCGAATAATTAATATATTTCTCTCGCTGGCTCTCTCGCCCTCTCATTGTCCGCTCGCGTGTCTCTCTCGCTCGATCTTTCTTGCTCTCCCATTCTCACTCTCTCCCACTCTCTCTCTCCTTCGACCGTCAGCTCGAGTGATGAGGAAACATACACTTTCCTCAACCTCTTCTCTTCCTTTCCTCTACGAGCAAGCGTCATCTTTTGTCTCTCGAAAAGATCGATATCAAGGAAATTCGTGACAAGAATTCGCGATGAAATTATTCCGGATGCGATGACCGATCGATCGCTCGATCGCGAGATGACGATGCCGTTGAGAGCTCTCGGGTTCGGTTGCGTGTATTCGTGTCTCTTTGTTCGACGATGAATTCGCAATGAGGGTAATAATCTTTTTTCCTCACTTTCTTCTTATTCTTTAGATGATGTTCAAATTTGTTGTTGAAATTTTTTTTTGTTTTTATTTCTTTTTGTGTTATTAATTTTTTGTTATGTGTATTGATTTATTAATTATTTACGCGAACCTCGGAAGGAGTTTTAAAATTCACCATCGGGCTGCAGGTCGAAGCGTGGCGGGAATGCGGAACCATCTAACAGGGGTTTTAACGCAGGTCGGTGTGGCTGAAAAGAGAAACGTAAGATTTGAAAAATTAATTGCGTAATCATAATAAAAGAAACCCAATATATAAAAAACATTTAAATTTTAATAAATAAAATGTGCAGAGAAAATGTTTTACAAATTCATAAACAGTGATAAGAAAAAAGGGGGAATAGCGGGCGAGTGACACGTTCTCTGTGTCGTTTGTAATAACTTTTCTTGGTTTTCGATAAAAGTGAGATAATGTACCAAGGGTCGTGACACCTCTATTGTCGCAGCACAACGTTGTGCAAACTTTTAGAAAAACAAAAAGGAAATATATATCGGATATACAGGGTGGTAGGTAAGTACTCTAAAAGATTTTAAAAAGTGATTTTTCACACTAATTCGGGACGAAAACTTTATATCTTCGAAATGGCTTAATTTCAAACAAGTGTCAAAGAAAAAATGTTGAAAGAAAAATTTTGTTTTTTTCAAAAATTTTTTTAAAAACCACAATTACTTTGATGAAATTTTGTGTATGTTCGAAGGTTATTCTCATCTTTTGGAGTCGTACATTATTTTTTTATTTGATCAGAAGCGGACTCAAAAGGATACCCTTTTCTTTACGAAAAAACTAAGCTGTTTCAAACATATGGTCATATGACATTTTTGTCTCAAATTAGTGTGAGGAAGAACTCCTTATAATTTCTTAGAGTACTTAACTACCACTTTGTATATTAATTGACTTGCGATATTAGTTACAATTTTTATCTGCTAAAAACGTCAAAATTTTTAGTTGCAGTTTCTGTTCATATCGAACTGTCCGCGTGTTAAATACTAACAAAACTGATCAGTAACAAGGAGGAAGGTGTAAAAAGCCTTCTCTGGATTGTATAAAAATTAAATTAAACGGAAAAATTTCGCACCAAAACGCGAGAACATGTATCATCGTACAATAAAAAAAAAAAAAGTACGAAAAAGAAAATGAGTCTCAGTCTCGGTCTCTAATTCTAAAACTCGCAGTTGTCTGCAAATAAATATGAGAGAAAAGACACGGTGCGTTACACAGAGTTAATAACGAAGAAAAAGCCCGAGAGATCGTTATCGAACACACGGGTGCGGACGAGATATTTGGTGAGTGAATTGGGAGTCTCTCAGTCGCGTGTTCCAACTCGCGTTTTGTCAACTCATCAGATCTAAACACTCTCTATCTCATTTCTTTTTTTTCAGTTTATTTCTATTTCTCTATTTTGTTTTTTTTGCTAGGCATCGCAACACACTACACACGCGCTGCGACGACACGTGCACGTGGACTTACATGGACCAAGCGCAGTGTGTGTGCGTCTATTCCATCGCGGAGGGCGCCGCCTTACGTTTCTGTTGCGGCTGCAGAAGAACACACAGATCGCTAATTAGACACCACCCTCCATCGAACCGCAATCAATCTATATATCAACCGCTTATCGAATTTTATTCATATACAAGGTAATTTTGAAACAAGTGCGCAATTTTTGGAGGCATGATAGAGAAAGTATAGGCGAATAGTTTTTATCAACAAACATAAAGTCTCCGAAGCGTCGTTACCTCACTATGTGACATCTAAGGATTAAAAGCACCTGAAGGAAGGTAAGTTACCATACACAAGGGCACAATGGGCTGCCTACTTTCCAGGTGCGTTTGTTTATTTATAACCACGTTGCGTGGTCTTTCCTGTATACAACCAAGGTTGAGCACTCACAAGCATCAATTTTCCTGCTCACATCCATATTTACGTTGCTACTTCAAGATCATTTATTACGCGTTTCTTTAAGTGTTCTCACATTCGACGTTTGTCGGTTGAGTTGAACTAGTGTCTGCTTTATAAAACAATCATCGTCAAGTGTAAGTTGACACTATCTCTAGACGCTTTCAACTCTTAGACGTCGCATAGCGGAATAATGTTTCGGGAACCTCATGTTTGTTAACAAAAAAATGTTAGTCTACTAGACTCTTTCTATCATTCTACAAAAAATTACTTATTTCAAAACGCATTTATTTCAAAATTACCCTATATATTAAATCTATCTTTCGAACACTCGATCAATATTCAGTTTGATATTGATTGCGGAAACGCGCATTGATTGATGATTTCTTGATGATTTTATTAAAGTAAAATAATCTTATTTTTACAAATATACGAACTACTTTATTAAAGACAGACGACAGGGTTATGTGATCGAATAGCTATCACTTACCACTGGGCTAAGTCCACGCGCGGCACTTCCGCCACGTCCCTTGGTGCGGAACTTGGTGATGGCCTGTTCGGCGAGGTCCGCCCTTTCTTCGGCTTCTTCAAGTTCTTGCTGCGCTTTGCGGAACTTGGCAAGATTCAACGCGGCAATTTCTTCCGCTTCCTCGATCTGTCTCTTGTACGTCTTGATCTTCTGCTGAAGCTTGTCGACCAAATCCTGCATGCGCTCGTGATTCTTGCGGTCCTCGTCCGCCTGGAAGCTCAACTCCTTGATACGACGCTCGGACTTGCGTAGATTCTTCTGAGCGTCGGCGTGTCTCCTTTGCTCGCCGTCGAGCTCATTCTCCAGCTCGCGCACGCGCTGCTCCAGTTTCTGAATAGCTTTCTTGCCACCTTTAAGAGCGTTCGCCTCGGCCTCATCTAAGCGCACCTGCAACTCCTTGATCTGTGTTTCAAGCGCTTTGCGCAACTTCTCCTGAGTCTGAGCGTGATCCTGCTCGGCGCGCAGTTCGTCCGCCAATCTGGCCGCGTCCACCATCGCCTTCTTTGCCTTCTCTTCGGAATTCTTTGCCTCGTTCAGCAGTTCGTCCAGATCGGACTAAACAAAAGAAACCAATAATAAGACACTTTTTTTGTAACAAACGGGAGTTATTCCGCGTTTAAAAAAATAACAAAGTAAAAATAAAAAATCCAATTGACACTCACGTGAAGAGTCTGCAGTTCGGCTTCGAGTTTCCTCTTGGCGCCGGAAAGAGAGGCGTTCTGAGCGCTCAATTCGTTCAGCTGTTCGTGGCAGTCGGCGAGTTCCTGTTCGGCTTGACGGCGACCACGGTCCGCTTGTTCCAGAAGAGTACGGCTCTCCTCGAGCTCGTTCTGCAGTGCGTTGGCACGGCGTTCCGAGATGCCGAGAAGTTCTCGAGCCTCATCGCGCGCTCTCTGTTCTTCCTCCAGCGCGGTCTGCACATCCTTCAGCTGCTGTTGGTATCGCTTTATATTCTTCTGCGCCTCGGCGTTCGCCTTGTTTGCATGATCTAGCGCGATCTCCAATTCGTTAATGTCCGCTTCCAATTTCTTCTTCATGCGCAACGCCTCAGCTTTACCCTGAAATAAAAAAAAAATAGATTTTATTAAATATTTTAAAGTATATGGATGCGGTGATTTAAATTAACAGAAGCATGACGCTCACCTTGGCTTCTGCTTCGAGAGAGGCTTGCATGGAGTCGAGGGCGCGCTGGTGATTCTTTCTGGTGTTCTCGAATTCCTCTTCCTTTTCTTGAATACGACGATCGATTTCTTGTCTGACCTGGCTGAGCTCGAGCTGGCTGCGCAGCACCTTGTTTTCTTCCTGTTCCAGAGCAGCTTCAGCTTCTTCCAGAGCGGCTTGGAGTTCATCCTTCTCAGCTTCCAGACGTTTCCTGGCTTTTTCGATCTCGTGAATGTTGCGACCACCTTCGCCGATTTGATCCAGCAGATCCTTGACCTCGTCAGCAAGATTCTTGTTCTCGCGACGTACCGCCTCCAGTTGTTCTTGAGCTTCTTCATACGCGCCTAATTGATTCAACAATGATATATTTAATTATTAAATATTTTTCAAGTGCTAACACAGAATTAATTTCAATTTTGAACGTCATAAGTATTACGAATTGAATCTTTTGATAAGTTGGTTTGCAAGCCTGACACAAATCAATATCGAGTCTTCTCACCTCTGAGCCTGAAGAGTTCGGTGCTGTAGTTGCGGCATTCCTTTTGGCTGGCGTCAAGTTCGGCAGCGAGATCATCGACTTTGAGCTTCCATTCGCCGATGATCTTGTCGAAGGCTTTCTGTTTCTTTTCTGCGGCATTGGCGATCGCAGTAGCGCGGTCCACTTCGATCTGTAGGTCTTCCACTTCGGTAGACAAGCGTTGTTTGGTCTTTTCCAAGGCGATAACCTTTTGGTTGAGAGATTCGATGGTTTCCTCTGCCTCAGCAAGCCTGGCCTGCAGTTTCCTCTTTGCCTCTTCGAGCTCTTCAGCCCGGGCGACGCCCTCGGACTCGTACTTGGTGCGCCACAGTTGCGCTTCGGCATTGGCCTTGCTAAGTTGACGTTGAAGATCAGCCTTGCCTTCTGCTTCCTCTTCCACTTGTTCGCGGATGTTGTCCAAGTCGTGTTCCAGGTTGCGGAATTTGCCAAGAAGAGTAGCACGCTCGCGCGACTCCTCGTCCGCGAGTCTCTTCGTGTCCTCGAGCTGCGTGGTCAATGAGATCTTAATCTTCGACAACTGGCTCACTTGCGACTCGGCCTCTTCCAATTGGCGCAGCAAGTCGCTGTTCTCAATCGACAGTTTCTTCTTCGCGGCGTCGAAGTCGTTCAGAGTGCGGTTTACTTCCTCGAGCTTGCCCTGGGTCTCGTTCAGCTGATGCTGTAGTTGCTTGACGATCTTCTCTTGGGCGGCCTGAATACGAAAAGGAAATTTTAGTGCATGACCGCGCAAAGTTCTTTGCTCAGAGCTCGCCTTTCATCGATCTTTCTTCCTTAATTATGTCATTAAATTTTCATATCATAATTATATATGTATATATAATAATTAAAATTATTTACTGTTTAATATATTGTGTCTTCTTTTTGATGCAAAAAATATCTTTGAAAGGAGAGCTCGAATTATTCACACACATACGAAAGCAATGCTGAGCAAGCGGGGATTATCGACTCACTTGTCACAAAGAAATAATCCATAGATTTATTTCGGTTTAACTGCTGCTGCACCTTCTGCACCTAGCAAAAGCTGTTAGTCGCGTTAGTTCGGATGTTGTTAATATAATCGATTCTTTATATATGTACCTTTTCGTTGCTCAGGTGGTCGCAGGTTGTGCGCATTTCATTCAACTCGCTGTAGTATTGCACCTTTTCTTTCTCAACTCTGACGATCGATACGGAAACAATTGAAGAGGAAACACAGATAAATGACAGTAACGTAAAATAATCGATATCGTTCGATTTGCATTCCGGAATGCCAGATTAAAAACTCTTATTGCAATTATCTTTATATCAATAAAATTAATTATAAATAAAAAATAAATTTGTAAAAAATAAAATTTTCAATTTTTTTTCTCGATGTCTCTTCAGAATTTTCGATAGAAAGCAACGGCATTTAATCCAGCATTTGATGACAATCTTATAACACGACGATTCGGGCAACAAGACATTTTCCAAACTATCTATTCATTCTGGTAGTCACAATAAATAATTATTCTAACAAATTGAAAAGAGGATCATTGTCGAAAGACATTTAACGTCGGCACACGGTATCCGAGACTATGTTTGAAAACTCAACAAAATGCACGAGGAACATTCTCTTTTGCTTTTTCAAAATACCTTCTCCCGGGAAACCTGATCCGTAAGAGCACGCGAGTTGTTCAGGTCGGCGTGGATGTCGTGTCGGCCCTTTTCGGCTCTATCGCAAATATTACATTAAAGTATCTCTTTTGCTTCTCCTTTTCAGAGAAAGAATCGAACAGCCGTAAAACCAAAACTCGCTCAACTTTATTTATATTAATAATCTTTTCTCTCCCTATTTTGTTGTTGGTTCGAAAATAAGAAAAAAATTAATTTATTTTCCAAATTTTACCGTGTTTCAACTTACCTAGCTTTGAGTTTGTTGAGAGTGTCGATCTGTTCGCCCATCTCGGCAACAGCGTCGTTGTGCTTCTTGCGCAGACTGGCCAGCGATGATTCGTGCTGAATGTTGGCCTCCTCGAGATCTCTGCGAAGTTTGCTGAGCTCGGCCTCACGTTTCTTGTTCAGCTCGATCTGAGCGGAAGTAGCACCGCCAGCCTCTTCCAGACGTTCTCCGAGTTCCTCGAGCTCGCGAGCGAGATCGCTGCGCTGCTTCTCAGCTTTGGCACGTCCGCCGCGTTCAGCCTCGATCTTGAAAAGAAAAATGCAAATTGTCTCGTTTTATTGTGATTGGAATAATCTTTCTCTTTTAGAAATTAAAGAGACTGAAGAACAATTTCTCGTAATCGATTTTGTCATACAAACCTCCTCTTCGAGTTCTTCGATGCGAGCTTGCAGTTCCTTGATCTGCTTCTGTAGTTTACCAACAAGGGATTGTTCATCTTCGAGTTTGGCGGTCAGTGACGAGAGTTCTTTGTCTTTACGTTGAATGGTTTGTTCGAGTTCTTTCTTGTTCCTTTCGAGATCCGCGACGGCTTCTTGTGTGAGTTTCAGATCGCCCTCTACCTTCCTCTTTGCCTTTTCCACGTCGGCACTGCAGATTTAATATCAACACGTTACACAAACAAATCTTTGTTTAAGCCGCTTTATCACATTATTACAAAATTCGTAAAATTAATTTGAAAAAAAAAAAAAATTGTCAGACAAACAAAAGTCTCCAAAGAAGTCTCTTTTCTCCAAGAAACAAAATAAATCGAAAAATCACACAAAATTGTATCTTCAATTATCAATTGTTTCAAAATTGCTCACCGTGATTTCTTTTCACGCTCAAGAGAGTCCTCAAGTTCATCGAGCGTCTGTTCGAGCTTGAGTTTGACTTTGTTCAGATGATTGACTTTGTCCTCGGCGGCCTGAAGTTCTTCGGCAGTCTTTTGGTTGACCTCGCCCTGGTTTTTCTTCTCTTTGTTGAGCTTATTGATGAGCTCATCTTGATGAGCGATTTCGTCGTTGAGGTTCCTGATCTGATGGTCTTTTGTTGCTTTATCCTGCTCGGACTTCTGTAAGTTTAGCTCGAGGTCCTCGATATCTTTTTTCAAGCCGGACACTTCCTGTTCGAGTTTCTTCTTGTTCTGGAAGAGATTGTTCCTCGCGTCCTCCTCTTCCTTGAATCTGTCGTTGAGGTCCTAGCAAGTGAGAAATATTTAGATAATTATTGACAATATTTCAAATACATCAACATGCAATGATTATTAGAGTAACCTTTTTTTTATCGTAGCTATTTTACAGTTTTATTTGTATTTGCTAGTATGTTATATTTTCTTTTCCATTCTTTTATTTTGGTACATTTTGTTTAAATGTATTATTAAAAGTTTTGAGATTTTTATGTTCTTTTTCTTTAATATTCTCGTTTTATTTATTTTTCAGATTTTCTCAAGCACAACTTATTATTTCATCTTCTTTTCCAAGATGACATAATCTCAGGAATCTTGTTTGTCGGGTAGATAGGTATTTAGGTCGATGACAAGTTTACGACATTTATCTCGCTGGAGTATCCTTTAACACGCGCCAAGTTTTTCCTTAAGAACATCGAACGCGCCTCTTTTCCTCTCCGCGGATTAATTGGCAATGACGCGCAATTACGGGACGGCCACGCGCACGGGCGCCTAATATTAGTTAATGCGGGGGCAAAGAATATTGGCACGATGTTTGGAGCAGCCTGGTGCAGCGCGATTTATCTCGCCGTTCATCACGCTTGACTCTTCATCACGTTCGGATTCGGCGACCCGAGTCTATATTCGTCGATAATAAAAATTCTAAGTATATCCACAGAAGTTGTGCACAATTATTTTTTTTTTCCGAGAAGTTTGGCAGATTCACCGAGAAGGAAAGAAGAGGAAAACCGATGGTAGGCGACCACAAGGATAGATCGATGTCAATTTTCTTTATCAATATCAATTTGACAAAAATTGAAAAAAATATTTTAAGCAATTACAAATTATTTTAAGACAAAATAGTAATTATTAAATAGCCACAAAAAATATAAAATAAATAAACAAAATAAAATATAGAAGTATATTAAGTGGCAATATGGCAAAATGTTGTTAAAAACAAGAACCACCTCGTTTCTCAGCGCGAGAAGTGTGCTGTAGTAAATTACTCTAAATGATGTGGTACGAGCAACATAGAATCCTGGACAGGTGAAGGACGAGACGGAAAAATTGACGGTGTGGTGGTCTTGTCATGAGCGATGATGAAGAGGCCACGAGCAGCGAAGGAGATACGGCTGCATAAGTATGACGCACGTGTGCACGCGCATACAAGCAGATACGCGGTGTAACGGGCGTATAAATACACCCTACACCTGTTACCTCCTTCGTTTTCTCTCGTCTCCTCTCCAGTGCGCTTAAAGTTGCCGCCGCCGCCCACTTTTAATAACCTGGAATCTGGGATCTGCTAAATTTGCCGCCCCGGTCTCTTCCCTTCTTCTTCCTTCTTCCTGCATCGCCCAGCCGTAAATGGTGGCGTTTAACGTCGAACGTAACGCGGCCTAATCACGAGAGAATCTCTCTTTCGACATCGACCGGGTCAGTCGCGATGAACTCGATGCCGAGAGCTTTTAATAGGCGCTTTCCTCGCTCAAAATCGCGATATTATGGTTCGTTTAGCGAATTAAAGAGCTCTTTACACAGTTACGGCAATTTGATGGAATTAAAGATAAACTACAAAAAAACAAGATTGCACACTTGTAATACCCATTTAAATAAAACATTTAAAGAAAAGAGTAGAAAATGTTGCAACAAATAGGATTACAAATAAATAAATAAAAAATCTTTGCAATCAACCCAATTAGCAAAATTATCTATCAGTATTTTTTTATTTCGTTTTTTAAACATTATTTTCCATTCAATTATTTATTTTGCTCAATAATTTATGTATTACCTCCAGTTTTTATTTTTAATAAATAATTTTCTTTTCTTTTGTTCCAGACTTTTTCAAGTTTTGTGAGATAAAAGTATCAAGTTGCGCGTTAAAGAACGCCAAACAACAGACTACGAACGGATGACGGGCGACGGAGGGAGTCGCGATGACAAGCGAATAAGTGTACACGTAGAGGCGTCGTTAAAAATAGTCAGCCTGGAATCCAGCTGGAGAGAACGAAAGAAAGAGAGAAGGAATTTGGAATTTTAGTCGTAATCACGTCTCGTCTATTTTCTGCGAGCGACGCAGCCGAAAAGTTACGAGCTTTGCTTTTTCTCCAGAGTGCGCACGTACTTGCAATCGGATAAAAATACTGCTTTCATGATTTCACGCCGACACGAAGTCGTGTCCGGACTTCCTCTAGCGCTTGTATTTACAAGCAAGAAGAACAATCGCGATAAAAATGTAACTCTCAAGTGCGAAAACATTTCCGACGAAATTACGAAAAGATTTTGAAAACAAAATTGTGGTTTATTATAACTAATGTTACAGAAAAATCTAATGTTTTTTTCTAAAAAAAAACTATCAAGCAAAAATTGCGAGAAACAAGAAGGGTATGTAAATTTGTCATCTTCGAGAATGAAATTAAAAATCTCCGCGAAACAGAGAAAGAAAAACGTCTGAGTGAAACGCGTGACTGGAGAGATTTTCATCTCGTCTGTGTAGGCGGAAATGTTACATCGATGAGTATAACAAAGTATTATAAAATCGTGCAACATGCAGACGCGTGTGTGAGATGTATATCGTAATTTTAGCAGCGCGATATGACCGAATGTATAAGCATCGTCCGCGTAACCGGATGACTCGGTTTGCGCGTCGTGTACTCTCGGAAGAAAAATAGCGCGTCTGACTAATTCCGCGCCTTCGCTACTACTTTGTCGCGCTTGTGCGTTTGCGAAATCTCTCGCCGCGTAATTCGAGACGATTTAAATCACCGAAAACGCCTCTCCCGCGCCAATAATTAATGACACTCCGATTTAAATCTTTCCCTCTCTCTTACGCTCTACCGAAAAATATCTCTCGCGGAAAATGGAAGAATTCGCGAGTGACTCATGATAATTTAACGTGACATAAATTCTTCGTCCAGAAAACGAAGATTACAATTTTAAGAATTTTATTTCTTTCTTCGATAGACATTTGAGCAAATCTTTTTTCGATTGATTTCTAAGACTTTGGAACTTTTTTACAGCAAAACACGTTTTAGAGATTGTAAAATGCAAATCGTGTACACGTTTTTTTGCTATATTCTTTAACATTCTGATTTTAGATAGAAGCTAGTCTCACATGCTCATACACGCTCGATTTTGATTAACAAACGTTGTCGAAAGCGACGAATTATTAATTCCCGTTCAATATGCGATGATGCTAATTATACAACTTTTTGCCTCGACATCGATCAATTTTGCTCGTGACTTGCGCCACTGTGCTAATTACGCCGCTAATTATATTACTTTTTGCCCTTCGGAGTTGACTAACTCACAGATTGCGTCACTCGCAAGTGGTCATTCGAAAATACCATATTTCGATGTGTAATAATCATCAACTCTTTATGCTACTCTTTAATAATTATATAATATATTTTATATTTTACATCTTTTTTACTGCTATTCAAGTAAAAACTTAATTAGCTTTATTATTCTTATATGCTTTAAAATAGTATAATCCTCTTTGCTAAAGCAAATTTAAAAATTCATTTACATTTTTTAAAGTTCTGTTAATTTTATGATGAAAATTATTAAAGAAATGTCATTCATTTACAATTGTAGAATTTTTTTCTCAATTCTTTTCTAAGAAAAAGTTATGCTAATGGCACAAGAAATGATATATTTGAAAGTGCCAAAAAACAAATACATGAATTTTACCTGAAGTTGTGATTCGAGATCGGCTTTTTGCGCAGCCAATTTCAAGGATTTCTCCTGAAATTCGGAGAGCGAGCCTTTTTCACCCTCCAACATGCGCTGTAGGCTGTTCTTCTCGCTCAGGAGCTTAGCGTTCTGCTCCTCCAATTCTTTGCGCAGTTTTTCCTCCTTTTCGAAAGCTTCCTGCGCCTTCTTGGCCTTTTCTTCCAACGCCTGTAACGAGGCCATTTCACTCTCAAATTTACCGCCGTTAACCAGCGGAGTCGGGTTTTCGATCAGCACCGTGTCGCCCATAATCTACCACCCACGAGGATGCAAAGCCGTTGTGTACGCACACACGGAGACACTTAATTTCGATTTTTTTTTCTCACGAAAACAGCAAAATCTCTTCGCCGTGGGAAAAATCCCTTGGGGAAGAAATTGGATCGATCGATCGAACGCGCAAACGTTGCCTCAATGAGCCGATTCGACTTGCCGATCGCTCAATAATCGTTCGAAGACGAAGAAAAAACAGCACGCGAGGCTCGATATGAGTCTCTATCTTCGTCTCGAAGTATCGAAGAGGCTTATTAAACGACACCTGTGTAACGTATACGAAATGTACAGAGTTATGTGCGTGCGCGAGAGGGCGAAGCTTCTCCCTCTTTGTTCGTTAGACTGGGTTCGCAGAGTTTCGAGTTTCGGGTCGGCGCGAGGTCGCGGATCTAACTGATCCCAGCTTCGGTCGAATCCCAACTTTTCTACCCGGGTATCTGATGTGTCCCTCTACCCGTTTCCGGCAGCCAGTAAGAAGTGAGTCGTCGCGATCCTGATCGTGGGCGTCCCCACTCCAGTGGCGCTACGCTGTATGTACGTAAAAATATTTATAACCGATCTGCCACACTATATACTATCCCACGGGGAATGGTAGGAGTCAAAAGGGGGCTCCGCTTATGGAGCGGAGGGGGTCGATCTTGGACGGAATTGGAAGCGATCCGGAAGGACCGCGTAAGCGTTCTCCCTCCGTTTCTCTCTCCACCTCCCTTTTCTGTTCTAAAAGTTGAGAAGTAGTAGATAAGTGGAAGAGACTCATCAACGAGAGAAAGAGAGAAAATGTGTGTGAATGTGTGGAATAATAAACAATATTCTTTAGATAAAAGTTTTTCTAAACGATAATTATTCAATTATTGAAAATTTCCAAGTTTACAGAAAGAAAAATAAAATATTATATCGATATTATTAAAGTCGACGCATCTAGGATAAAATTAGAAATGACTGCATTTTAGGAGGAGAAAACAATGCGAAAAATGCGACGAAAAATCATGTCTCCTGAATATATCTGTAGAACAAATAATTGTATGATCTTTTTCAAAAAAATTGAATCTATTAATAAAAAGCTGCTCTTGTAACATGATCGAATGTTGATTCACCGTCGACTGTCTTTATTATGCTTCTAATTCGGGATACCAGTGGTATCAGTGAACTGGACTGAACCAAGTGTGAGAGAGAAAGAACACACATTGATTCCCCTGATCCTCGTTAATTCGGGATTATAGAGTCGAAAATATAGATCGTTCGACAGCAGAGAGAGAGAGTGTGGGACCAGAAGATTTACGAATTTAGAAGAGAGAGAGAGAAACGCTTACCTTCCGAACCAAAATTACCGAGTGTTAGAAAGAAAAAGAGAGAGAATTTAATAAATAACTTAATAATAAAAGCAAATGCGCGTAGCAGTTCTTCTAATAAAAGAATTTGAAGAATCTTAGTCACATATGTAAAGAGCGGTATAAATGGCGAGTTTTCAAAGTATTATTACGAGAGCAGAAGAAGCATACGTAAAGAAAGTTATAGATTTCAGGAAAATTCCAGCTTGCTGGTCGAGAGTTTGCGCGAAGGCAAGCCGCGAAAACGAGAAGACCAGGCAGCGGATAAATAAACGGGTACGACTGGAAACTGGAGCCGTTACGGTGCCGAGCAAAAGAAGAAACAAATTCCATGGACGGATTCAGCATGGTTGCGAGCGTAAAACCACGACTCGTAAATCACCGGCCAAGTCGAAGCTTTATTTTGCCAAGCTCTCGGCGGCCTTTCCGCGAGCTTTTGATTTTCGCCGAACGAACATTTTGATTTTGCAACACGCTTCAATCTCTTTTCAACAATCGTTATTCTGCTAATTTTGACGTTTCTCCTATGAAGAGAGTTCGAATAATTTGAAAGTTCTAAATAAAAATGATTTTTTAAGCTATTTTACTAACAAAAAGAAGAACGTGTGTTGAACTCTTTTTTTCTAACTTTATATGTTGTAACAAATGTGCGCAAGGTGCTGATCGAATATCTTAAACATATATATAAAGTATAAAACTATGTAAAATGAGCAATCTTTAATATTTCTTAAATAAACTAAATAAAAACTGAATGAGAGAAATATTTGATCGATAAACAGTTTTATTCTTTTGAGTATAATAAAAAATGTCTTGGAGAAAAACTTACGGCTATCTCATCCTCGACACGAGTGACATTTAGCAGAGGTTTGATCTTCTGCCACAATTTCCACCACGGCCAGGTACGGAGTTGGAGATATTTTCTCAAGTTTCTCTGTACGACTACGAGAGCCAGGCGCTGTTCTTGGAGTTTCTTGTAGTCCTTACGCGCCAAGTAACCTCTGATGTATGCCTGCATCCAGGACACGATTTTGCCGAGACGTTCGTCGCGAAGTTCTTCCATCTGACCTAAGACTCCGGCGCGGAAGAATACCTGTTTTTTTTTTAAAGTGACGAGAAAAAAAACCATTGAGATAATCTCTTCGCTGCAAATGGTGTTCATCAAAATGTACCTCGATTATCCGTCATGTTGTTGTAAAAGCGACAATAAATTAATTTGTACAGAAATTACAAAATGTGTAATATTTGATTTGAAAATTTTCTAAATTAGATACATAGATAAGATGATAAATTAGACACATAGATAAGATTGTATATTTAATTGTGTATGTTTATTTAATTTATTATCGATAATCGAAGATAATCACGGTACATTAAATGTATATTAGATAATTTCCACAAACTGATCTTTCGTCACTTTTAGCTCGGAAAAGGGGTCGTTAATTGACAATAGGAAATAAAGAGAAATTGCCTCATACTTGCTTGGGAATTACACCACACTAAAACGTTGACAATGTTTGTTCCTTTGTTAGCGCGAGACAGATGATGTGCTTGCTAGCTGTAAGACGTTCAAGCCGAAGCCGCGCAATGTTAAACCGACATCCATCGACAATAATTAATAACCAACATCTCCGTAGAAAGAACAAACCAGACTTTTGAAAAACATTTCTAAGATATATTATTTTTGTGGTTTTTTACTGTAAAATTGAAGTTTTTTTTTATTTTGATGTTGGCGAGTAAATTGTCGATGCAAGAAGCAAACACCACTCGAATATCCAAAATCTATCCGCAGAACGTCCGACAATCATTGTTATCTGATACGTTCCGCAGAGAGAAAGAATTGTTTGCGATATTCGTGGTGCCTGTGATAAGATCGCGATAGCAGTAGTTTGCGAGCGTCGTGATGCTACTACACGACGTGGACCACAGTAGGCGTCTGATACCTTGGTGTGACCCATGCGGTATTGATCACTCTCCAGATTGATTGTGTCCAGGATGATCTGGGTGGCCTTTTGCGGCTCACAAGGTTCTGGGACGGCATTGGCGCACAGAATTTTGTATCTGCGTTCACACGTGGCCGACCGCCGTCGTCAAGTAATTTGCGGTTCGGACGTGTTTGGTGGTGGTATGTTTGGTAGTTTGGTATTTGGTGGCACAGTTGTATATATATGTGTTCACAAAACAGACAAAAAAATCACCACAACAGGTTAGAGGTTGATTATATTACGATTCTCGTCGCTGTATAATCGAGAATAGGAAGGGATAAAAATAATGGAGAAGACAACAAATATATGTGTGATATATTGAAGTATCCTTCCAGGATACTTTAGTTTAGGGAGATTTTGGTAATGATCTTACGAATCAAGACGTCAGGCAAAGCGCGAGTTTTTTTAAAGAATTGTACGCTTTAAAATTTTTAAAGTTCTAAGACAAATCAAAGAATAATTTGAAAACAATAAAAGGATATTTTCTAATAAACAGAAGTTGCTATGCGAGAAAGATTCTTCGAATATTCGCACTTTGAGAGGCGTCACTTCTTAAGTTTACACCCAGTCACTAGGGGCATTGAGAATCAAGGATTAAAATATCTACTATCGACATTCAAAAAACTGATTAGAATTGATGTTCGCGCGATCGAGACTGCACAAAACAAAATAATGAATAATTTTACTGAATATATTTTAGAGTAGAAAATATTCTAAAGCAAGAAAGCGCGAAGAAAAGAAAGTCTCGATCGTTGATCATCATCGATTCAAACTGAGTTTTGAACTTGTTGGCCGGCTGAAAAGGAGAAAGGCAGAAACGTGCCTTGGTGTGTCCAAGACGATACATTTCAGGATCGAGACCGGTAGCTTCCAGAATAGCTGCACCCGCAGATTTGGGATCCTTCGCCTTGTCGACTGCCGCGGGCGCCAAGATTTTGTATCTAAGGTGGTACCGGGGAGAGTTTACGGAAGGGGCAGGGCAAACAAAACGTGCAAACTAATTAATACAGGGAGTTTAAATACAAATATCGACAGATTATTGCGTTTCTTCTCTTCTTTTCTGTTTCCCCGATCGGCTCTTGTTCCTCTTTGATAGCTAAATAATATTTTCTAAGGAATCGGGGCCCACTCTACGTGCAACACGTTCTTTCGGGGTATAATTCATCTAATCAAATCGGGTAGCTTTGAATTGGAACTAAACGTACGGTGGATTCAGAAAACGAATTAGATTCTTTATCTATTTGCAGACGGGTAAAACTATACGATCAAGTGGACAGCATTCTGACATGATTATGATATTGCATGTAACGAGGAGAACGACGTGACAAATTGACGAGAAGTAAAATTTCAATGTGGATTGTCGTCATTTATCCTTTCAATAGTAAATTCAATTAAAATTTCAATTGTGTATTAGTTTATAAGTATTCAAAATAATTTAATATTTTCGATTTTAAAGTAGGAACTATATCAAGACAATCCACTACAGATTCAATTGAAATTTTTTGATTGTGGGGTGTAAAAAATGATTCTACTAATCTAAAGATAGGGAGCGAAATATAAATTCATTCCTATTCAGGATATTTAACTAGCCTTAGTGTGACCGATCCTGTAGCTGTCCGGATCAAGAGCGATCTCCTCGAAACACTTAGCCGCGGCTACCTTGGGATCACTATGAGCCGCCATTGCGGCCGGCGCTAGAATCATGTAACTACACGGTACACAACATAAAGTCCGATTATTATACGTGCCAATTACGAAGATACTTCGCGTTCCGATGCTGAGTTGCTAAAATCGCGCAAAAACGAAAGAAAAGAAAGAAAGTGTAACATAAAAAAAATTAAAGATCCTGTTTTTAAATCCTACATTCTAAAATGTATTTTTATCTCTTTAAAAAAAACAATGTTCAAGTAAGTACTGTCGAACACCGATAAAAGTCTGTTAAAATTAACTTCTCGAGCTCTTTTGTGATTCCTACAAAAAAATATCATTGATTCTTACCGTAGTTTGAAATCGGGATAAACCATCCTGTTGGGGAAACCTTTGCGACAAATACGGATGCCTTCAAGCACACCGTTACAAGTGAGCTGATGCATAACCAAGTGGGAGTCGATTACACCCGGTTGCTTCAACTCGTTGGGGATAATGCAACGGACAAAGTGAGGTTGAGTGGCGCGCAGTGTGGTCATCAGGTTGTTGAGCTGTTCCTTGTAAGAAGACGATACGGTTGAGAAGCCACCGCCTTTTTTGCCACGTCCACCTTTGCCGCCACCGCCGCCACCAGCATCACCGGACTGTCCCGGATGATCGGCAAAGATCTCTATTAGCAGCTTGTTTGTGGATTTCTTGAACTGGTCAACCACCGTATCGTTTAGCGGATCCTTGTTCTTCTCTAGCCATCCGGTGATGTTATATGGTACCTATAAAGATTTTGAGCGAACATCCAGTTGTATTCATATCGAACACAAGAGCAGAGTCCAAGTAACATCGTTTTAATAGACATTGTAGAAAATAATAAACTAAGAAAACTACATACGTTGCCAGCATAATGGCCGATAGCAAAGTGAGCCGCTTGTTGGCCTGGCTTGGGTGGCTTGGGCTTCAAGAAGTTGGGACTCTTGCCGAGATGGTTGTTGTTCAACTTTTCTTCGAAGGTCTTATCAGTAGCTTTAGGGAACATAGACTCTTCCTCAAGGATAGAGAGGATACCCATAGGCTGTGTTTTAGGAAAAGAAACAAACAAATGCATAAGGAATCTGCTACATCTTGAGAAGCTTTTCCAAGAGTAGCGTTAAGCAAGAAAATAAACGTAAGTAATAAATTATTTCTTTTCTCGTCGAATTTGTTTTTAAATATCTGAACATTAAATTGTAACATAAATTATCGGCACTAAAGTTTCAGCAATTTAAATAAATATTTTTCTACGGAATATTTCTACAAAATATTTTGCATAGCAGATTTTTGTTAGTATGTTCCAACTTTTTACTGAAAAAAAAAGATATATACTTTGTTATCTACTCATACTTAATACTACCTCACTAATAATGCAACAATTATATTATAATTTCTAAACCAATTGTTCTCGAGCGCGAGATAAGATTTATACAAAATTAATTGTCGACTAAAATAATTAATTTTTGCAGAAGAGTAAAATCCCAACGCTACTCTTAGTATCGCATTATTTGTACTCATACTCCGTGGATTTATCGGAACAATGCCTTAGCAACGATTGTTGCGCTTCACTGACATATTTGTTAATGATTTTATGTCGTCGAAGTACAAGTATCTGCTCAAAGGCATTGAACCGTTTATTCCTTATGCGCTGTAGCAACATACATGATGTTTCACAAATCTATCGCGTAATATTTTTTAAAAGTGCAATTACTTAATTTTTACTACGCTAAAGAATTAAAAATTAATTTTTAATAAAAAAAATACTACACTCTCTTAAGTTTTATTGATAACAATAATTTTTGAAGTCTTACGCGTTAGATCTGTGACGCCAAATATAAAAAAAAGTAATACATATGTAATTAAGTAAATAAAGGCGTACAACACTAGCAGGGATACACAACATTGCAAAACAAACAATTGCGAATTCTGACAGACAGGCTTGATTCGGCAAGCGAAGAGTTACTGGATCACAGCTAAGATTCTGATCCATAGGACAGAGTCCGTGTCCTGCGCGGATCCGTCGCTTTACCTTCTCGATCAGATTGATCGTCGCCTCCAAGTCCATGCCAAAATCGATGAAAGTCCACGTGATACCCTCGCGCTCGTACTCTTCCTGTTCGAGCACGAACATATGATGATTGAAATACTGCTGCAACTTCTCGTTGGTGAAGTTTATGCAGAGTTGCTCGAAGCCGTTGTACTGGATTGGAGTTTCATGCACCACGATGCACCACACAGGCACACAGCGTAAAAAGAGAAAGAGGCAGAGAAAAAGAAGTAGAAACAAAGAGAAAACACAGAAAAAAAAACAAGATTAAAAAAGTGTAAGACGCCATCCACTAGGTGATCCTTTGGCTGCTGCTTCCGAAGAACTCTCCCGACAGTTGAAAGTGACATCAAAAGCAAGCAAAATTTTACCATATTTTTTAATTAAAAAATTTTTTATGATTTTGACTTTATAATAGATACAATCATTTCTTTCGTTTGCTAATAAATTTCTTTATCTTTCAACTGACGCGACAAGAGGCAAAGAATAATAAACTGATAGTAGGAAGTGTGTGAAGTTAGTTATCGATCGCGCGAACAGATAGACAAGACAGGAGCACATTGTTGAGTGTGTAATTCGAGACATCTCCTCTCGATCTTGTCCTGTTCTGGTCAGGTGATACCTTCTCAATTAGATCGATAGTCTGTTGGAGATCCATGCCGAAGTCAATAAATGTCCACTCAATGCCTTCGCGCTTGTACTCCTCTTGCTCGAGGATGAACATATGGTGGTTGAAGAATTGTTGCAACTTCTCGTTGGTAAAATTGATGCACAACTGCTCGAAACTGTTGAACTGCTCGACCAAGTTGTGCAGGCGGAGAGGACCCATGCGAACGGGAAGTTAAGCAAAGAACAGACAAAAAAACAGGGAAGAACAGCCGTCATTAGTGCTGTTTGATAATGAGGGGATTTTATATTCGAACGATGATTGCGATTCGTAACTTTCATTGTTCGTTTTAGGACAGGGCAAAAGGGAGAATCGACACCATAGTTAAAAGGGGTGTCATGAACAGTATTTATCGTATTAGCCAAGTTACATTATCTAATTACGTAGTAGATTTAGTAATTAATTGGACAAGATCTTGGGTTTTTTACTTTTTGAATTTGGGAATCGACAGTCTGTTTTTTTTTTTTTTTTTATTTTTTTTTATGGAAAACATAAATGTGTACTTTAACTGAATCGTTAATTATTGCTGACATTGTTTTAGTCAGTTTTTCCTTAACTTTAATTTTGCAGTTTGGGCTACTTTTTTGAGATTTGAAAACTCGATGATTAATGGCACACGTCAAATGTCGTGTTTCTTAATCATTGAATTTGTAGATTTGCTACACATTTTGTTAAAAAATTTTTAGACTGTATAACAAACTTTATTATTTTGTTGTAGGTTTTTTGCTACTCGGTTCGTTCCAGTCACTGCAGGGTTGCGAACCTGGAAAATAGATCGTCGAAGAAGACAGGATGATTAAGTTTTGCTCAAACCATTGAACGATTTCAAAGGAAATATTTTTCACGAGCACGACATTCAGTGCCGTTACATACAGAGGACTGAGAAGGACGTCATGTGGGAAAAACCATATAAAAAGAGTGATTCAAGTATCCGTACTATAAGATACTTTTGGCAGTCGTGATTGGCATCTTAGTCATCGCTAAAGAGCCGAAAGGATCACGATAGACAAATACAAAAAGCCATGAAGATTTAAGAAAAAGCAACAAGAAGTCTGGTCTTGCGATGTCTTGCGAGGTCGATTTCCAGAAATCATTCAAATTCGCTCAAGCTCGCTCGTCGTCCATTGGAATCGATCAACTTCCAGAGTGCCGGGATCGAGACGCTTAAACTCGCGAAAATTAATCAATACCTTCTCGATCAGCTCGATACAAGCTAGCAAGTCCATGCCGAAGTCAATAAACACCCAATCGATGCCTTCCTTCTTGTACTCTTCTTGCTCGAGGACAAACATATGGTGGTTGAAGAACTGCTGCAATTTCTCGTTGGTGAAGTTGATGCAGAGTTGCTCAAAGCCGTTGTACTACATTTGTACGCGCGAATATGTGCGACAGGAATACGTAGGACAGGAGGCGGTAGATAGACGAACAAAGATGGATCAGAGAGGAAAAGGCAAAGACAAAAATCATTATCAGTGAGACAAAGTTCTGATAAAATTAAATGAATGTCTGTGTGTCGTATGTGCATTGTTTTACGGTTTTGATCGATTGATAACAACTTTTGAAATTATTAAATCTGTCCCTTTAATGTCTTCGTATATTTATGTGTAAATTTATGTATATCTGTTATATATAATATAAGTGAAGTAAAAACTATATATAAGTTAAAAATAATATACTATTTTGTAATTTAATCTTTATAAATTGAGAATTTTTTAAGTTTTTAAATTTTTACAAAAAAGAAATTCTATATACTTTGATATGTGTAATTCTCTTTAAAATAAAACAAATATGCCAAAGAAGACTTGTCTTCTCTAAGAACTCGATATTTTGAAACTCTCTCTTATAATAATAATATCTATGAAAAAAAGGAAAGGATCTAGAACTGGCAAAAGTGGAACGCGAAAGCGAGATCGACGATGTAATAAAACAAAGGAAAATAGAGGAAGGATCAGAACGAACAGAAATGGCTGACAACTAAACGAAAAACAGTGGACGATCACTTGTTGAGTATTAGAAAATAAGCGTTAGTTTAGTGGCGGTCTCCACTGATCTGTGATAAATTGTCAGGGATTTCCGCGTGCTAGCTTAATCCTTGTGTATGTATCGTTATTCAGCCTTGAGCTATTTGTTTCTCATTTTCGTTTCCGGCCAAACCCGTTTGTCGGGTGATCGCTGGCCGAGATCGATCGATCCGTCGTTCGGTGTACCTTCTCGATCAACTCGATACAAGCTAGCAAGTCCATGCCAAAATCAATGAAGGTCCACTCAATGCCCTCCTTCGTGTATTCTTCTTGTTCGAGGACAAACATGTGGTGGTTGAAGAACTGCTGCAGCTTCTCGTTGGTGAAATTGATGCAGAGCTGCTCGAAGCTGTTGAACTGTTCGAGAGCAAGAAACAGGCATGCGTATTTCATATTTTTCTTTTCTTATACGCTTTCTGTTTGTTTTCCTTTGCGAACGTCTTTTCTTGTCCTGTTTGTTTTCGAGAAGGGTCAGAATTGTGAAGCTGTGTTCGAAGTTTCGTCTCGAAATAACAGATACGCGCGTGTACATGCAAAAACATTCTTAATCGATACTTAAAACGAAAAAATTAAAATATGACAATCCGTTTTTCTATATTTTTACCGATACTCGTCGACGAAACTTCGTATCGATCACAATCCTAGTTCAAGAATCCGTAGGATTTTATCTACAGAGATGTTCTCGTAGTAGAACGGTGGTGTAGCGCACCGTTTGACAATAAAATGGAATAGGTAGGTATTACAATGACCCAGCATAAGGCCGTTTTTTCGGGTTCTTTTTTTGCTTTCTACTGTTTTTGTAGCTGTGACACTAAATACACTTGTAAGTATCAAATAGTACATAAATATACATATATATGGGGTTCAACAGTATTAGTCTACTTTCAACAACTTTCAACTACTACTCTGTGTCAATTATTTCAAAAACCATAGTAAAGTATAAGTTCCTACTCGATCCTGACCGTCCAGTTTACTAATGGACAGTTGAACGTATATGGTTGTTTTGACAAAAAGGGCGCAAAATATGTTAATCATCATATGTATACTACGTGAAGTCCACTGTTTTGATGTTGACAATGAGGAGATATCCCTTTGATCGATGAATGAGATTGATCCTCTTTTACCTGATGCTGTCTCTCTCTTCAAACCGGATAGAGCAAATAAGCGTCTTTTTGTTTCAGGAAAATCTAAGAACATGCTTTTCTAGGTAAAACAGTTCCTAACGTAACTATTCGATAAAACCTAATCAGAAAAATTCCGCTATTCTACGAGGCGTGCATTTTTAAGAAAAATTTAGAATAACGAAGTTTTTTCGAAATCTCATGCGTTTCATTTTCACCGGGAGAATCACTGTGTGACTTACACAAAAAAAATTAATCAAAAATTAAAACTTCTCGGATAATAATAATTCTCTCTCATAAGAAAAAATAATAAATAAATATTCTTCAATAGGGATTTTATTTAAAGGTATTATGTACTTATTCAGGAAACCACAGCTAAATACATGACGGGAAAGGGAGTTATCCCAAACGGTCGAAGAATATCTATTCGGATGTTTAGACAAAAATCTCTAAATTCGTAGATTAAATCCGTAACATCCTAAAAGGGGTGGCATCCAAAGAGGAAACAATCTATGAAGATCTAAATCATTTATGGAAAAATTTGTACTTTTAGACAATTAATGACTAGATTACTAGACGTGCGACGAGCAAAGGATCTATATAACGATCTATAGATCTCGTAAAGAGATCAAGAGAGGGAATGAAACAAAGGGAGTAGGCCGAATCGACCGTTCACCTTCTCGATCAACTCGATACAAGCTAGCAAGTCCATGCCAAAGTCAATGAACTGCCAGACGATGCCCTCCTTCTTGTACTCCTCTTGCTCGAGCACAAACATGTGATGGTTGAAAAACTGCTGCAACTTCTCGTTGGTGAAGTTGATGCAGAGTTGCTCAAAGCCGTTGAACTGCGAGATATCGAGGAGTAATCGAAACATAAATACGGGCATCCGAGAAATGATTTGTTTTTTTTTTCAGCAACCACTGACTTGACGAAGGTTCGCAACAGTCGCAACACCGTGCATGTGAATCTCAATTCACTTGGCGCTCGATTTCAGGTCATTATTTTTCCTGCCTTACTTTATCGTTTTTCACTTTGTGAAAAAACGTGAAATATTTGTGTAGATCGAAGACGTGAACTTTTTGCATCTTCGATACTTGTTTTCAGAGTGGTGGATTTTATTCTCGATCACGTCGACGATTAAAAAAATGGTATTATGACAATATAATACCGATAAAAGAATTAATTATTGCACGCACATTTCAATGCAAGAATACGTAAGATAATCGTTGACGATCACGGCGTTGTGTATATATATATGAGTGTCTATGTGTTTGTGAAGAGCGTCGTTCAGAGAAAACTTACGTCGAAGATCTCGAAACCGGCGATATCTAGTACACCGATAAAGTGCTGCCTCTTCTGCTTGGTGTCTAGCGTTTCGTTACATTTCTTCACCAGCCACTTGAACAGCCTGTCGAACATAGCCTTCGACATGGCGCCCACGGAGTAGGCTACTTGGTCCTTGTTACGACCTTGGGTGACAAACTCGTTACCGACCTTGATCCTTGGCTTCAACAAGTTCTTGTAAAGGTCGGCACAGTCGGTTCCCAGCAGTTTGGCCACGCGCTCACCTTCCTAAAAAGTGCGAAGCGGGATTGTCTCTTTTTCTTGATAATAATCACATTCTGTAGAAATAAAAACTCTAATCTCTATTTGAAGTTTGTACCTCAGTGCCGTCGGCCTCGGCCTGTTCTTCACGACCCCTTTGTTTAAACTTCATACCACCCATATGCATGACGGACGCGGTGATCTTGTAGATGTCATCTTTCTCTTCCTGGGTGAAGCCCAACACGTCGAAGGCTTGCTGTTATCGAAAAAAGTTTCATTAAATTTTTGTCTCTTCTTTGCTAATTTTCTCGTCAGAGAATTGTCTTAGAAACTGCTAAGAATTGATTCGCGAAAAACGTTGTACAGTTTTCAGACATGTAACAATTTAACGGTTTTATATTTTGTCAATCACTAATCGAATCTAAAAACAGAATTATAAAAAAATAGAGACTAATCCAAAGACATCTCTGACGCGATTTTGTTATCAGCTTTGATATAAATTTGTTCACATATATGAGCGGCAATTAGTAAAAGCACACAAGGACGATACAATTTAATGTTATGTGCTTCCATACACAGCAAACGAAATCGATGCACTCTGGCACATCGATAATTCGATTTCGTGCTTTAGAAGCTGCGTAAAAAGAAAAAACAGAGAGAAAGAGAAGAAAAAGCTAGCGCTTTAAGCTCAAAGCGCAGATTTCACCACATCGCCGAACAAAGTCATATTTTTACAAAAGTTTTATAATATTTTCTGATCACAAATTTGCTGAGGTTAAATAAAGAAAAGAAGAGTAATATTGATGAATTAAAGTAATATTGGTGAAATCAAGAAGAACTAGAAGCATTTTTTTTGCAACAGCCACCAAGCAAAAGCACAGCTCATGTTACGTAGCGGTGGTTTTGTTTTCCTAAGCTCCAGGTGTCAACGTAGATCAACACTGTCTATCTGGTCTTTCCTGGAACCACAACGTGGTTCTACAAAAAGAGAAAACAGAAGAAATTCTGAAGAAGACAACGAAGTTGCGAACTCATCGCGAAACGTCTTCTTCGTCATAAAAATAACAAAGATCGCCCTTTAGGGTCAGCCCGGACGATTTCTCAATGATGATTCCAATCCCCTTGATCCTTTGAAGGATAACTTGAATCGTTCTTCTGTGTATATATTTCGATGTCATTCTCGAGCAGTGAGCAATTGCTTCTTCGGGGCTGTATCTTTGTGATCAAGTCTACGAAAGTCTCAATATAGGGAGGGATTTCCCACAGAGGGAAAACTAACTACCGGTGCAGGTTGAAGGTAAACAGGGTCTAATACTAACTACTGAGATACGACGTTTGACGTATTGTTCCAGTCGGGATGAAAAAAAACTGTTTTGAGATTTTTTATGTTTCTCTCCAGGTTAAAGAACTGGAGTCGGCATAAAAAAAGAAACAATACTACCAGAAATGTTTGAAAAGATGATGGCTATTATGTACATAGTAGTTTTACGAACGATGATAATATAAAGCAACAGAAAATATTAAAGTTAATATTTGTTTTAAATAACTTAAATATATATAATATATACCGAAAGTTAAGTAGTGTAAAATAAAAAATACATAAATTGATTACAATAAAATGTATTATACTTTTCAGTATTTAATAAAAATATAAAAAAGAAAGAAATGTTGAAAATGCTGAATAAAAGTATTAAACAAAAATTTAATAAAAATAAAATTAAAAAATTGAAAACTAAGAATTAGTTATTACAAATATCTTATTCTTTGTCTGTTGCTTTTTAAATATCCAGTTCGCATTTATATGTATATTCTAACAACCAATAAACCAATAGTCAGATCAAAATCACAACAGCAACGTCGATCTTTATTGTTTCTGTTAATTCTCTGGATTGGTAAATATGATACAAATATAATAAATATAATAAAAAAAGAAACGTAAACAGATTGGTAAATATTATAAATATAATAAATAAGTTTGATAAATTATTTTTCTTGAAATGATCGACATCGCCGATACTACAGTATAATAGGAGGATTTATATTCAAATAATCTAATGATACGGGGGTCGAATTTACGGGGAACGGTAGAGCATTCTTTCTTTACGTCCGGGATGATATTCAATCGTGACTTACGTCCGTCAGTAAACATTCTTCGCCGTCGTCGACGTTGGGGATCGTGATCTTTCCTTGCGATACGTTGACATAGTCATATATGTTGTCGGACAAGAAACAGTTTTCTGTCGAAGAACATAAAGTAGGAACTTTAGTTAATTTTAAGACTCAGCGTAACAATATATTGTTTCCGTGGATCGTTAATCCCCGATCCTGTTCTCGATCTGAATGATGCGACACCGAACTTCGAGTAATCGTGCTGTAAGATTTCAAGACTCAAACATTATTATAAAAAAGATAGTTCTTTAAGAATATCACTTTAAATTTATCAAATTGTAAAAAAATTGGGAAAAATATTCTTAAACTTTTTTCTTTTTCTTTGTTTAGCCGAAAAATATTGTTTTTAAAGACGATGATTGAATCTCAAAAGGGCAAAAAAAAACGAAGAGATTTATCTTGATATTTTCGGTCGCCTGGAGTGCTTTTTCAGCTACCTGGAGTAACATTACGGAACAGGCGATAAGTGTGAGATGAGCGTAACGGGGAGCGGGTAAATGGGGGCGATCGGTGCCTGTCGCATTTTTTTAACAAGAAAGGCTACTTTTCTAGTGCGAGAAAACCTCGCGCCCCCAGTCTCCCCGCACCCCGATTGCGGTGGCAAGCAGCTTCGCAAGCGGGGAGCGAGGGGGTGGCGAATCCTTGGCCAAATCTCAACACTACCTTGCTTATCGTTCGAGAGAAGAAAAAACGCGTGAGAGAAACAATTATAGAAAAAAAAAACTGCTTAAGTTACAAATTCATCCGAAGAAAAAACAACGTAAAACGCTTATCGCACGATTAAAAAAATGGCTGACATTAAAAATATATTCAAATATATTAAATGTTAATATGACAAATAATCACATCGTGATCATCTTTTCTTAATATTGTTTTTGGAATAAAAATTATTGTAAGTTTTTTTCACTTTTGCTGTAAGTTAAATATTATCTATTAATAACTTTACGATGAGCCAAGAAAGCCTATAAATTTCGCCAAGGCTCGAAGACACCCTGAGGGACTTACGTCCGTCGCTTCCATCTCCAGGCTGTCGTTGACTCCCGGAATTCTGGTCTTACCCTGGTTAATGTACCGGTAGTCGCTGACCCGGGTGCTCAGCATGGTCGTTTCTATATTAGTCCATGTTTCGATCTTATGCTTCGTGTCTTTCCAATACAAACGAATCTCGTGTTAAGCGAGCGATTGCGATCACCGTCGACATCTCAAATCGCCTTTTATTGCAGAAAGCTTTTGAGCCAAAGTTATTCTTTAGAAAATAGTTGTTTTTGATCAAAAGTAGACATTTTATGTCCAATTATAAAGATTACAAACTTGGCCTAAAAAATAATCAAGATCGCCGATGTTCGCAATAAATTTGCAGAAAAGATATGATAAGTTATTCACGGCTAGTGTTCGCTGAAAAAAACGATAGAGCCATAGAGAAGAGGAAGATAGAGAAAAAAGAAAGAAGAAGAAGAAAAGTTGCAGCGATGTAGATGTCCGTGTCTCGGTGTGTGATGCTGCAAAAATGTTTGGTTAATTACGTTTGGCGAACATAGAAGAGCTGAAATGAAAAGAGAGAAGAGCAGGAAAGAAGAGAGAATGATATACAGATAGCACAGATAGACAGAGATAATAGCACAGAGACAGAGAGATGTAATATCTTCACACAAAATATAGAATACACAAAAGCTGACACAAACATCAAATCACAAAAGTCAAGAGACGCGTTAAATGTAATTTTTTTAATAATATACAAAAAATAATATATACGAAAAAAGCATCGTCGCTCGATGTAGCTCACATCGAGAGGAGCGAATGATACTTTTCCGAAAGCAGTTGCTATGTACGGAAAGGCGACAATTACATACATAGAGCGTTTAGTGCTTAGAGAGTAGGACCAGCGAGCTTCGAAGATATAGATGTTCAACTTTCAAAAAATAAATATATTACGTTATAAAGAATTTTACATTTTTTTTCTGCCAAAAATAGACACAAAACTTAACGATAAAATAGAAAGAAACATCACAATGTTTCCAAAATTAGAATAAAAAATACAGCAAGATGTAAGCATGTAAAAAATACAAAAATGAACATGAGTAATGATATAAAAATTAAAAGCTCTATCAGAGCTCAATTAATTCCTTTTATCTCGGCGCGATAAATGCGACGCGATTATTTATTTTATGCCGACTGGTCCAGATCGTTGCACTTACATCGGTAACCAAAAGCTCATCGCCGTCATCGAGGCCGGGAATCGTCGTCTTGCCTTGCGACACAAAGTAGTAGTCGTTGATGTTGTTTGACAGCAGGCACATCTCTACAGGGTGACCGAGTGAAGAAAAAGAAAAACATGCGGGTGGTTAGAACAACCGATGATAGACCATGTTTCCTAGTGGCTTTCCATCGTGCTACACGAGGGATCCTATCTAGCAGGGGATCTATGAATCATTGCGAGTTTGCAGATTCTTTTCAAGGATAAGAGTAATACAGAAGAGCTACCTGTGCTCGTAAGGGGTTAGTTAGACGAGGAAACCATCAAAGTACTTTTTTTATTTAAAAAGTATTTGTGTGTGTATACGTATATAAATATATACACATTCCACAATATATTTATATTATACATTTTTAATTAAATTACGAAATGTGTGTTCTGGTTTTCTCGCCTACGATGTTGATACTAAAAATACTTGCAACGCTCAAAATATACTTTTTACGGTATAGCTTTGTAAAATACCGCTACTCCTTCTGCGAATTACGCCAGGAGTTACGTTATGTACAAGATGTCCTAGCTCTCGCAACAGAGAGACGTCTACTATACTATAGCACACAGTTTTACATATGTATATATACCCAGTTCTAGAGGCGTTACTTAGTTGCCTGCTACAATTTGTGTTGCAGGCAGCAACAATATACGGTTAATATTCAGAAAACCACCGATTGATCAGCAACCAGGTGTCTAAGGTGTCAAAATGGGGAAAAAATAAGGGAATAAACGAGAGGCAAGAATCCTGCGATGTATGTCATCGTCAGGCCCTTACGTCGGTCAGCAGACACTCCTCGCCATCGTCGACATTCGGGATCGTCGTCTTGCCCTGAGATACGAAGTAGTAATCGGTGACGTCGTTTGATAGGAGGCACATCTCTGCGTGGAAGGAGGATAATTCAACAATAAAAAGCTTTGTTGACGTGCAAGAAGGGAGGGCGAACCTCCGAACAAATTCTTACGCCTCGGATTCATTTTCTTCCGAATTCCACACAGCACCCATGTCTTACACTTTTCTGAACACCTAATCTCATTATCGGCGAGAGCTTTCGCAAACTCCGTAAACTATAAAAACAACCGCTACCTCGAGAGTATGAACTTCTTGCTATGTTAAGTAACTAAAATTAATTACTCGGAATACGTAAATGCATTCAATTGATTATTCGAAGTAGCGATTGTTTCTCATTACGATGATCCTTAGGAAGAGGTGATGTATAATTCGTGGGAATCGACGAAGACAATTAAATCTTGTTTAGATTTCGATCAAATTTTGTTTTCTTTCTCACGGAAATATCGAGACCTTACCCTTCAATCCTTTGACCGATCCGGACATCATCTGGTAGAAGATGTGATAAGAACGTTCGAGAGACTGTTGGGAGATGACACGAGCCTTTTCCAGCAGATCTACATGTAAAAAAAAGAGATTCTTCTATCCTTTACGTAAAAAATAAATCTAAATGTAGATGTAAATATATATGTTTTATGTGAAGTACTGTTAAGGTCAAAGTAACTTCAATTTTTGACATCGGTGTAAAACCAGTTCAGAAATGGGAAACTTAAGAGGAGGACCTCTGTAAACCGATGTTTTAAAGGATCCAAAGTTCTCCGTATTTAATGGATCAAATAAAAAGTGCTACAGAAGCAAATATAAAGCAAAAATAAAAATCTTTATAGTGTGTGCATTTTTTATTTATTTATTTATTTTTATTAGTGTACTTTTTTATTTATTTAAATTAACAAATATATTTTAATTTTACACACATACTTTCTTATTCGAGCAAGAGAAATGGTATTTTTTATACAGAGGATAAAAAAATTATAAAAAAAAACTGTCTGTTAATTTTATTCAACATGCAAATTCGATGTGTAATTGCTTATAGGTTGAGAGCAAGGAAGACAAGTTGACGCGATGACGCGCGAACGGATTGTAAGCCAAACGAAACGGAGACCGGTCGCAAAAATAACCGAACGCAATCAACGAACGGTCCAATGCGTACGTGAGTCGAAGCCAACTGCGCGCCTATACCGTGTTGCATCGCGACAATAATAAACGCGTTCGTCTTCCATCACCTTGACGTGACTACTAAACACTGTTAACTGCGCAAAATTAACAATCGCTCAAGACTGTGCAGTGACTTTCTCTGAAAACACACACCGAGTCGCTTTGAGGAAAAAATATCGATAAAATACTCACAGGTTTCGATGTCGGCACCAGCTAGTTTTCCGGAAGGACCAAAGTGAATACGGATGAATTTACCCTATTCGAGAATAGATGTGATTAAAATTAGATTTTCTCGTATGTGTGAAATCGTGTATCATTGTTGAAATACAACAATTGCTACATTAATTGCGCTGTAATCATTATACTATTTGCTATTTTGTCTCATTAGACGCTTTGTATTAGACTATCAAAATAAGAATAGCACTTACGAAGCGTGAAGAGTTGTCGTTACGGACGGTCTTGGCGTTACCAAAGGCCTCCAATACGGGATTAGTCTGGACGACCTGGTCTTCCAGAGAGCCCTTTTTCTGACTTGATTCTTCTTTTTCCTTCTTGGTCGAGGCACCGACAGTGGCGAAGTACGCAATTACCTTCTTCGTGTTCTCAGTCTTTCCGGCACCAGACTCACCGGTGATAAGCATAGATTGGTTCTCGCTGTCTGCAAAGCGAAAATCACAAATGACGTGTCAACGGGGTCAACATATTTGCGATTGACCGTTCTACGATGATAAGAATTTTTGTTTTTACGCACTGGTGAGCATGTTGACGTAGGCTCCGTCAGAGATGGCGAAAATGTGCGGCGGCACCTCGCTACGCCTCTTACCACGGTACAATTTGGCGCATCTTCCAGTGTATACGGGAAATCTTTTGTAGGGATTGATAGCCACGCAGAACAGGCCAGAGTAAGTCTGCAAAGATATTGACGATCATTCAAACAGAGATCGGCACAATCTGGTAAACAATCAGGATTTCGAACAACGTTCTATGGCCGGTCTTTGCGGTTCACCAGAACGAAGATGTCCTGAGAGTATCGTCTGTTTCACTCATATACGTGCAAAAAAATATTCCAATATTGCAGCTATCCAAAAAATAGAGTATCGAAAAAGTGACATATAATATTGATGAATCTTTGATTATTATTTCTTGTTTCTCACAGTAGGGAAAACCATATATAACTGATTGTAAGTAATGTTTTGAGAAATATATTCTTTTTACGTTATATATAATTTTACGTATAGCATACGCACAAGATTATATTTGTGACAACACTAAATTTCACTCGATTTTCAGATAGCTGAAATCCAAAATTATTAAAATATATCGTCGATAGTGTTGAATTATCAAAATCAATCTTTACGCTAAGAAAACTAATCAAATTAAAATTATCTAAAAAAGTTTATAAAATTCACGTTTTGTCCAAAGAAAATTTAAGTTTAGTCATATACCCACTTATAAATGTGACAAATAAATTCAGCAATATCAACGATGGCAATAAAAAATATAAATATAATCAAAATAAAAATCGAAACACCAAGATGTAAAAACAATCGATTGTTTTCTTTACAGTAGATGCGACTCGTGTCTCGAAACGAGGGCATTCGTTCTGGATTTCCACTTTGTGAGCATATGAATCCTGTAACTCACTCAGTTACATACAATATATATGTGACATTTGCAAAAAGAAATAAATAGGTCGAGGCAATAAAAAAGTCACTCGCACATTTTGTGCGAATACAACCGAAGACGAAAAATTGACAAAAAACCATCGGTTTTTGTAGAGAAAGATAATAATGTAATCAGTAAAACTTTATTTTAAAACATTTAGAGGAATTCTTGCGTGATACGTTATGATATTTTGAGGCAACGTTATTCCTTTATTTTTAAACACTGAAAATAAAAAACAACAAAAGAAGCAAAATCATGCATTTTCTTAATGAGATCTGTATCGAACGAACAAAAAGTGCTCGGCGATAATAAAAAGAAAGCCAGGCGAGACATCGTGGCACGTCATCGTGCTATATAACGACATCCTTTTGAAGAAATTGTACATCCTGACGAGCTGTTTGTCGTGGATGATGAACAAAGGAAAGAGCTTCTGAAACGTCGCGGGACGCGTCCAGGCGTTTTGAGCGACGAGACTCGGCTCTTCAGAACAAAGGAAATACATTTAAAAAATGTTTAAAAGAATAGCGAGCGGACTCGCAAAATGGAAGAGGAACACTCATGGTCACAGACACAGTCAGACAAAGCTCTCTTCGTCCTCGCCAAGGAGACCGAGGAGTCTCTCCGTTGCGGACGGAGCCTTACGTAGATAAGCTGGGCGTAGTAACGTTGCTTCAAGTTGTGGAGGACCGAAGCATCGTTGAGGTAGGTCAAATTGGACATATCCTCGCATTTCTCGTACTTGGGCGGGTTCACCTGCTGCAACTGGTCCTTCTTGAAGTCCCTGGTCTATTGTCGCGCGCGAGAGAAAAGAAACATTAGTAACGAAAGATCACTGTGATTGACTTACGTAGATGAGTTTGGCGTAGTAACGCTGCTTCAGATTGTGCAACACCGACGCTTCGTTCAGATAGGTCAGGTCGGCCATGTCTTCGGCCTTCTCGAATTTTGGTGGATTCACTTGGGACAGCTGGTCCTTACGGAACTGTTTTGTCTGTGCGAAGCATTTTGCGAACAAAGTTTTTTTTCGTTTTTCTTTCTTAATCATCATTATATGTTTCCCAATATGATTCTTAATTAAAGACAAAAACACTTTGGAACTTGCGTAAAATATTTGTTCGACGTGAAAGAAAACCGGATGTATTTTACCTTACAAATATAACAGTTTGCAAAATTAATCTTTTGCAAAGCAGATCACTTCTGATTTTTGTTTTATATATGTGTTCTTCTACTTATATGTTTAATAATTTAATAATTTAAATCTTTGTAAAAATACACGCATCAAGATGTAGCAGCGTTCTTAGTCATCTACAGTAAAAAACATTCTTCTACATCATTACTACTTTCTCAACATATATTTACTTACACACTATTACAACTCTTAAATTAAATTTTTTAATTAAATTTATAAAAAAATTCAAACAATTATGTTAATCTCGTCAGGATTGAAATTATTGTTAGAAGAAGATTAAAGAAGAGGAAAGAGAAAAGGAATACAGCAAAAATTTTGTTAACAAGCGTAAAGAAACATCTTATTTTGATTGTAATGCGTAAGGAAACTTTTGGACAGCACTAATGATTTTTTTTCTCTCTCTTTCTCTCTCTTTCTTTTTTTTTCTTGTTCTCATTTGTTTGCTTTCTTGCTCTGTCCTCGTGAGTTTCTATCAGATCCCGTTCTCGGTTGGCGCTCTAAAAATACGTTGACCCCCGCGTTTCGAGAAGTGGAGTTTCGACTTATTATTACGCCAGGCGCTAGCGACAGCGATGCTAACAATAGCGTTTGAGCTTTCAGTCGGAACGAGGCGACGCGTGAGTGGCAGGCAACGAGTTGGCTGAACCATTATGTAATCGGTGGTTGCGCGAGTATCAGGGCCCTTCATCCCGAGAATGTCGAATTTTGGGTCTGATTTTGGGATTAAAATTGCGGAAAAAGAGAGGCAAGATTTCCCAACTATCGCAGCTCGACACGACGATTATGAATAAGAGAATTTACGCTATATTAACGTTACAGATCTGCAGAATGTTAATGCGCAAGTGTTATTTACTTTCTAGACGTGGAATTCGCTGACGACAGAAAATAGTAAAAATAGAAGATATTTGCAAACCGCGAATAATAGAATTACATAAACTTTATGTCACTTCTAGCTCTTAAAAGATGGACTGTACATTTAATACTGAAATACAATATATAAAAAACAACTTTGGATAAAAATTTTTATAAAATTAAAAATCTGTTAAAAATATTAAGCGAGTTGATAAAATAGCTAAAAGTTCTCAGATTATTGAATGTTCTACTTTTTTGTCACGTTAGGAAATAAATTATAATTAATAATAAATTCAAAGCATAACGTCAAAGAACAAATCGTTTATTTGTTTTCGTAAAGAGGTAAAAAAGACGCTCTTTATGTAATGCGCCCTTCGACAGGCATTGAGTGCTTTTCCAAAAGACACTTTATTTTCGTTAAAAAAAAAAACAAAAAAAGCTGTTATATCCTTTTGGTCGCGGTCGGCCGGGTGACAGAAGGTCGTAAGCGCGACGGCGATGGCGACTCGCGGCCGGCTTTCTGTTCTCCGAAAATAGATTGCTAGCAAGATCCTCGTTTCTCCCCCTTCTTTTTATATATATAGAAGCGAGCGAACTCCCCTTCCCTCTCTCTCTTTCTTTCCGTTTCTCGCGCTATCCTTCTCGGTCGGCCAAGCCGGCTAAAAAATCGCTAAGACGGGGGGAGAAATCGCGTCTCGATCCTTCCATGGCGATCGATGAAAATCGCCGTGCCCGTAAACAGATGCCCCTTCTCTTCCTGTGCCGCGTTTTGTCGTCACTCAAAAAGCCGAGTGAACGGATTTATCCGGCGAAATCGGAACGTATGCGCGTATTCACGTCGACGTTTTCCTTGAGCTTTGCGCGCACACAAAATCGTTTGAGCGAGTGCTACCGACATAATCTTATTACGAGCATTACGTCACTCTTTTGGAGTTTACCTCGACAGACTGAGAAAGAAAGAGTACAAAAACAAGAATAACAAATGTTAAGAATAAAAAAGGCGTTTCTGTAGACTGAGAAAATTTTTACTAGAGAAAAGGTAATAATTTCGCAATATAGACAGTAGAAAAAGAGTACGGTATGGCCAGACCTACTATGATGCTATCTATATATATGCGCGTTCTCGACTCTACTGTATTTTTCAAAGTTAATTATTATTATTATCATCTTCGATGCGTAATATTTATGTACACACACACTTTGTAATTAATCACAAACTTTTATTATATTAAAATGTATCATAAACTTATATATTAAAATATATATAATTATATATATTATGTGTGTGCAAAATTACTTCTCAAACAATTTCGACATTGACGTAAGATTATAGGGAATCGAAATAGGAGGTTTACAGTACGTCATTTGCGCAATAGTACACACCTCGCCGCCAGGTAAGCCGACGCTCACAATATCACCCTTGGTGGCTTTGATCTCACCAAGAAGGTAGCCTTCCTTCTCGTCGGGCACCCAACACGCCTTCTTCGCATCGTACGGTTTCGACTGATCGATCCTCTTCTGCTCGAGAGAGACGAAGAGGTACGGGGTCGGATCGGGCTCATCTTCCGGGGCACCCTTTTTGGGGGCTGGCATCTTCGGTTCTTCTTCCGGACTCTACTCGCGATAAACTGATGCCGTGGCACTCACGGGCTCCTTCGTGAGGTCTCACTTCTTTCTTCGATGGGAGGGGAAGACGCTTCTCTTCTTCCTGTCGTTTGCTTTCGGGGGCTTGTTGTTGGTTCGGCGGCGGACGGACTACTTCTGGCGGCACGTTCTGGGCGGCCCTGAAGAACGCTCGGTTAGAATATCTCGATATATCCGGCTTATTCATCACTTCGTGAAATTATGTACAATTATAACAGCAAATTGATGCTAATCTATTTCAGTAATAACAATTGTGCTTGAACACTGTTGTATTTTAATTTAACTTTTATATATAAAAGTTATATTTAATAAAAATAAATAAATATAAATACTTTTGTATTTTATGATGCTAGATAATGGTCACGAAAAAATATCACTTATAGTAATTACTTGGAAAAAATTACTTGTCATTCAATTTCTAACACCATTATCATTTCTCACTTCATTTTCTAACCATCACCTAGTATCAGAAGATATTAGTGATTTTAATAGCAATTATACAGCAAAATAATTGGTGTTTTTTTCTTTTAATCTCCGAGGACAACCGCCGGCTTTTCAGATGTCTCACTCAAATATATTTTGAACTCGCGAATTAAAAATAACGAAGCATTAACGAACACGCGTCACTTCAAATTAAGTTGTAGAATGTTGCTTGCGTGTAACATCACTGATACTCGACACTATTGTGCATCACATCGCGAGGAAGAGTTGGGGAGTGCGATGAGGTTGCATAATCAGATAAGAATACGAAATGGAGAGCAGGCGACGCGAGGTGGCGACCGGACCAAAAAGAGCGATGTATCGCATTACGAGAACTTTGATATCTGGTTTCTTTAAACAGACATAAAAACACTCTGTGAAACGTACATATTTATACGAATTTTTAACCAAAATTTTTAACAGAAAAAGATGTGGAATCATCATGAAGAACAACATCGATGAGACAATTTTTAAGAGCTGAACAAAACTGAAGAAAGCAATAAAACAGATTACAAAATAGTTTTCAAAAATAAAGAGATTTAAGTAAAATACCTCAAATAATAAGTCAATAATTTTTCAATAATTTTTCACCTTAAAATAGTTATCAAAATAGAAATTATTCGCGTATAGAAAATCAAACACATTCTTTAACTGTTTTGCAATAAACATAATAACCTAGATATTTTTACTATTGTTTATAATTATTGTTATGTTAATTGTTTATAATTAATGTTTTTTGCTATTTATTTTATAATTACATTCTCAATACACTAACGAGTAAGTGAAACAAATATTTAAACAAAATTATATACATATTTTCTATTAATTTTAGTTAGATTTCTATTAAAAATTTAAATTTACAGAATATAAATAAAAAAATCTACAGCACAAATAATAAACGCGTTAAAATCACATCGAAAACTATTCTATTGAATTATGTTAGCGTCACAATGATATTTCTGATGTTTGCACCTCGTTGTAAAATAAATCCTTTTGCAATATCGGACGCCGATTTAAGAAACGAAAAAGAAGAAAAAGAATAAATAAAGAAAGTAGAGCACTGTTCACCGTTTAGGAAATTGTATGCACACACAGATCAGAGAGAACGCTACCAAAAGTAAGATCGTGGCACACCATCGGTCGCACCTCGTCGGATTCTCACACGATTGCTTCACGAAGGATTTGAAGATCACTTCCTTCGAAAATCACCAGGACTTGTTACGGTACCACTTCCCCTCCACCTGGTTAACTCGCCACCCCTTTTCCCTAAAAAAAAACCCCGTACTCGACACAGACGCACACGCGATCTTTTTTATTCAAAAAGAATCTGAAGTTTTTTTTTTCGACCTAGAAACTTGATCACCCGAAAACTCTCGATCTGCTCCACGATATTTTCTCCCATAAGTATCACCCCACGTCGCCAACTTCTCGTATCCTCATTCTCGTATTCCTTGCAAGAGATTCTCTTCCTTTCTTGTGATGATATTTTTTCTGTTTTTTTTTTTTTGTTTTCTTTTATTTTCTTTTTTCTATCAATCGCGAAAAAGAAGAAACAAGAAAAAAAGCCGGCGGCGTCGCGACGCGACACAGCGCGAAGTGGCGCACTTACGTTAGAGAGCCGTTCTGTCGGGAAAACGAGCGGGGGCTCCCAATATAAGCGCGTGCAACGTGATCCTAGAGTGTAACGCCGCCGCGGATTGGTCGGTATCGTCGGCCAATCGCGGATCACGTTACTTCCATGGCCAATCTACCTTTTTAGGCGGACGATGATACCGAGAACGCGGTGGCGGCAAAGGGGTGGCTACGACGCTGTCGAGTGAGATGAAAATAGAGCGTCGGAGCGAGATGCTGCGCCGGTCCGCGTCCCCTTCTCTCTCGCCATATCGTTGATTCGTCCTTCCCGCTCAATGTACCTCCGAGCCACCACCGACCGTGGCAATACGCCGCAAACCTCAAAATGGAAAAAAGAGGTGGCGGAATTTCAAAGGGTGCGCTCGCCTCCCCGAGTCTGTTCTTCTCCTTCGACGCTCACGGTGCAGTTGTCGAAGAAATCGTTGAAGAAGAAAGAAAGATGGAACGAGAACAAGAAGAGGGAGAAAGAGGAATACGCCACGTGGAGGGCGCACGTGGTCGTGAGTGTTACTCGGGGTGAGCGCCGACGATGACTCCACTCGCGTCTACCACCTAGTTACGTCAAAATAAATCAGACAGCTAATCAGAACGGATGATCGATAGATGTCTTCCTCATTACGTACTGTTCACGTGCCCGATTGACGTAATAAGTTTTAAGCACTCTTTCAACTTTTTTTTCTGAGTTTTTCACCGATTTATTGACTATAAATAAAATTGTAACTTATCTAGATACGCGCAGATATATTTGAAGAAATTTAATTTCAGAAAAGAATGTCAGAATGTCTGAAGCACACGTGGTGCTGCCTTCATTGATGCGCAATCGAGTAGATCAAACGGCATCTCTTTTCCAAGAGAATTTTCGAACACGCAGTAGTTGCGAATGGCTATGGTCAGGCGCATACAGCGGGCCTTGGCGATTCCACGGAAAACCGCGGTAGAAATAATATTTACGCTACGCTATAAAAGCGAATTCTATGCCGTCATCGACTCAATTGATACGATGCATTCAAGTGCATCGGAATGAGCATTGATCAAAAGCAGCGTTCAAAACAAATTATTATGACTTTTATTTGAAAAAATTAGATGAGATAAAAAATGAACAATGAATAATGTATTTGATTTCTCTACTAAAATATTTGCTTGACAAATATATTATTTTTTTCTTGTTTTATAACTTTAAAATATTTTTTAATAATGCAACTTATTAAACGAAAACATTTCTAAACTATCGAAAATATTTGGCATAATGTCTTAATTTTCTGAAGCTTTTGAGGTAAGCTATAGCGTTTCTTTCGTTCATTTCGCGAGATAGGACTGACGGTTCAGTGCACAGCTATGCAATTTTCTCGTGGAAAATTGGATTTTATCCAGTTCTCATTAATGTCAGGAAAAGAGAGATGAGGAACGATGATGGCTCTACTAATCTATTGTAAGATTAATTGAGAAACTTACTTTTTACCACTTGTTAAAGTCTGTATGAAAACTCGTAAAACACATCTTATAAAGAAATTTTTTGAGAACATTAAATGATTATTTTAATATTTTGCCTATAATATATAATAATTTATTTATGTTTTAACACTAAAATTTTCAAGAAAACAAATAGCGATTATTTATTTACATAATGTTTATGTTTTTGTTCATATAACGTTTATTTTATAATATACCAAAATTTTCAAGAAAGGGAACAGCAATTATTTATTGTTTATATAATATTTATTGATTGCTTGAAATGCGATTATATGCTCCATTACGTAAAATCATATTATGAGCGATCGCGCGCGTCATTGGTATCTCGCTTATTCTACTGGCGTGGGTGACCAACGTCGACATGCCAGAAAGAGTCACGATAGTTACGACCGGTGCTTGCCAAACACATATACTTCAGACCAAAAGAGCAAAATGTCTGAATCATTTAAAACCTTAAGCCTCTCGCACGTGTCTTTCTACAATCCTTTTCGTTGTCGCATGACTAATTATCTAGGCGCGCATAAAATTAGTAGATGAGAGATAACATGAACATTTCATGATTCCCAATTTTTTCACCAAATCACTCGTATTGTTAATAAGATATTTGCGAATAATTCCTTTTTTATATAAAAAAGAAGTTGAATTTTGATTTATCTGAAATTGTCTTTTTCTCTCTTTTAGAACGGAAATATTTTTATTTACATTTTAGAATCATTTTTTACTTAAGAAAGTCTGAAAATTGCGAGACTCTGGGAAAATGATGAAAAATAGTAATGTGCACGCTTGATAAATAAACACGATTAGAATCTCACATAGCCGAGACTTAAATCATCTCACGAGCAGCAATTTGCGTTCGCGCGAGATGCGATTTATCGATGGGTTTTCTCGCTCATATCTGGCACAGACTCAGCAGTTTTTGAACGGACGGCAGCCGCCCGTTAAATTAGCGATACATTTTTTCCAGGTCAAAATTAAAACAAACGTTTCTATTCTCTATTTCGTTATTTTATTAGAGTCATTTTAAACTAACTGAAGTTAGAAACTAACTGATTCTAACAAGAAAACAAAAAATATTAGTTTTGCAAAAATCTCTGAAAAACATAAAATATCTTTTAAATGTTTCACTTATTACTTTTTATAGATAATAATTATTTTAAAAAAAGAAGAAATAATGTTAAAGAAAAAAAACTGCAGAAAACCATAATTTATATCGTTTCTTACTTTCATTTACTGAAAAACAATTTTAAGAAGATACTCTTCATGCTCAAAATATATTTGTACTCTACGCCCCAATGTTATGTCTACTTATAACGTGTCGGCTCGTAATTTTTTTGAAGATTTGCTCCACATTTTGTCCTGATGGCGATTGGTCCGAATGACGTCGGCCGGATGATGTTGGCCGCGGGTCGTGAGTATGCTTCTTACATAGTACGGCACGCGCTTGTATAGCCCCAGAGGTTGTAGTTATACGCAAGAGAAGAAGGTAGAGGAGAAACAGGGACGGAAAGAGAGAGAGAAAGAGAGATCTGAAAACACGCACGCAAACGTTCCCCGAAGCAAGCAGAAGAAGAGACCGAATCTGAGATTATTTCGAGACCGGCACAGAGATAAACCGGGCCAACGTCGAGAGAGAAGACGCCGCGCAAAGCGGAGCTTTGCCTCGATGTGAACGAAGCCTTGAGGTTTGAGTCATCATCATCGTGCCGTCGTCGTTCCCGTCATCGGTGACGATCGTGAATTTGGCATTATTATAACAAGAGACAACGTAACCACAACGCCGACCGGTCCAGGTCCCGTCGTAGACTCTAGATAGCCTACCGCGCATTCCTTTCCGCATCATATAGTTTATCTGAATCATGCTTTAAGGTGCGACTTTTCATAGACAACTGGGTCGAGTTGTGTCTCATGTGGAAAAGCTCGAGTTTCTTAAAAATTCTTTCTGGTGAAAAAAATGTAGAACTAGAAGTTTATAATTTTAGCATTAAGTCAATAAAGTATTATTATTATATTATTATTATTAAATATATTAAAGATATTATATTATTATTTTATTAATATTAAATAATATAAAAACAGAAATGAATATATATAAAAGATACAAAAGATTAAGTAGGTTAAGATTATTAAATAAATTGCTAAATGTAATACATTAAATCAGATTCAAATAATTCGCCATTAATCTAGGTCGTTCCGGTGCTTTATTTATTGCATCGTTTATATAGTTTTGGATCGTTTTCAATTATAGGTAGAAGGTATTAAAAGCTTCTATGACGTGTAAATATCCGGTAAGATAAATTTAAAGCAATAAAACCGAGAAACTTTGAAGTATAAAGAAAAATCTGATCTTGACATATAATATGTAATATGTCAATATAACAATATAAAGAAAAAAATGCTGAGTTTTGTGAGTTTCTTACAATAATGTATTAAGAAACTTTTATTTAATTATATACATATATATATATATATATATATATGTGATGATTATTTCTATATAATACAGTAAGACTCTGGGTCAAAGTGCTTCTAAGCGCTAATCAAAATGCAATATATTATCGCGTTGCGTACTAACGTTTTTTTTAGCTGGAAAAAATTAGTACAATCGTCAAATAATAAAAAACAATTTGGCGGCGAGACAAAAGACAATGGCCGGTGTTGCATTACGTTTCGGCTTTACTCTGGTTGACCGACTTGCTACGATGTCGACAAGTATTTTTATTACTGCTGAAAAATTCATTATCGTTCGCATTTTCGATCGCAGTTAAGCTAAAATTGAGATGAACAAGATCTTGTCTAGAAAACTTAAGATGATTAGCTCTCTCTCTCTCTCTCTCTCAACATTTCTCGCATTAGTTGCACGAATATATGAACGCGCTAGTTTACGCTCTTCGTATATTTCTGCTATATTCGCGTTTGATGATCTTAGCTCGCCCGCGAGCGAACGAATGCCTCGCTCACCAATAAAGGAGAGCGTCTGAGAGTTTACGATGTGGCTCGATTCAATAAACGCGAAGCGAAACATGACTAGGAGAAATATTTGAAACTGTTGTACTGCCGCACAGGCGGCTTGCACGTACTTGAAAGAAGGCAAAGATAAAGAATATCCGACTTTTTCAAGCTATGAAGATTAACAAATCTTTGAGTTCAATTTTGTTCTTTTCTTATATATAAATTCCTGAATATCAATCTGAGAGAAAGAAAGAAATTAGCTTTCAATAATTACAAAACGCACACGTGAAACTTCTTACGTACTAAAAACAAAAATTCGTGTTTAAATATAATGCGTACTTCTCGTGTGTTGTGAAGAATAAAATCGGTATTCTATGCTTTCTCTTGTGTGAATTTTACATACAACTATGCATTGGCAGTCGGAGCATTGGCGCCTTACAACGCAACACTCTTCTCTCGCAAATAATTAAGAACCCAGAGCCGATGACGCGACGACGAGTACAAACACGATGTTCTCTGGATATGGCCCATAATTCCGCTTTGCTTCGTGCCAAGTTCTGCCGTGAGACTCGGAGGAATTACGCGCCAGGAACAATTATCGTCGAGGTAGCACACGCGCACGCAACGACGGTTTCGGGTAAAGAATGGTCGATCGATGAACACATGCGTCTTTTCTTAAATTTTGTCAAAAAAAAAATTACTATCAAGAATATTATGAGTTACATCTAATTTGTGTCTGAATTATATCGAAAAAAATTAATTAAGTATTTGAGAATATATTTTGATATATATCTAAATAAAAATAAAATATAAATAATTTATTACAACGGAATATAAAAAAATCAATATCAGTAAACATCTTTTATCTTCTATATAAAAAATTCGAAGAGAAGCGCGCTTGATCGAGGACACTCGCAGCGTCAAGTGCAAGTTCACCGGAAAAACGTGCATTAATTCTCGTTTTCCTCCTTTTTTTCAAAACATATCTATTCAGAAATTAAGATGGTCACTAAAACAACTCGTACCTTTATCAAGTATTTTTTACGCATTTATTTCCTTCGAGAATCTTACCATGTAGATGTTTATTTTTAATATGAGTCTCTCTTTCTTTTGCCGAATTTTCAATCGAATGTATATATTTTTATTGTGATCAGATATGTTGTGTACATTTGATGCTATGACGCGCAAGCTAGTTTTAAAACTTGACTCAGTTTGAACAAAAAAGAAGAAAAAGTAGAAAACGACAAGACAAAGAAAAGAAAGAAGAAGAAGAAGAAGAGTTACATAAGCTACAGTAAGTCTGCTCGACTAAGTTCTTCATTCCAAAACTTGTGCACTCGTTTGACTTCTGTTCTTCATCTCACTGAAGTCGCCTTTCTTCGTCTCACTTTTCTCCTTGTCGTCATGCACTATGCGCCGCCATACAACCACAGCCCATCGCCACTATCCTCTCGCCTCCTCTCCACAGCTTACTTCTGGGGCTAACAGCAGCTATTTTTGCTTCCCAGCGACAATATAGCAGACGCGGCTTAGGCCGCTCTTGCCCACTCGAGCTATGGTCCCGCTGTCCACTTTTGTTGCTCTTTCTTTTTGAATATTTATATTTTTGATAGCTTGCTCTGAGAATTTTTAACGCAGATAAATATTACTAGTTGTGTTAATTGTTCTTGTAACATATACGTAATTTTAACATATACTTTCTTTTTCGTATACGATTTATCTTCGTTTAATTTTCAACATTTCCTTATTTGTATGCTACTTAAAAGACCACATATTTAGCTATTTTTAATTATTTTTAACTAAATACAGTTTTACTACGATAAAATGTTAATTCAATAAAATACTTCTGCTGTTTTCGACAAACAGTACAGTTTTGAAGGACTTCCAATTATTACATCTCACATGACAAAGTCTCGAGGAATGTCTGTTGGCAGAACCACAATTTTATTTTTCCTTTATATATTTTTTTCTGCTTCTATTTCTATTTGTTATCATCTTTTGCAGCTCGGTTTCTGTGTTAAAAAGATGAAAAAAAAAACTGTACTTACAGAAAAAAAGTGTGTTTGGTATATTATTGAGTTTATGAAAAACTTGCAAAACTGTTTCCGCGATTCATGTGTGTGAAAAGGCTTTTTATTACAGGTTTGTTAATTTTTCTATCTTAAGATAAAACGTTGGGTAATCTTAAATATAAGATCGGATTATGAATACACTGGCCACCCACGCAGACATAACGTCCATTAGACGTCTAATGGATATCCATAACTCCATGTGATGTCTAATGAACATCTCTAAGAGACGTTTGTATAAAATATTATTCTGTGTGGATATAGTATAAGAAATTGAGAAAAATCTATAAAACTTGAACAATCAATGATTGTCAAGAAATATTTGAATATATTTCTATATTTATTTATATGTCAAGTTATATTATTAATAAACTGATAATGTACATTAATATTCAACAGTGAATCATTTTTATGCGCAAGCGCTCTACGGAGCAAGTGTGAGCGAGATGCAAAGCATTAGAAAGTGAGACGGAAAAAACCAACGTATCTTTGACGGACAAATGTTAATTAACAGATGTTCATATAGTGAAATTATAGATACAAGGTTTTTTTTATTTTAATTAATGCCCTAAAATATATTTTAAGAATAAGACATGGAATAGAAAAAAGTTTTTGGAAAAAGTTTCAATGTAACCGCATGCGCACAAAGCAGCTGGACCGTGAGCGAGAGAGAGGCTATTATATGTCTGCACTGTAATGTTTGGGCTTAAGGTCGGCACTCCGCACTCTACTAGCAATATATAGGAGTATTACATATATGTACTTAACACAGTTAATATCCGCATTCAGATACTTAGATATAATACGACACACCACCATTTTCGAAGAGTCAACTTTTGTCCATGTGCGTTTCATTCTAGGGACGTTCAAATCTGCGGCTCGAAAGTATGCTCTCAAAAGAGTCGAAAGGCAGTTGAACACGCCGGAACATATAGGTTAGGTTAAGTCATTCTGCCATTGAACCTCATAGAAAAAGTTAAACTACATCTACGTGTAATAAATCAATCAGGGGGTACAAACTCACTCCTAAGAAAAGTGGAGACAGTTTTCAGCGCCGTCTACGGCGAGGACCACATTCTTTGCGAACTAAAAAAAGTAGTGGGGGTACCGGCGCCGCGTTTAAATCGCTCACGCGTATGTAGACAAAATGAAATTATA